CCTATTTGAGGAGGATTATTCCACTGTGTCTAATAATCAGTATGGAAAAGGGAAGAAATTAAAGACTAAAGTTCTGGAGCCACCTGCTCCTAGAGAATTTACCAATTTAAGCGGAATCAGAAATCAGGGTGGAACCTGTTACCTCAATTCCCTTCTTCAGACTCTTCATTTCACACCTGAATTCAGAGGTATGCTATGTTACATGCATTTGATTAGCAGTATGTACTGTCATCTTTCCATGTAATTAATTATGCAGAATCACAAATAGACCAATTATCTTAAAAATACATTCCACAGTATGTGTTTATTGTTGCAAATGTAAAATTGGTAATTCCCTCTGCAGAAAAATGTGAAGCTTAATCTTAAATATATCCTGGGTGATTACAATAATGTTTAGTAAAAAAAAAAAATCGATATATTTCTTTTCTAATTCCTATGAAGTGCAACATAAAGACAATTGTCATAAGTATCAGTCTTTATTATTGTTACATTGTTTGTATTTTTGAGTTTTATAATTTCTGCAGAATAACAAACACTTAAGTCAGAGTTATCCAAACAATTATATCTACCTTTTGGAGTGGGGAAGGATGTCATATTATTTATATGGGTCTGCAGTTCATATGTCTTCCTGAAATCTAGAAAGCTCACACCCTCATCTGATCTCACCTGAACTTGTTTAGCTTCAGAACCAGACCTGGTGTGAGGCTATTTATAGTTTTTAGTTATCTCATGTGGGTGAATATTCATACATTCATTACAGGAATATTAATCTGCTTGATCAATGGAAACTGTCCCAGACCCTGCTGGAAATGTAACATTTTATATATATATATATATATGAATGAAACACTTTTTTCATATTGTCTTTATAAACTGGAAATTCTGAATTCCAAAGACCCAAAGGTTTTAGGTAAGGGATTGTGTGCAAGAAACAGGCCCCAACTCAAATTAGCTAAATTTAAAAGTGGTGTTATTATGAGAATATAAGGGATCTTTGAGAAATCAACTACAAGAAGCCAGCCTGACCTCGTTGGACCCTTGATTTTTTGCCCCTGTTTCTCTCTACATATTTCTTTCATATCTCATCTCTGCAAACCAGCTTCCTCCACAAGGGTCCTAGGGTCTGTATTCCCTTGATCTCAGTGTGAACATTACTTTGCTTTCACATGGCCCTGACTGGGGTCCCCAGCACTACATGGCTTTGTAACACAGTGTCTGTATTAGGAAGACAGACAGCCTGACTCATCCTGTATCTGGTTTGCCACATTCCTCTTCCCTACCACCACCACATTTATCTAATCTTTGTGGTTCCTCTGTTGCTTCTAAGCTTAGAAAGACTTCCTGCCTCCAGAGATTTAGTAAATACACTGTTCCCTTCCCAGGAGCAATTTAATGGATTGGATTGCATGTGGGATTTAAGTGGTGTCTTAGCCTTGACTCTATCCCCTCCATAAAAATATCTCCCTGATGCAACCAGTAATTCCACCAGTAGAAATTTCCAGCTCTAATAAGTAGATTCCTAACAGGGATAACACTTCTCCAGGTTTTAATATAGTTGAATTTAAAGGACAAGTTGAAGTAGAAACGTAGCCTCAAAGAGAGTGAGGAAGATGGTGAAGCATAGTGTGAGTTATGGAGAGTACCATTAGGTAAGAGTAGGACTGTAGGACTGAGAGTCCAGGCCAGCTACCTCTCCAGCAAAGGAGATTGCTGGCCAAGCACATGATTTGACATCTTAGTGCACAATGTGCCCTACTTGTGTAGCTTAGTGTGAATCCTGATGCTGATTGGCAGGAAGGTATAATTTGGAAAGGATAAGGCCTGTCAGAGAACTGGGGGAGAAAAATTTTGGAATAGTATTTTAAGTATTAGGGCTAGATTTGGTTCCATTGTACTCCATTACGATGTAGCTGAGAGTACTGCAAGTTGATTGTAAAAGTTCTTTCTTGTATGGTTTTATGCTTTAACTTGTAGATTTATAGTTCATTTTTGCCCAGTGCCAGCACTTAGAAAGAATATAACATTCATTAACAGCACTAGAGCAGCAGTGTTTTTTCAATAGGGAGACACATTTATCCCATTCCTTGTCACCCTGGAGTATATCAAAGTTTCCCAGTAGGAGTTCCTGCCTGGCTTGGATACAGACTTCCCAAAAAATTCAGGTATGACACATTGAATGGCACATCACCTAGATGTTGGGTGATAAATTCTGGAGACTGGCATAGGGTTGCCAGCTTCTTTTTCCAGATAAGACCACTATCATCTGTTATAATGATAGTGGTCTTATCTTTTCCTTCAACACAGAAAAGACATTTTCACACCAAAAAAAGAAGGACACCGTCTCAGAGTAGAAGGGGATCCTTCCCGAGAAAGAATGGTTGTCAGCCTTACACTTGGCGGGAAAACTGCAGCACTACTCTATTTCCTTTTGGCTTTTGGGACTTGCTGCCATAGACAGTGGGAAGCTGTGAAAGATTTCTGATGTAACTGTTTTTAGTTTTATGCATGAAGATTCTTTTCCTTTTGTAGAAATTCCATGCTGAAGCCTTAGCATGCCAGTTTATTTTCTTAGAGTCACTGATTTAAAATGTTACAAGAAAGTAAAGCGGGTAGAGTAAAAGTATAAATACTGCCACGGTCATATTTCTGAATCTACTTGATTTTACTTAAAGGTGGTCTTGGCTTTCTAAAACAATTTTTTTAGTGAAATAATGTCATTTGCTTCTCTGATTCTACCTTTTTATTTAGAAGCTTTATTTTCTCTTGGCCCAGAAGAGCTTGGTTTGTTTGAAGATAAGGATAAACCTGATGCAAAGGTATTACATCTATGATTTACTGGGATGTTCCGGAGTATTCAGGAAATTTTATTTTGAAGAAGGAATTAAGTGACTTATTCACAAAGCAAGAATTTTATTAATTATCAAATATGGTCTTTATTTTCAGACAGTGACTTGGCCTATACCCTATTGGTAATGGAATTTTCCTTCTGAGAATCACTTCTCCAAATTTAATACTGCTACCCCTTTATAAATATACAGCACTCTTTATTGTGCTTATCCTTTCTTCTGGTGGAGGAAACACTTGCACAACATCCACATTAGCTTCCCTCAGAAATCTATTTAAAGCACTTTTTTGCAACAATACCAAAAAAAAAAAAAAATAGACTACGTTCTTTCAATTTGGTACTCTGGAAATAAATGCAGTAATGAGTTGATTTATTGTTTTGTTTGTTACTGTGGTGATATTAAAGTACAGCTCTAATCATGTTCCTCCCTGCTTAAACATAGCTCAAAAGTTTCTTATCATATTCAGCTCAAATTTTTACTTCCTTGGAGTCATTCATGATCTAGCCCAGTGCTTCTCAGGCTACTTGTGTAGCAAAGGACCTGTTTTGGTGCATTTTTTTTTTTTATTTCCAATCTGTTGCAAATTAGCACTTTTGTAGTATATAATAAAAATGCCATGGGAATATCAAATTGCCATTAAAATTTCTAAATGCTGATTCTCCCTTTCAATACTTAAAGTCTGGCCTACAGACTGGACTGTGAGCAACATTGCTCAGTCTGGCCGAGCCCTCACCACATGAAGTTAAGGCAGGAAATTGTTTGGAGCTAGGAGAAAGTGAGGCAGGGTGTGCTGAAAACTCCAGAGTGAGATACAGTATGGTGCCTGGAAGATTTCTACAGAGGGGAAATTATGTGTATCAGAGATATTTTATAGAAATAATGGACTATTAGAAGAGATTTAAACTGTCAATCTGTAATCAATTGAGTGGTTTATTAGGGCCTAGTTCAGTTTTAATGTTTATCTGAACTATATCAGGGTAGAAAACTCCAAATAACTTAATATTTTTTGGATTGAATTAGAATTTTCATAGAAGAACTGAATCATAATTAGTTTTTCCTTTATAATAGGATATTTATGAACTTTCTCCCATATGAACTAGGAGATAAGAAAAAGCTAGTATGCAGTTGTTTTCAAAAGCCTCAGTCACCACTGAAAGAATTCATTTAGAAATGTGTTTGTTTTTCATTCAGATTCGAATCATCCCTTTACAGTTACAACGCTTGTTTGCTCAGCTTCTGCTTTTAGACCAGGAAGCTGCATCCACAACAGACCTCACTGACAGCTTTGGGTGGACCAGCAATGAGGTACGAGGGTCAGCTCTCCAAGGAAAAGTTACCAGCAGTAGAGGAAAGAGTAACACTGCTTTAATCTTATATAACTTCCTTTAATTTTGTCTTAGGGTCTCGACATATTGTTTGAATGTTTCTTTCTCACATTAAAAAATTACAAGCCAGAAATATATATTTTTAGATACTTGTTGTATACAGGCTTTTATGAACAGCTGTGATTTGGGGCTGGGGTACGATTATAAAAACAGAGAGAAGTACAAGAGCTGATTTTTACAATTTCTACCCTAAGAGTCTTTATGTAGTCTAGTTGAGATACAACACCTATTACATGGAGATTATCTACTATTTATATAGTTTTTTTAGTCTTTGACCAACAATAATGGATCAATTAAATGGTAAGTAAATTTCTTAAAATTCTGTGTTTGTTATGTGCTTTGTGTTTGTATCCACATGTTCTGCTTTCAGTGTTTGCTTCAGTCAAAAAATTGAAACAGTTCTTGGCAGGTCTTTTTATTCTTCCTGTTCGTTCTCCTGACTTTCTCCATTTTCTTTCTTTCCTTCTTTCTTTCTTATTTTTGTTTTGTATTTTAATTTTATCATATTGTTTATTTTATTTTATTTATTTTTTATATATATTTTATTGCATTTTAGGTTTTGGGGTACATGTGAAGAACATGCAAGATTGTTGCATAGGTACATACATGGCAATGTGGTTTGCTGCCTTCCTCCCTATCACCTATATTTGGCATTTCTCCCCATGTTATCCCTCCCTAACTCCCCACCCCCCACTGTCCCCTCCCTAGTTCCCCCCCGTAGACCCCAGTGTGTGATGCTCCCCTCCCTGTGTCCCTGTGTTCTCATTGTTCAACACCTGCCTATATGAATAAGAACATGCGGTATTTGATTTTCTGTTCTTGTGTCAGTTTGCTGAGAGTGATGGTTTCCAGGTTCATTTATGTCCCTACAAAGGACACGAACTCATCGTTTTTTATGGCTGCATAGTATTCCATGGTGTATATGTGCTGCATTTTCCCTGTCCTGTCTATCACTGAAGGGCATTTGGGTTGGTTCCAAGTCTTTACTATTGTAAACAGTGCCTCAGTGAACATTCATATGCATGTGTCCTTATAGTAGAACAATTTATAATCCTTTGGATATATACCCAGTAATGGGATTGATGGGTGAAATGGAATTTCTATTTCTAGATCCTTGAGGAATCACCACACTGTCTTCCACAATGGCTGTACTAATTTACACTCCCACCAACAGTGTAAAAGTGTTCCTTTTTCTCCACATCCTCTCCAGCATCTGTTGTCTCCAGATCTTTTAATGATCACCATTCTAACTGGCGTGAGATGGTATCTCAATGTGGTTTTGATGTGCATCTCTCTAATGACCAGTGATGATGAGCATTTTTTCATGTGTTTGTTGGCCTCATTGATGTCTTCTTTTGAAAAGTGTCTGTTCATATCCTTCGCCCACTTTTAAATGGGCTTGTTTGTTTTTTTCTTGTAAATCTGTTTTAGTTCTTTGTAGATTCTGGATATTAGTCCTTTGTCAGATGGGTAAACTGCAAAAATTTTTTCCCATTCTGTTGGTTGCCCATTCACTCTAATGACTGTTTCTTTTGCTGTGCAGAAGCTCTGGAGTTTAATTAGGTCCCATTAGTCTATTTTGGCTTTAGTTGCCAATGCTTTTGCTGTTTTAGTCATGAAGATTTTCTCCATTTTCTTTGTGTATCTTGTATGTGGGCTTTCTCTCATTTTCCTGTTTGAGTTCTAAAAGGCATTCTACTGTATACAAACACTACACACTTGTCAGCAGTGATTAAAGGTGATTGTTGCAAATATGACGAGCTGTTAGCTATACAAATCAAAACAAATCCCGGTCTACCATTTTTTTTATGGAATAGATGGATTTATTTCTGCAAAGACAGGTATAGACAACTATTACAATTTAAAGAGCAAATGATAGGAATAGTGTTATATTGCCTTTAACGGTAAACTCTAAATGGTGGTCTTCTTCTAACCAAGAACACTCCTTAACTAGGTGATACCAACTGTGTGATTAAGGAGGTAGGGCATGGACTTTGAAGTAAAATACGGTAATAATATATTCCCTAAACAAGTATGTTAAATTTCTGATGTAGAGCTGGTAGTAGGGGTTAATTCCTTTAAAAAGAAATAATAACCACTGTATTGAGATATAATTTACACGCCACAGAATTTACTCTTTTAAAGGGTACAGTTCAGTGCGTTTTTTTTTTTTTTTAGCATATTTGCGGAGTTGTTCAACCATCACTACAATCAATCTTAGAGACTTTTTACCACCCCAAAAAGAAATGCCATACCCATTAGCAGTCACTCTCCATCCCCCTCAACTCAGCCGCTGGCAACCACTGACCTTCCTTCTGTCTCTGTGGACTTGCCTGTTCTGGACATTTCATGGAAATGGAGTGATCCAATACAATAGGTGGTCTCTTGTAACAGGCTTCTTTCACTTACTGAAGACTACTGTTCCCAGGGTTGTACTTTATGTCAATACTTCATTCCATTTGCCAAATGAGATTCTATTAGATGGATATGCCACTTGAGTTTTTTTTTTTTTTTTTTAAGCTAGTCATCGATTGATAGATTTTTCTTTGTTTTTTTTGATAATGAGCTTCACTAAGTTGCTGGTTTCATACTTCTTAACGCTGCGGAGATTTTTATTTGATTTTTTTCTTAAATAAGGTCTTGCAGAAAACCCTCTGTAAGACTAGACCCGCAGTGATTGAAGAAGGTCTCTATGGTACCTTTGCCAAGTGTAGGATTGTTCAGGAACAGAGCTTGAAAACTTCCACAAGTTTTCTATCTCATCATAGCCAGTGATATAAGATAAATTTGCATCCTCAAGGGTCTTCTATTTTAAAAGACTAGAAATCCTCCACCTTTCATCCACCTATCTGCTGCTCTTCACATGAAACTTTTTTTTTAAAACGAGGTCTTACTCTGTCATCAACCTGGGGGTGCAATGGCACAATCATAGCTCCCTGCAGCCTTGTACTCCTGGGTTTAAGGCATCCTCCTGCCTCAGTCTCTTAGGTAGTTGAGATTATAGGCATGAGCTGTTGCTCTTGGTTGAAACTTATTTTTAAATTATCTTCCCTTATTGCCTCTACTTCTGAACCCTCCATTTGTTCCTCTGCCTTGTTTCTGCCTCTTTTGTTGAACTGTGACATCCTTGTGCCAAATCCAGAAGATGCTTCCGTGTTCTCAGCAGAAGGAGCTCTCAGTAGCACTCACCACCCTCCTTAAAGCCCCAGTTCCTCCTGCTTCCTGGGGCCTCACTCTCCTGGCTCTCCTCACAACTGTTCTTCCTCCTCTTCTCCAATTCTCAGTCTTGTTGTGTCCTTTGGTTTAGCTATACATTTTTCTTAAGAAGTTTACACATAGCTTTGTGACTCATAATGGATTAAAGCAAGTTCCATCAAGATTTTTTTCTCAGTAGCACTGTGTTAGTCTTTTTTTATTGGTTTATACTTCAAGGCAGTACATTCTAGTTCTTTTCTATTGTTGGTAATTCAGACTATTCAGCATGTACCCTGATCTCAGTGAATTGTTCCTGTGCAGACACTGCCAGGTCTTAGACACTGGTCTGTACCTGGTGTATCCCTCTCTCCTTTCTGTGATATGGCCATGTGTATGGTTTCCTACAAGAATACATGCACATTTTGGGGGTCAAAGGAGTTGAGTTATATGTACACACTGAATACTGCCTGTTCATATTTTCATTTTATAGTATAAATAAAAATAGGTGGTAATCCCTTAATAAGCTCACAGCTTATTTTGCTGAGTCATCCTTTTTTTTTTAATTATGTTTTAGGTTTTGGGGTACATGTGAAGAACATGCAAGATTGTTGCATAGGTACATACATGGCAATGTGGTTTACCGCCTTCCTCCCCATCACCTGTTTCTGGCATTTCTCCCATGTTATCCCTCCCCAACTCTCCATCCCCTGCTGTCCCTCCCCCAGTTCCCCCCCATAGACCCCAGTGTGTGATGCTGCCCTCCCTGTGTCCCTGTGTTCTCATTGTTCAATACCTGCCTATGAGTGAGAACATGCGCTGTTTGATTTTCTGTTCTTGTGTCAGTTTGCTGAGAATGATGGTTTCCAGGTTCATCCATGTCCCTACAAAGGACATGAACTCATTGTTTTTGATTGCTGCATAATATTCCATGGTGTATATGTGCCACATTTTCCCTGTCCAGTCTGTCATCGATGGACATTTGGGTTGGTTCCAAGTCCTTGTTATTGTAAACAGTGTTGCAATGAACATTCATGTGCATGTGTCCTTATGAAAGAATGATTTATAATCCTTTGGCTATATACCCAGTAATGGGATTGCTGGGTGAAATGGAATTTCTATTTCTAGGTCCTTGAGGAATCGTCACGCTGTCTTCCACAGTGGTTGGACTAATTTACACTCCCACCAACAGTGTTAAAGTGTTCCTTTTTCTCCACATCCTCTCCAGCATCTGTCTGATTTTTTAATGATCGCCATTCTAACTGGCATGAAATGGTATCTCAATGTAGTTTTGATTTGCATTTCTCTAATGACCAGTGATGATGAGCATTTTTTCATATGTTTGTTGGCCTCATCGATGTCTTCTTTTGTAAAGTATCTATTCATATCCTTCTCCCACTTTTGAATGGGCCTGTTGGTTTTTTTTCTTGTAAATCTGTTTTAGTTCTTTGTAGATTCTGGATATTAGTCCTTTGTCAGATGGGTAGATTGCAAAAATTTTTTCCCATTTTATTGCTGATAGACTCTAATGATTGTTTCTTTTGCCGTGCAGAAGCTCTGGAGTTTAATTAGGTCCCATTTGTCTATTTTGGCTTTAGTTGCCAATGCTTTTGGTGTTTTAGTCATGAGGTCCTTGCCTATGCTTATGACCTGAATGGTTTTGCCTAGGTTTTCTTCTAGGGTTTTTATGGTGTTAGGTCTTATGTTTAAGTCTTTAATCCACCTGGAGTTAATGGTAGTATAAGATGTCAGGAAGGGTTCCAGTTTCTGCTTTCTGCACATTAGCCAGTTTTCCCAACACTGTTTATTAAACAGGGAATTCTCAGATGGTTGTAGATGTGTGGCGTTGCCTCCGAAGCCTTTGTTCTGTTCCATTGGTCTATATCTCTGTTTTAGTACCAGTACCATGCTGTTATGATTACTGTAACCTTGTTGTATAGTTTGAAGTCAGGTAGTGTGATGCCTCCATCTTTGTTCTTTTTACTTAGAATTGACTTTGCTATGCGGGCTCTCTTTTGGTTCCATATAAAGTTTAAGGTGTTTTTTTCCAGTTCTGTGAAGAAAGTCATTGGTAGCTTCATGGGGATAGCATCGAATCTGTAAATTACTTTGGGCAGTATGGCCATTTTCACGATATTGATTATTCCTAACCATGAGCATGGAACATTTCTCCATCTGTCTGTGCCCTCCCTTATTTTGTTGAGCAGTGATTTGTAGTTCTCTTTGAAGAGGTCCTTTACATTCTTTGTTAGTTATATTCCTAGGTATTTTATTCTCTTTGTAACAGTTGTGAATGGCAGTTCATTCTTGATTTGGCTTTCTTTAAGTCTGTTATTGGTGTATAGGAATGCTTGTGATTTTTGCACATTGATTTTGTATCCTGAGACTTTGTTGAAGTTGCTTATCAGTTTCAGGAGATTTTGGGCTGAGACAATGGGGTCTTCTAAGTATACAATCATGTCATCTGCAAATAAAGACAATTTGACTTCCTCCTTTCCTAATTGAATATGCTTTATTTATTTTTCTTGCCTGATTGCTCTGGTTAGAACTTCCAATACTATGTTGAATAGGAGTGGTGAGAGAGGGCAACCGGTCTGGTGCCAGATTTCAAAGGGAATGCTTCCAGTTTTTGCCCATTCGGTATGATACTGGCTGTGAGTTTGTCATCAATAGCTTTTATTATTTTGAGATACATTCTGTCAATACCTAGTTTATTCAGAGTTTTTAGCATAAAGTGCTGTTGAATGTCAAAGGTCTTCTGTGCATCAATTGAGATAATCATGTGGTTTTTGTGTTTGTTCTGTTTATGTAGTGCATTACGTTTATAGACTTGCATATGTTGAACCAGCCTGGCATCCCTGGGATGAAGCCTACTTGATTGTGATAGATAAGCTTTTTGATGTGCTGTTGCTATCGGTTTGCCAGTATTTATTGAAGATTTTTGCATCTATGTTCATCATGGATATTGGCCTGAAGTTTTCTTTTCTTGTTGAGTCTCTGCCAGGTTGGTCTCATAAAATGATTTGGGAAGGATTCCCTCTTTTTTGATTGTTTGGAATAGTTTCAGAAGGAGTGGTACCAGCTCCTCTTTATATGTCTGGTAGAATTCGGCCATGAACCCATCTGGACCTCGGCATTTTTTTGGTGGGTAGGCTATTAAATGCTGCCTCAACTTCAGCCCTTGTTATTGGTCTATTCAGGGTTTCGACTTCTTCCTGGTTTAGGCTTGGGGGGATGCAAGTGTCCAGGAATGTATCCATTTCTTCCAGATGTACTGGTTTATGTGCATAGAGTTGTTTATAGTAATCTCTGATGATGGTTTGTATTTATGTGGAATCTGTGATTATATCCCCTTTATCATTTTTTGTTGCATCTATTTGATTCTTCTCTCTTTTATAATCTGTCTAGTGATCTATCTATTTTGTTGATCTTTTCAAAACACCAGCTCCTGGATTTACTGATTTTTTGAAGGGTTTTTTTGTCTCTATCTCCTTCAGTTCTGCTCCGATCTTAGTTATTTCTTGTCTTCAGCTAGCTTTTGAGTTGTTTTTTTTTTTTAATCTTGCTCCTCTAGCTCTTTCCATTTTGACTATAGGGTGTTGATTTTAGATATTTCCTTACTTCTCATATGTGTATTTATTGCTATATATTTTCCTCTAGACACTGCTTTAAATGTGTCCCAGAGATTCTAGTATGTTGTGTCTTTGTTCTCGTTAGTTTCAAAGAACATCTTTATTTCTGCCTTCATTTCATTGTTTATCCAGTCAACATTCAAGAGCCACTTGTTCAGTTTCCATGAAGCTGTGTGGTTCTGAGTTAGTTTCTGAATTCTGAGTTCTAACTTGATTGCACTATGGTCTGAGAGACTGTTTGTTATGATTTCCGTTCTTTTGCATTTGCTGAGCAGTGATTCACTTCCAATTATGTGGTCAGTTTTAGAGTAGGTTTGATGTGGTGCTGAGAAGGATGTACATTCTGTGGATTTGGGGTGGAGAGTTCTGTAAATGTCTATTAGGTTTGCTGGGTCCAGGTCTGAGTTCAAGTCCTCGATATCCTTGTTAATTTTCTGTCTCGTTGATCTAATATTGACAGTGGAGTGTTAAAGTCTTCCACTGTTGTGTGTGGGAGTCTAAGTCTCTTGGTAAGTCATTAAGAACTTGCTTTACCTATCTGGGTGCTCCTGTATTGGGTGCATATATTAGGATCGTTAGCTCTTCTAGTTGCATTGATCCTTTTACCATTATGTAATGTCTTTCTTTGTCTCTTTTGATTTTTGTTGGTTTAAAGTTTATTTTATTAGAGACTAGGATTGCAACTCCTGCTTTTTTTTTGCTCTCCATTTGCTTGGTAAATCTTCCTCCATCCCTGTATTTTCAGCCTATGTGTATCCTTGCATGTGAGGTGGGTTTCCTGGATACAGCACACCAATGGGTTTTGGTTTTTTATCTAATTTGCCAGTCTGTGTCTTTTGCTTGGGGCATTTAGCCCATTTACATTTAGGGTTAATATTGTTATATGTGAGTTTGATCCTGCCATTTTGATGCTAGCTGGTTCTCTTGCCTGTTAGTTGATGCAGTTTCTTCATGTGTCACTGCTCTTTACCATTTGGTATGTTTTTGGAGTGGCTGGTACTGGTTGTTCCTTTCGATTTAGTGCTTCTTTCAGGAGCTCTTGTAAAGCAGGCCTGGTAGTGATGAAATCTCTGAGTAATTGCTTGTTAGTAAAAGATTTTATTTTTCCTTTGCTTATGAAACTTCATTTGGCTGGATATGAAATCCTAGGTTGAAAGTTCTTTTCTTTAAGGAGGAATATTGGCCCCCACTCTCTTCTGGCTTGTAGGGTTTCTGTTGAGAGATCCACTGCGAGTCTGATGGGCTTCCCTTTGTGAGTGACCCGACCTTTCTCTCTCGCTGCCCCTTATCATTTTCTTTTTCATTTTAACCCTGGTGAATCTGACCATTATGTGCCTTGGGGCTGCTCTTCTTGAGGAATATCTTTGTGGTGTTCTCTGTATTTCCTGGACTTGAATATTGGCCTGCCTTGCTAGGTTGGGGAAGTTTTCCAGCTTGGATTCGATGGCTCTGAAAAGAGCTGTTGTGATATAGCTGGCCTAGAATTAGAACCAGTACAATGCCATTTTAAAATGGGAAAACTGTTTCCATTCTCCTCACAATGACTGCTAGCCATGGCTTCTGTAAACTACTAAGATTACCTTGCAAAATGTAAAGAGAGGACAAGCTGCATACTTTCTCTTATCTGTAACTGCCAGAATTGCTGGCCTTTGTTTACCAAAGTAAGCACCCCCAGATAATCCTGGCGCCAAGTAACCTAAAATTATGTGGACCCCACACCTGTCCAAATAATGTATAAACTAATGTTTACCTTGACCTCTGTAAACCACTTAAGTGGCAATCGGAATGACAAAAGTCTCCTGGCCTTGGAATATCTGGAGCCCCCTCAACCTCCTCTCAGCCTAGGAGGTGATTGACAGCTTTCATTCCCATCTCCGTTCCTCGCCCCCACTCCCAAGGTGGTTTTGTGGGTATAAAAAGGTCTTGTCACTCTTCTTTCTCTGCCACGGGTTGGAGAGACGTGAGTCCTCCGTGGTCGCCGGCAATAAACCCTGCAATTTGGTATACTTTTGTTCTGGTGTTGACTTTCTGTGCTAAGTTCAATGCAACACTGTTATATTGTAAAGTGATTTATGGAGACATTATTTGCCCTTGGCCTTGTGGTGGCTCTCTAACTTCCTGGGCAGCAGCATGGCCTGGATATTGGGCAGGACGCCGCCCTGAGTGATGTGACCTTGCCCAGCAGCTTGTTCAGCTCCTCATTGTTGCGGATGGCCAGCCGCAGGTGGCATGGGATAATGTGGGTCTTCTTGTTGTCGTGTCCTATGTTGCCCTCCAGCTCCAGGATCTCAGCCACCTGTATCAGGTACTCTAGCACCGCCACCAGGTAGACTGGTGCGCTGGCCCCAACTAGCTTGGCATAGTTGCCCTCGGAGCAGGCGGTGCACGTGGCCCACCGGACCCATGGGGAGCTGGAGCCCGGCCGGAGAACGGGTCTTAGCCATGGCGCAGGCTTTTCCTCCCTGCTTGTGGTGTTCAGACATGATGAAGAAACAATCGGCGAAGGGCAAAGAACAGCTTTGCTGAGTCGTTCTTATCTTTGGATTGCTTGATAAATCTTGAGTTTTTATTGACTAGTATATTTTTTTAATGTTTTAAAAAATCTGAAGCCCAGAATTACATCTAAAAATTACTTATTTTATAGGAAATGAGGCAACATGATGTGCAGGAACTGAATCGAATTCTCTTCAGCGCTTTGGAAACTTCTTTAGTCGGGACCTCCGGTCATGACCTTATCAATCGTCTGTATCACGGAACCATTGTTAACCAGATTGTTTGTAAAGAATGTAAGAATGTCAGTGAGAGGCAGGTAAATACGCAAGAGTATTTGAATAATAAGTTATGTTGCAAATTATAATTTATGTAATTAAACGTATAATCTGTAATACCATACGAAGATTAAAGTGTTTATTACAGACTGGGCGAGGTGGCTCACACCTGTAATCTCAGCTCTTTGGGGGCCAAGGCGGGCGGATCACCTGGGGTCAGGTGTTCAAGACCAGCCTGACCAACATGGAGAAACCCCATCTCTACTAAAAATACAAGATTAGCCAGGCATGGCCCATGCATATAATTCCAGCTACTTGGGAGGCTGAGGCAGGAGAGTTGCTTGAACCCAGGAGGCAGAGGTTGCAGTCAGCCAAGATCATGCCATTGCATTCCAGCCTAGGCAACCAGAGCAAAACTCCATCTCAATTAAAAAAAAAACAAAACAAAACTATTTATTACTAAAGGTAATTTATTCCGTTTTTTTTCTTCTAAGTATACCGAAATCATAGCCTGTAATCCAGATTTCTCCATGTATACTGAAAGAAGCAAGTATCTTGAAACTTAATCTTTTATTCAGACCTTAATATTTGAAAAATGTATTTAGGGGATATTTGCAAATAGAAGTCTGTGGCCTCATGTGAGAAGCCAATGTCATCATGGTTGGGATATTATAAAGGAAGTTAATTAGGGAGGTAATAAACATAGACAATACTGAGGACTGTTTAATTTGACAAACATCTGTAATTAAATTTTGGATTTAGTTTATTAATATTCTTCAGAAAGTTCATTTATATATATGTGTGCTTGTTTTTATATATTATAGGCTATTATAATCCTGTATTAATTAGTATAACCTTCAGTTCTTTGTAATGACACAGATTGCCCATTTAATCTAATTGGAAATTGGAAATTTGCTCATGTAAATATAATCCTGTTTGCTCTACAAATCTTACATAGTCAATGATTTTTATCACTGAATTTATCACTGATCCTTTAATAAAAGGCTGCTTTTGTTATTTATGGCAATGGAGTTTGTGTATTTGTATGAGGACAAAATTACCATTTTCAAAATGTGTTAATTGCTTTTTTGAAAATAGATGTCTCTATAAAAAAGTGTTGGTATTTTCAAAAATACTTCTTGCCCCTATTGCCTGTGCTAATAGACGCTTTCTTGGTCAGCCTCATTTGGAAATAAAAAGATGTTGTGTGTGTCTTTGAATTACTACATGCTTGACTTAGCTGTGATGTAGTAAATCAAGAGTATTTTCCAAACAATATATGTAGGACCATTATAAATTAAAGACTAACTTCTCACTTATATATTATAAACCATATACTGTATCAGTGTTACTTTTAGTACTTAGAATTTTCACCATGAGTTAACAAGCGCCCTATTTTCATTCCCCAAAATCTTTTGAAATAAAGCTGTTGCACACACATGCGGAACTATGAGTTAAATTGGCCAAATTGTAATAGTGTATTACTAGAAATATTGTGATTCAAACATAGTTATAGCAGAATTCATAAACCCTCTTTTTACAAAATTCTCTTTATCCTAGCTTAATAAATTTTTTTTTTCTTTTGATATGGTGTCTCACTCTGTTGTCCAGGCTGGAGTGCAGTGGCGCCACCTAAGCTTACTGCAGCTTTTGACTTCCAGGTTCAAGTGATTCTCCTGCCTCAGCCTCCCGAGTACCTGGGATTAGAGGCATGCGCCACCACAACCAGCAAATTTTTTGTATTTTTAGTAGAGATGAGGTTTTACCATATTGACCAGGCTGGACAAACAAGTTTTTTCTTATGACTTTTTCGGTGTATCTTAAGGCAACCCCAGCAAAAGAAGATAAAGAAATGGAGTTTACATTAGAAAATTCAACCCTGCCCTTGCTCTTATATTCTAGTCTAGAGACTAAAACAGTACTGTATACCTATATATCCACTTCTGAATTCAGATATGTGTTTTATTGTGGTTTATATTTCCTTATAAAACAGATTTTATTGTAACTGCAGTAAACTCATATTTTTTCTAACTTATTTTAAGCTAAATTATAGTTCGATTTCAAAATAATTTAGTGTTAATTAGGAGATCTACATCTTTATATGTAGTGTTTTAGAAAACATATCTGATTATTCCCAGTATATGTGTGAGTTGGTGATGTGTTTGTAAACGTCTGAAATTGTTTTTCAATATTTATATTCATGTCTATTTCAGGAAGACTTCTTAGATCTAACAGTAGCAGTCAAAAATGTATCTGGTTTGGAAGATGCTCTCTGGAACATGTATGTAGAAGAGGAAGTTTTTGATTGTGACAACTTGTACCACTGTGGAACTTGTGACAGGCTGGTTAAAGCAGCAAAGGTAAAGATAGGTACCCACTTTTTCCCAGGTTCCCCACTTTGTACTTAGTCCACGTCAGCTTGTATGAAAGTCTGAAGCATATACTTGAAGCTGTTAGGACACTAAGTATTGAAAATATATTTATGTCATTATCTATATTTTAATTTTTTTACAATAAAGAATGTTTAAGGCTTTCAACCCAGCAATTCTGTCAACTTTCTTATCTCTGGGGAAAAGTTTATTTGTGCCTCAGTGTTTCATAAGTATCCCTGCTTTTTGCAATTACTGTTGTGAAAAAAGATGTATATATTTTTATTTCTGCCACTAAGAAACTTGTTGAGCTTTCCTTTCTTTGTTTACTACTGTAAAAATAGATGGCTATTTTCATTTTCTTAATATACAGTTAGTTTATAATCTTGATATATGTTCTTCCTCGCTCTGGTAAATCTAATATAGTCTTAACTCCTCTCCCAGGTGGGAGTACTTGCTAATTAAGGAACTTAGCAGAATATTTCCGGTTTTCTTTCTATACAGGCAAGCAAAATGTAAGATGAAAGGAGGACAAGATTAAAGCAACTGATTTCTTTTGCCATATGAGAGCGAAGAGAGAAAAGTAAAACAAACGAATAAACAGAGTTCTGACATTTCCCAAATTTATTCATCATATTCATACATCAGTGTCTATTCCTGTAGTATAATTCATAGTTATTTTCCATTCCTGGAAAGAAGAGACACCTTGATAAGAGGAGAAATGAGAGGCAACTGCTGTTTAGTGGAATACCTCCCTGGTGTTATTTTCATGCATCCTAAGTTTTGCACATTCCAGCTCCTTTCTGAAATGGCAAGGATTTATTATATCAGGACTTTTGGCATTTCTGAAAATCTGCCACATATTGGTGTTTTATACCAGTCCTGATGGGAGGTCTCTCTCTGTGCTTTACTGGCCAAGCCCTTTGGGTCCAGGATATCTGTTTGTTCCAAGGGAGTCTGACGTCTGAATAACTCCTTTTGGAGGACAGATTTTAGAAAAAGGTTTTGTGGATTTTCTTTCCCCACTTTATCTTGTAGCAGCCATTCATTTACATTTTCTTTTCACAATTTCCTGTGATTTCTCTCTATGGAATTGTTCTTTAATGTATTTTTCACACAGTTAATTTCCACCAAAAGCACTACCAATGCTAGTTCATTGCTAAATACTAGTAATTCGTTAACATTACTATAAAAATTATTGCTATAGATAATTCATTAAATGTTCTATGTCTGTGTATGTATATATTATTAATACCATTTCCTCTGGCCTGGATATGCTATCTCTAATCTTCTCAGGCCTTCCTTCTCAGCTTCTTGTACCTATGGCCAATATGGCATCAACCCTGCTGCTGTCATTATTTATTATCTGCAGTGGTGACATTTCCCTGCTTTAGATGATGTGATGAGCTGTTCATAAGCATCATCAACTTGAGCTCAGTTCACTTAGTGGTTACTGAACATTGTCTTAAACAGCTACCACAAGGAACATATTTATGCTGTCACTCATTATGACAAAGATAGCACTATTCCTATAGCTGACAATTAGTCCATTTTTCCAACAAATAAAATGAGCATTGATTTAGATAATATACAATTCTGAATTTGTATCCTGGAGATTATAGATGAAACTATAATAAAACCTTAAACCCTATGCCTATAGGTTTCACAGGAAGATTGAATTTTATACTGTTTCATGTATATTTCTATCCAGTCTTTGCCCTTTCATCAAACTCAAAGAGAGAGGTTTATTATTTGCTTATTTATTTTGTATTTCACCTTTGGTGTTTAAACTTCAGAGTGTGGAATAGTGTTAGAAAGATACTTACACATTCAGTTTTTGGTTAGACTTCCTGTTGACATTAACAAAATAAGAAACTTTTGTTAAACAAATGCAGTTCTTAAATATACTTTTTATAGCATTGCTTTAATTCTTTTTTCAGTGGAAATTGTCTGATCTTGATACTTTTAAATTTATATTCCGGCCGGGCGTGGTGGCTCATGCCTGTAATCCCAGCACTTTGGGAGGCCGAGGTGGGTGGATCATGAGGTCAAGAGATCAAGACCATCCTGGTCAACATGGTGAAACCCCGTCTCTACTAAAAATACAAAAAATTAGCTGGGCATGGTGGCGCGTGCTTGTTATCCTAGCTACTCAGGAGGCTAAGGCAGGAGAATTGCCTGATCCCAGGAGGCGGAGGTTGCAGTGAGCCAAGATCGCACCATTGCACTCCAGCCTGGGTAACAAGAGCAAAACTCCATCTCAAAAAAAAAAAAAAAATTTTGTATTCCATTCTGGTTGCATTGGATTGGTTGCAGTCTAAGTTTAGGTTTGGCTGTGCTGCTAAATAAATGCAGATTTTCTTGTCCGAAGCATTGTTTTCTCAGCCACATTATAATTGAGTTTCTTTAGATGCATTTTTTAGAGCTTATTTGAAAATCAACCATGTGAGCCGGGCATGGTGTCTCACACCTGTAATCCCAGCACTTTGGGAGGCCAGGGCACGTGGATCACGAAGTCAAGAGATTGAGACCATCCTGGCCAGCATGGTGAAACCCTGTCTCTACTAAAAATATTTTTTAAATTAGCTGGGCGTGGTGGTGCATGCCTGGAGTCCCAGTTACTTAGGAGGCTGAGACAGGAGAATCACTTGAACTCGAGAGATGGAGGTTGCAGTGAGCTGAGATCATGCCACTGCACTCCAGCCTGGTGACAGAGTAAGACTTTGTCTCAAAACAAACACATTACCATGTTGTTATATTGCTGGGTTTTTTTTTTTTTTTTTTTTTTTTTAACTTTTTTTTACCCACTAGATTTGTGGAACTGTTGTTTTAAATATATTTTTAGTAATGTTAGATTTGTGTGATTTTGGATTTATATATCAGGGAGGATTTTTTTTTCTCCTCACAGACCAATAATCCAAGAGGTTGGGCACAGCTGACACTCATAAAAAGCAGCTTAATCCCAATCAATAGATCTTAGCCACTGGGGAAGTTAGAGGCCTTTTGCAAGTCTCATGAAAGCTATGAATCTTCTCCCCAGAAAAATACATATTTACATACAATTTTTGTATTACTTCATGAGTTCAGATTCTTTAAAACAGGTTCCTAGGTCCCAGTTTAAGAGCTCCAGTTTTTCACTGAATAAAAAGAACTAGATCTGCCAGGTAAAGTGGAGATACCAAGGAGGAAGGTGAAAGGCCAGGAATTGGGCAGGAAATAGGCACCACTCTTCAAATAGTATTTCAGGATATCAACACTAAAGATAAAAGATAAAAATTATTAGTTGTAAGTGTAAATGAGTGGTGCCACCTTTATAGCCATAAAATAGATGAGTTGATATCAAGTTATATTGAATCCATGGCAATTCGTTTATGTAATACTTCTCTTAGAACTGTGTCATAGGTTGTTTTTTTAGACCTTAAGAAACAGTATGTCTCCTTTTCTATAACTCTGTTTTTAAAAAGCTTTGTAAATTCTCTTTTAACAGTCGGCCAAATTACGTAAGCTGCCTCCTTTTCTTACTGTTTCATTGCTAAGATTTAATTTTGATTTTGTGAAATGTGAACGCTACAAGGAAACTAGCTGTTATACATTCCCTCTCCGGATCAATCTCAAGCCCTTTTGTGAACAGGTTTGAACTATTTTATTTCTAAGTACTTTATTTTCCCCTCTCAAAATTGAATCTGTTATTGACCTGATTTTCAGTTGGTTTATTGCTAGAATTTCTCGACCTTGGCACTATTGACATTTTGAGTTAAGTTATTTTTTGTTGTGGGAGACTCTCATGCATTAGGGTGTTTAGACAGTAGCATCCTCACTCCTCCTCCCCCAGCTGTGGCAACCAAAACTGTCTTCAGACAAAGCCAAATGTCCCTGCCTCCTGGTAGAACGGGGTGGGCAAGATTGCCCTGGGTCGAGAACCACTGATTTATTTAGAGTCATTTTGAATTTCCATAGTATAGATTTGTTCCTAGTTCTTCTCATTAAACTCTTCTTTAAAATATTTGAAATGAAAATTTAAGAACAAAATTAGAAGTTACCCTGCACTTAGAAAACTTAAAATTAATTGGTACCGTTAATTTGGATTTAGTTTATTTTACATGTAATAATGAATTTATGCATCTAGAAAGTCAACAGGCAAATGGAAATTCGCTAGTCTAGAATTTGTAATCCTTAAGATGTAGGGAAAGATCCCTCAGATGTGAAAAAGGCTTCTTTTTTTCCTCTGCATTAGAAATTTAAATAAACATCTTTAAAGTACCTCTTAATCTAAAGTAGCTTTTTATTTTCTTTTGTTTTTAATTGCTAGTGTAGGAGTACATCTGTTAGGCCACTCATGATTATGGAGCATATGAATTGTAGAAAATGTTGATCATAGAATTAAGGCAGGAAAGAACCTCTTCCACTAAACTGCCTCTAAACAAAACCAGCTGATAGTCATAATTGCTAAGTTCTTATTCCATACATAGGACTGTGGTGTCAGGAGGAGTGATAGTTGCGCTGGCTTTGAGTTTGAGGCATGTGGCAACCTAGTGGGAATATAGGACAATTTCAACTAGATATGTATCAATAAAAAAAATGGGTGATGCATTTTAAAAGCAGAGTGCATCTGTAAAGCAGCATAATAGGTATCATACAAAGATGGGTTTCTCTTTCTAAAAATTTCTACAACAGACTTATTGATAGGGTAGCATGTTTCGTATGTGATCTCAGCCAAAGTACGTAAAATTAACATATTTTTCAGGTACATGTGTTCATGTTTAAGAGGCAGAATTTGATTGGTGTAATGTGGTTTGCATTAGATTAATTTAAAATTTTTAAATTTAAAGCCAATTATTTGAATTCATCTTTACTCTTAAATAACAATGAACAGTGATGTTTCTTATTAATTTCAATAGTTGAAATTATTTTTTCTTTTGATTGTTATGTTAGCATTTTATGTTCTTTTTTCTTTTAGAGTGAATTGGATGACTTAGAATATACATATGACCTCTTCTCAGTTATTATACACAAAGGCGGCTGCTACGGAGGCCATTACCATGTATATATTAAAGACGTTGATCATTTGGGAAACTGGCAATTTCAAGTACGTATAGAAATTAATTTAGAAATATCTTTGCAATTTATTTTCTATTTCTATTATTTTGTTGAGGATAATCTTTTACTATTTATTATATATCCATTCTAGAAAACTTTGACAGGCACTGAAAGTTAATACAGATACAAGTTTTAAATTTTTATTTCTAAATAATTTTACATATACAGAAAAATTACCAGAATAATAAAAACGCGTTCTGTCTACCCTTTACCTAGATTCTCTGGTTGTTAACATTTTGCCACATTTGTACCTGTGCATACACAGACACACACACATTATTAACATTATCATTATTAGTGCTGAACCTTTTGAAATTAAGTTGAAGACACCAGGTCCCTTTCCACTAAATACTTGAGTGTTTCTTCTAAAAATAAAGATATTCTCTGACATGAGCATTGATTAAAATCAGGAACTTCTAACATTGATATAATACTGTTGTCTAATACTTAGTTATGTTCAGATTTCACCAGTTTTCCAGCTCCCATCCTTCATGGCAATTTTCCCCCCACTCTAGTGTCAAATCCAGTGTAAGCAAGTTAGCTATCTCTGGTATCTCCTATAATCTGGGACCATTCCTTAGCTATACAATTACTCTGTTATCATGAAGAGACAGCATAATTCCTATAGCTGACAATTACTGAATTTTTTCTGAAAAATAAAATGAGCATTGATTTAGGTAACACACAATATTGCTTTTGTGTCCTGCAGATGGTAGGTGAAAATGTGATAAAAACTATAAATCCCTTGTCAGTAGCTTTCACAGTAGGATTTAAAACCAGGGTGAATTTTGTCCTGTTTATTATAGTATGACTGTGCAGTTATGTCTTTTATGGTTGCCCTTTGAAACATTGCTCAATCACCACTGATTAAATTACATTTAAAACTCTGATCTTCTAGAATGGTTTCCTGTGAGAGGTATAAGAAGGTGTTCTTTCCACTTGAAAAAATTACCCATTTCTATGTATTGAGTAATCAGTTTTTCTCTACCAATCTATTATGCCATTTCTGTTATGTCTGCTGTTGGTTTTTGTGTGAGTCTATTTTTCAGCTCTCTATTCTATTCCATTGTTCCATTTTTTTCTGTTTCTGGGCAAATACCACATTGTCAATTTCCATAGCTTTATAATAAGTCATGATCTCTGGTAGGACAAGTCTCCCTACATGCTGTTATTCTTCAGGAGTGTGGGACCTGTCTTTGTTTTTATGCTTCTGTGTACATTACTAGCAACACCTTGTCAGTATTCTTACAGATGCAGACCACCTACACATATACATACACATACACACACACAATGGGATTTCGAGTCTTCATATATGAACTAAATATAAGGGACTAAAGTCCCTTAATATTTTATTAAAAAGTTATATAATATTTCTCAAAAAGAGAATTTGCAGACTTTCTGAGGGAAAGCGCTAACCAGTACCTAGGAAATTATAATCTATTACACATCAACCCCAAACACAGTGAAATATCTATAGGTAAGTCACAGACTGTCATATTAGGATGTAAAATGCTTAAAGCATAGCTTCCTCTTATCAGAAAGTTAATGTTGTTGACGAATACTTGCTCCACATTTAGTTGTAATATGGCATCTCATGATGCCAGCGGTATCCAAGATGCAGTTTCTTTGTTGACACTTAGCCTGCTTTTCAAAACATCCGTCCGTATTTCTGACGTTTTATCAGTGGTATTTGGAATGTATTGAGAGATATATGTTCTGTAAAGTTTGGATATGAGAAAAGTCAAACGGTATTCTACCAGGAACATGTTTACCAGGGAGATGGTCTATGCCTAAATTTTGTGTTTTCTGGAGTGTTTGTGGCTGGTGTATTGAAATACAGTTTTCTTTGGTATATTGATTTTATATACTAAAATACATAAAAACCAATTTACATACTAACAACCAAAGATCTTGCTAAACACTCTTGTTGAAGGCATCTATGGAAAAAGACAGTTTTGTCTCACCCGTCCCAGTTCTTTGCCTTCCATTTCTTTTGCTTACTCCAATGACTGGAACTCCCTTTCTGGCTTGGGAAAGCTGTTCCAGCATCACTCTCAAATGCTTGTGCCACATTTGCCAAGATAACCAGATTGTTGGGCACCTTCCCGTGAGCCGATCCTTATCGTGTAATTATACCTTCCCTCGAACTACCTTGTTGTATATTTAGTTTCCTAGAGTAGAGAATCCTTAAGAAAGTGGCCTTCTTACTCCCCCTTAAACTCCCCCCTATCTTTTCAAACAGGCTTTATTTTGGTCTCTCCCTAAGATGAAGCCTTTCTCCCACCAACAGTGTAAAAGTGTTCCTATTTCTCCACATCCTCTCCAGCATCTGTTGTCTCCAGATTTTTTAATGATTGCCATTCTAACTGGCATGAGATGGTATCTCAATGTGGTTTTGATTTGCATCTCTCTAATGACCAGTGGTGATGAGCATTTTTTCATGTTTGTTGGCCTCATGTGAGAACACATGGACACAGGGAAGGGAGTACTACACACTGGGGTCTATTGGGGGGAACAGGGGAGGGACAGCGTGTGGGGGGAGCTGGGAGGGATAGCCTGGGGAGAAATACCAAATGAGGGTGAAGAGGAGGAAGGCAGCAAAACACACTGCCATGTGTGTACCTATGCAACTATCTTGCATGTTCTGCAGTGTACCCCAAAACCTAAAATGCAATTAAAAAAAAAAAAAGATGAAGCCTTTCTTTAGATTCTGATAGAAGCTTGTCACCAGGTCTGATAAATGTTTATTGTGGTGTTCATTTTTTTTTGCCTTGCCCATTCCCATTGCAGTCTGTGGGTCTTTTCCAGTTTTTCCTCCACCTGTTGTGACTTTCTTCAGTATTGCCATGTCTCTCTTCAGTCTTAGGAAGTGCACCCAGCCTCTGTGCCAGCCCCGGTTCTACCTCAGGGAGTGTGCCCTGCATTCCTTGATGCCTGCTGCAGTTTTTGCTCAGCCAGTTTAAAGCTTTGAGGTATTTTTCTGGCTGGCAATATTTATCCTCAGTTTTTGGATGCATAAAATATCTGTTTGCAGTTTCATCTTCAAGTTTCTCACTGAGGTCATGCACAAAGGTGGCTTCGCACTCTGGTGAGGCAGCATGTTTTGAGAGTGGTGATTCTCTCTTCCTTGACTTTCTTTTGGGTTGTGGTTTCCTGGCATCTCTTTTGCAGTTTTGTGTTCATTTCTTTAGAATTGATGAGCTAGTTTCTAGCAGCATCAGGATCTCTTCTCAGTTCTGTGACGTGACTCAAGGGGCAGTCAGGCATTCCTTCATTTGGCTTCAATCTCTGCACTGCCTGTCCATTTTTGAAGCTCTGACACCTTAGCAAGGTCTTCCTCAGGGCTTACAGAACAATGGAATATTGTGCTTGGTATGTTTTCTTGTCAATGGCTATCAAGCCTCCCATTTGTTAATTTTTTCTCTTATTCTGTTCTTTAAGAATCACATCCAGTGCTTTATGGTGTTCAGATAATGATTGTGTGCTTTAAGAATTTCACCTGCAGTAGATACATTTGGTTGGCATCATTGGGAACCTCATCCTCTTGCACATATGAGGATATGGGGCAAAGAAGGCTCCATGGCAGCACCCAGTTGGCAGCTCTATGACTGGACCAGCCTGTCCCCACATGGCCAGGGTCAGACACTGGCAGAGTGGAGGAGGACGGGGCCTAGCCTATATGTTACCTGCATCAACTTGTCACATGTTGGGCTCATAGGCTGAAGCATCATCTCTACAATACCGGTTTGCCTCTCCCCTCCTGTCATTTTTAAATCTCTTATTCCATTGTTATAAATTTCTTCAAGCACCTTAAACATATTTTATTATTTTCTGTCTGATAATTGCAGCATCTGTGTAGGTCTGACATGGATATCTTCTGATGTTGCCGATTCTGTTTCCTTGTGATTTTGTTATTTTGCACTGTAGTCTTCTTGCTTTGCTTGTTTGCTTTTTAAGAACTTGATTTACAGGAGTAATTTGGGGCCTGAGTTAAAAGTGTCTTCTTCCAAGAAAGATCTGTGTGTGTCTGTACACAAGCCTGGGATCACTACCAGCCCTTAACAACATTAAAATCAACTTTATGGTTTTAGAGCCATACAGCTAGTATGAATTTGGGTCACAAACCCACATGAGGACCTACTTGTGATTATTAGAGGACATTTTTCCCCTTTCATCCAGTATCAAGGTCAAGGCAAGCCAGTTCCTCATTGTCCTTTATTGTAAAGTGGATTTTTTTCTGGGTTGTGCTTATACTGAAGGTATAGCCATTTAGGTAGTCCAGCTTTTTGCTGGATTTTATCATTGTGATATATTAAAAAGTATAGATTTGGTCATCCTCTCCAGTTCCAGTTTCTAACACAGAGCTCCTTGGAGTTTCCTAAGTGATGGAGTGTTTTTTGCTATTCATAACAGGCCCCTTTCGACCATACTGAGTTGATGCTAATTAAGTCAGTGTTAGATACCTCAGGATGGAGGCTGGTTGCCAGAGTAGCCGGTCCCATTGAAACTTTCAGCCCTGCTTCCCTGACCCTGGGGAGGGGAGAGAGACAGGAAATTGAGTTTATCACCAATGACCAGTGATTTATTTAATCGATCATGCCTCTTTAATGAAACTTCAGTGAAACCTCTTGAAAAATGAGGTTTAGAGCATTGCTGGGTTGGTGAACACATTTTCATGCGGGGAGGGTGGCCACACGACTCCACAGAAACAGAGACTCCTGAACTGTGGGCCTTCTGCACCTTGCCCTATATCTGTCTCCATCTGACTGTTCATGTATATCCTTTATAATAAGGTGTAGTATAAGTTCCTGAGTTCTTACTGTTGTTCCAGAAAATTATGAACATCATTTAGGGGTGATGGGAACCCTAGAATTTGTAATCGGCCAGGCAGAAGTGTGAGTACCCTGGGGACCCTATACGTGGTTGGTGTTTGAAGTAGGGGACAGTCTTATGGGACTGAGTCCTCAACTTACAGAGTCTGTGTTATCACCAGATAGTGTCAGAATTGAATGGAAGTTTGTGACACCTAGGTGATGTCAGAGAATTGAAGAATTGATTGTTGTTTGAAACACCAGTCACTTGACTCCTTCCTTTGGTTAGGGCTAGGCTTTTTCTCCCAAACTCTGTCCTGTGTGGGCACCAAAATGGAAGTTCAGTGTCAGCAAGATCAGTGTCTTAGTCCGTTCTGGTTCAGGCTGCTCTAACAACACTTAGACTGGGTAACTTATAAACACTAGAAATTTGTTACTTACAGTCCGGAGGCTAGGAAGTCAAGATTAAGGGACCAGCAGATTTTGTGTCTATGAGGACTTGCTCTGCTTCATAGATGACACTTCCTTGTCGTGTCTTCACATGGCAGAAAGGACAAACTCCTTCAGGCCTTTTTCATAAAAAAATCCCATTCATGAGGGCTCGTCTTTTTGTGACCTAATTATGTCCTGAAAGCCCCACCTCTTAATACTATTGCATTGGCAATTAGGTTTCAACATATGAATTTTGGGGGAACCTAACTACTATGGCCATAGCAGTTGGAGAGCCAGAGGCCTCATCTCTGGATTTCTTCCCCACATTCCCATTTTACTTTTTGACCTCAGAAGGTTTTCCTGATGTTCTTGCTAGCTCATTGTGTGTTTAAAATGTTTTTATTTGTTTTGATTTTACTTTATCTAGCTTTTTTAGTAATTTTGTAGCAGGATGATTGTATCTGGCCTGCCATATTTTTCCATTACTTATTGGTTATTTATTTTTGGCTTGTGTTATTTAGAACTATTTGTATTTCTGGTTTTAAGTCAATTTAAAATACTTTTGCAAGATGACATGCATGGGGAAAAAAAGGCAATGAAGATAGCTTACTCAGGAAATTCTGACATATTCCCCAATACCTTCATAAAATGGAGTGAAAATCTGAATGATCAGGAAATAAAAAGGAGTGTTTAAGCTGAGCCTGGCCTGCAAAGATGAATAGAGTTTCCTTAGGTCAACACAAGTGAATGAGACCGCACGGGACAAAGGCCAGAAAATACTTTGAACTGAATTTTATTTTATTTTATTTTTGAGACAGTTTCACTCTTGTCACCCAGGCTGGAGTGCATTGGTGCTATCTCAGCTCTCTGCAAGCTTCTCCTCCTGGGTTCAGGCGATTCTCTTGCTGCAGCCTCCCGAGTAGCTGGGATTACAAGTGCATGCCACCATGCCCAGCTAATTTTTATGTAAAAATACAAAAATATAAAAAGTAGAGATGGGGTTTCGCCATGTTGGCCAAGCTGGTCTCGAACTCCTGACCTCAGGTGGTCCACTTGCCTTGGCCTCCCAAAGTGCTGGGATTACAGGCATGAGCCACTGCACCCGGCCACTTTGAACTGAATTTTAATGAAAACTCAATATATCAAATTATGTAAAATGTAGCTAAACTAGTGCTAAGCTGGAAAATGTTTGACCCCACTGCATGTATTGTGCTAGAAGCTTTACTTATTTCATATTCTTTTACAATTAAAGCCAGAGAGATGAAGTTAATTGTCCAGGATTGCTCAACCAGGAGCTGGAAAAAGCCAGGTCTGCCTGATTCCAAGCATATGCAGATTATTGTGATGTTTTCACCACCATTTAAATCACCATCTTGAAACCTCTTTCTTTTTTTGTGTGTGTGTGACAAGGTCTTGCTCTGTCACCCTGGCTGGAGTGCAGTGGTGGAATCACGGCTCACTGCAGCCTCAACCTCCTGTGCTCAAGTAATCCCTCTGCCTCTGCCTCCCAAATTGCTGATGTTATAGGTGTGAGCTACTGTGCCTGGCCAACATTCCTACTTTGTTACTTTTTAAGGGGTTAGTGATAGAAACTCATATTGTTTTCCTTCCTAGGAGGAAAAAAGTAAGCCAGATGTGAATCTGAAAGATCCCCAGAATGAAGAAGAGATTGATCATCCTCTGATGATTCTGAAAGCAATCTTATTACAGGTATAGTATGTGTGTGTATGTGTTTGTATGTATGTGTGCATGTGTGTATATATATATGTAAGAATATATGTGGTTTAGTTGGTAGATCTGATAATATTACCATTCATAGTCCTTTTCCTTAAGGACATTCTCTGTATCTATATTTTAACAATTTTTGTGGGGATTTTCTGGTTGTAAATGAAACACATATTCGTGGTAGAAAATTCAAGGGAAAAAAAAGAAAAAATATAAAAAAATGAAAAGTATAAATAGGCCAGATGCTGAGTTATTGTTAACACTTTGATATATTCTTTGCATTCTGTTTTCTTTATGTTTATATACATATGTTGGAATTGGGTTATGATTTTTTATTATTATCATTTTAAACCAAATTGAACTTTACTAAATGTTTTGCAGTTTATTGCATTTTCATATTATCCTTTTAATGTCTCCATGACTAAATTATATCCCCTTTTTCATTCCTTGCACTCACTGATAATACCTCAAGTATATGACTTTTAAAGTTTAATATGCTGTTTTAAAGATGTGAGGTCTTCTTTCATTTATTCATTCATCTTTAATAAATGATATGTTGGCCAGGTGTGGTGGCTCACGCCTGTAATCCCAGCACTTTGGGAAGCCAGGGAAGGTAGATCATGAGGTCAGGAGTTCAACACCAGCCTAACCAAGATGGAGAAACCCCAACTCTACTAAAAATACAAAAATTAACCAGGTGTGGTAGCGGACTCCTGTAATCTCAGCTACTTGGGAGGCTGAAGCAGAAAATTACTTGAACCCAGGAGGCGAAGGTTGCAGTGAGCTGAGATCACACCACTGCGCTCCAGCCTGGGTGACAGAGTGAGATTCTGTCTCAAAAACAATAAAAATAAAAAATAATCAACGCAGGTTCCCTAGTGGGGTCCCCTACTGGGGGCCGGGCTGAGTACTTTAATTATATAGATCCATAACTACTGTATTAATTTGCAAGGGTTGCCATGACAAATGCCACAGACTGCACGGCTTAGATGATAGCAATGTGTTTTCTGACAGTTTTGAAGGCTGGAAGTCCAGGACCAAGGAAGGTGTTGGCAGGTTTGCTTTCTTATGAGGCCTCTTTCCTTGGCTTGCAGATGGCCATCTTCTTCCTGTGTCCTCACATGGTCTTTCTTCTGTGTGTGTGTGCTTCCCTGGTGTCACTTTGTCCAAACTTCCTCTTCTTATGATAATGCTAGTCAGATTTACTTAGGGCCTCCTCTAAAATGGAAAACAGCCTCGTTTTATCTTAATCACCTCTTTAAAGGTCTTATCTTCAAATGTAGTCACATTCTGAAATATTGTAGGTTAAGAATTCAACATACGAATTTTGGGGAGATACAGTTCAGCCTGTCACAGCTACATTTCACTCCCTTTGAGAACTTGTTTATACTTCAAAACATTTAGAGAAGACATTAATCATCTTTGTTTTTGTACTTACGTATTTCTTCTAATTAATATCAGCAATTTACTCATTTAAATGGGAAACTTCTTTTTAATGTTGGGAAATTACCAGAACTTGGGCTACTTTTGACATTGCTCTTCAAATAGTTAAACTGTGCCACATGGAAAATGGCAAAAATCCAAGTTTTCTGAACTGAGGTTTAATCCAGTTTTTTAAAAACTTTTCATAATAAAATAATTTTCATTGAATCCACTTACACGTTTGCTGTTCTAGGCATGTTTAATTAGGTATAATCCTGTTGGTCTCTTTGAATTTGTAAGTATGCAGTTATTTCTTACCAGATTTTCTTAAGTGACTGTGTTTCTTTCATAAGGAGGAGAATAATCTAATTCCTGTTGATCAGCTGGGCCAGAAACTCTTGAAAAAGATAGGAATATCTTGGAACAAGAAGTACAGAAAGCAGCATGGACCACTGCGAAAGGTAATACATGGCATTGATTTGAGAAGTCCTAGTCCCAAAAAATTTTATTATGATCCCAGCAACATGAATTCCTTTGCAGAAGGATACTTAAAATAGGTGAAAATAAAATCACCATATTTATATAATGGCTAGAGTTCAACAAAGTTATTTATTAAGTATTACTTACTGAGTTATTTACATGAAACAAGAAGCAAAAATACTAGGGAGCAACTCATTAAAAATGTCAGAGTTCTTACCCTAAAGCTTATCATTTTACGTATATAAATGTCTTCAGGTATTCACCCAGATTTAACTTGATTTTTTACACAAAATTCTAGTAAACTCGATTACCTGGTTTCCTAGGCTGTAAGATTAGATTTAAAAACTGAAACTGCCAGGAATAAGAGGTAATGGCTTGAGTGAAAACAAACAGGCGAAAAGTACTTTAGTGCTGTAACCATATTGGAGCTGTTTCCTGAAGGAGCGGAACGTTTACTTCAGTAAGTGTTTAAGCGCATCTTTTAATTGGACCACAAAAAAATTAGATTTTCTGTTACTTCTTACATTATTTTGAAAAATTGTAGCTTTTAAGAAATTTGTCTTTTTATCTATGGTGTCAAATTTATTGGCATAAACTTGTTCAAAATATCTCATTATCCTTTTAGTGTCTGTAGAACCTGAAGCTTTGTTTTCATTTCTGATATTAATAATTTTTATTTTCTCACCTTTTTTCATCAGTCTTGCTTGGAGATTATCAAGTTTATTTTATTCTTTTTTTTAGACATCCACTCTGTTGCCCAGGCTTGAGTGCAGTGGCACGATCTCAGCTCACTGTTTAAGCCCAGGACGCGGAGACTGCAGTGAGCTATGATCATACACTGCACTGCAGACTGGGCAACTCTAAAAGAAAAAAAAACCTAATACAATATAAATGCTAAATAAATAGTTGTACTGTATTTTTAAGTTTTTATTATCTTTCACTATTATACTGAGGGCCAACTGTTTATATTTGACCATTTGACATTTCCTCTCAGGTCTTGCATGTTCTGAAGGTATTTGTTTTGTTTTGTTTTGAGTCTCACTCTGTTGCCCAGGCTGAAGTGCAGTGGCACGATCTTAGCTCACTGCAACCTCTGCCTTCCAGACTCAAGCAATGCTGCAGCCTCAGCCTCCCAAGTAGCTGAGATTACTGGCATGTGTCTCCATACCCAGCTAATTTTTTGTATTTTTTTTTGTAGAGTTGAGGTTTTTGCCATGTTGGCCAGACTGGTATTTTATTCTTTCATTTTTTAATTCCCCTACTTCAATTTGGACAATTTCCATTGATCTGTCCTCAGCTTTGCTATTTTTTTCTTCCATTGAGACACTATTCTTTTAAGATGAACCAATGAACCAGGTGCAGTGGCTCATGCCTATAATCCCAGCACTTTGGAAGGCTGAGGTGGGCAGATCACGAGGTCAAGAGATCAAGACCATCCTGCCCAAAATGGTGAAACCCTGTCTCTACTAAAAATACAAAAATTAGCTGGGCATGGTGACATACTCCTGTAGTCCCAGCTACTCGGGAGGCTGAGGCAGGAGAATCACTTGAACCCAGGAGGCGGAAGTTGTAGTGAGCCAAGACCACACCACTGCACTCCACCCTGGGAGACAGAGTAAGAGTGTCTCAAAAAAAAAAAAAAAAAAAAAAACCACAAGATCAGCCAATGAGCTGTATATTTCAGATATTATACTTTTTAGCTGTATTCTTTCCACTTTATAATAGCTGCTTGTTATAAAAACTAGATTAATCCTGAATTTGATTCTGTTGACTCTTTTATTCTCTTTTGAATTGACCATTCCGTCTCTTGATAATGAATAACATTGTCCCATTTCTTTGCATGTCATAAAATCTTTTTTTTGAGATGGAGTCTCACTCTGTAGCTCAGGCTGGAGTGCAGTAGTGTGATCTCGGCTCCCTGCCCGCTCCACCTCTTGGGTCACAGTTCAAGCAATTCTCCTGCCTTGCCTCCCAAGTAGCTGGGATTACAGGCACACGCCACCACACCCAGCTAATTTTTGTATTTTTAGTAGAGACAGGGTTTCACCATGTTGACCAGGCTGGTCTTGAACTCCTGACCTCGTGATCCACCTGCCTTGGCCTCCTAAAGTTTTGGGATTTCAGGTGTGAGCCGCTGTGCGTGGCCCATGTAATTAATCTTTTTAATGTAAGTTTTTATTTTTAATTACAAATTGATAGATTTTAGTCCTATATATTAATAGGAGTACAGATTGATGTTTTAATTTGTAAATACAAGATAGAATAATTAAATCAAGCTAATGACCATATCCATCATCTGAAATACTTTTTTGTGGTGAAATTTACTATCAGCAATTTTGAAGTGTACAGTATATCATTATTTTCTGTATTCACCACACTGTGCAATAGCTTTTTTAAGCAAAGCAGCTTATTCCTACCATTGAATTGAGGCTTTGTATCCTTTGACCATCATCTCCCCATGCCTTGCCCCTGCTCCATATAATCTCATATTGTGGATGATATGTCTTGGAAAGTCTGGATTGTTATTTTTCTCTGAAGAGCTTTGCATTGCATTCTAACAAGCCGTCAAATTACCTTTGCATCTTTTAGATTCTGTGGAAGTTAGATTTTGGGCTTTGGTAGTGTGGGTCTGTTACAATTTTGCCTTTAGTTCCAGGGAATAGCTTAACCCTGGGTCATGGTCCTTCTTCTTATAGTAGGGCTCAGCTAACCATAGCCTGTGGGCAAAATGTGGCCTGCTGCCTATTCTTAGAGTCTTGAGCTAAGAACATGATTTACATTTTTAAATGGTTACTTTTTAAAAGGTGAAGTGAGTACTAAGTAATGTTCTCAGTTTTGCTTCTAAAATATTTACCATCTGGCTCTTTAAGAAAAAGTTTGCCATCTCTTTCTAATTCGGCAGGACTTCAACTCCATGTTCTTTCTTCTTGGCAGCAGGCAGCTCTGCTGATGTCGAACCTCCTAACTGATACTCTCTGCTGGGCTCTTTGAGCTGTCCATTCTAGCATTTAGGAGTTAGCCAAGGATTTAGGGGGATTTGATACAGATTTGGGGTTCCTTTATGGGATCTCCCCTTTTCGGTATTCTCAGATTCTGTCCCCTCAGTCCAGTGAGACTCTTGCCTTTTCTTGAAGTCTGTTCCACCATGCACTACTACAGACTGGTTAGTGGTAGGTGAATCCAGAACTCGCCTGGTTTACTCCCCTTGTTTGAAGTATTAGGTCTTTTCCACTTTATGCCTACTTTTGGTTCCTTTCCCAACAGTTGTTTTACTTTGGAGTTTATAGTTTTTATCAGGTAGATTAGTCTAAGAAAATTTTTTTGTCATTACTGGGACTAGACTGCACTGATGTTTGAGGCTTAAAGAGTTAATTTTCAGCTGTCGAACAAAGAAAAACTTGGCTATATAGAAAGTTCATTACTTAAAAATCCAAAGGAGAAAAATGAAAAGAAAGTTCATTATTTGGGCCGGGCGCGGTGGCTCACGCCTGTAATCCCAGCACTTTGGGAGGCTGAGGCGGGTGGATCACGAGATCAAGAGATCGAGAACATCCTGGTCAACATGGTGAAACCCGGTCTCTACTAAAAATACAAAAAATTAGCTGGGCATGGTGGCGCATGCCTGTAATCCCAGCTACTCAGGAGGCAGAGGCAGGAGAATTGCCCGAACCCAGGAGGTGGAGGTTGCGGTGAGCCGAGATCATGCCATTGCACTCCAGCCTGGGTAACAAGAGCGAAACTCCGTCTCAAAAAAAAAAAAAAAAAAAAGAAAGTTCATTATTCAAAGCTTTCAAGTTGTTGATACTTTTTTGTACCTTAAACAAATTAGCTACCACACTATGTTACCCTCTGTTTTCATACACAGTGCTAGCAGTGTTGTCTTTGGGTTATGCCCTATGCTGTTCTATTTGTTGATAAAATAATACTTTTGATTAGAGAGTTGACATGACCACAAATTACTTTCCAAGAGAAAAATGAACCAATCATCTTTCCAGGGTGATTGATGAAGTATACAAGTGTTGAATTTAACTCCCAAGTAATTTTCTGTATAAGGTAAATTAGGCTGAGAGAAAAGAAAGAGATGCGAGGCCACAGAGGTTAGCGAGTGAGAGGATAGAGGACTGAGGTATGGGGTGGTAGAGATAGGCAATAGCAAAAGAGATTTTTTTCTTCCTAATCCTTTAGCAAGAACTTCTGGATTGTGACTTAACCCTTTCTATGCTTTGCTTTTCTGAGTTTGTCTGCCATCTTTTAGAACAGCCAACACTCACTTTAGCTCATGTTAGGTTGATGATTACTACCTTATCCCAACATTCTGTCTGGATTTTCAAATTATCTTTTATGGTGGTGCACTGTGTGATTGCCTTTGTTTTGTGCCTTGTTTAGATTGCTTTTAAATATTTCAAAAGTGTTTGTTCTACCTAATCTGTTCCAGTTAAATACTCTTTTAAACAGCACTAGTGAGGTATAATTAAAATGCTTTTTAGATTGTAGCTTAGCAACTTCCTCCCTTGATGTAACTATCAGACTATTTAACAGAGAGAGCACTGTGGTTTTATTAAATGTTTTATTAGACCTAGATGGATGTCCCCCCACTAGCTGGCCAGGACAGAAATAAAGATGAAGTTAAAAGATCTGATCACAGAAGGGAAGAAAACATTTTTAAAATCATGTCTAATTTTTGTTTGAATAATTAACCTAGCATTTGTGGTTTTTGTTTGTTTCTGTGTAGTTCTTACAGCTCCATTCTCAGATATTTCTACTCAGTTCAGATGAAAGTACAGTTCGTCTCTTGAAGAATGGTTCTCTCCAAGCTGAGACTGATTTCCAAAGTAATGACCAGCAAATTTTCAAGACGCCTCCTCCAGAATCCCCAGGTTTAAACAATAGCATCTCCTGTCCCCACTGGTTTGATATAAATGATTCTAAAGTCCAGCCAATCAGGGAAAAGGATATTGAACAGCAATTTCAAGGTAAAGAAAGTGCCTACATGTTGTTTTATCGGAAATCCCAGTTGCAGAGACCCCCGGAAGGTATGGAAAGAAAAATGTTTCTATTTGTTTTGGTTAATGGCTTTTGAAGAGAAACATGGAATGCTGTTTGAGTTTTTATTCTTTCAAAAGAACTTTTACTCTTGGAACATTTCAAAATATTTTAAAGCTAACAATAAGAGCTATATTATGCCAAATGAAATCTAACAATTTGTCATTTTATAAAGATTATATACTTCTCTTTTCTACCCTATAGTAGTGTAAGATCGTCATTACATTTTCAAAATTGGATTTCCTTGGATAGCATGAAACCACCTTCTTGTGTTAGCAAACTTGAGTGCGATTGCCATGTGCTCAGACTTGGCTCTGTCATTCAACCATATGTTGCCTATGAATTTTAAGTGGCCCTGGTCTTATTGTATATCTTCTCCTTTATTTTCCTGATCTTTTTTATATCTTCTTCTTTATTTATATTATTTATCCTTTACATCGTTTCATATCTTCTCCTTTATTTTCCTGTTTTTCCAATAATACTTTTTGTTTATTTATTTATTTTTAGAAATGCGACCTCTCTCTGTCTTCCAGGCTGGAGTGCAGTGGCACAATCGTTCACTGCAGCCTCGAATTTCTGAGCTCAAGTGATTCTCTTCCCTTACTGTCTTCCCTTACAAGTAGCTAGGCCTACAAGCACATGCTGCCAGGCCTGGCTAATTTTTTTCATTTTTTTAGACTCAGGGTCTCTCCAGGTTCGTCTCAAACTCCTGGCCTCAAGTGATCCTCAGACCTCAACCTCCCAAAATGCTGGTGTCACCAGTAGAGGGTTGTGACTGCAAGTTGTTCAGGTTCTTGGCATTTTGAGGAAAGAATTGGACAAAACTCCCAGCAATGCAAAGAAAGAATGAAGCAACAACAGAATGAAAGCAGGGATTTATTGAAAACAAAAGTACACTCCAGTGTGGGAATATACACAATCTTCTTGGGTCCAAATACCTCCTAGAAGTTTTTCCTTGGCCACATCATGCTCACCTCATGTAAATGAAGTGGTAGCCTGCAGTCAGTCTGATTGGTTGCAGAAAGCAGCCAACCAGAGGCTGATGTGATGTTACAAAGGTCACTCGCGTGTGTAAACATCTGATTTGTTTTTGCAGCCAATCAGAGGCTAGGGTGAAGACATAAAATTATACTTCTACGGAAACTAGGGCATGGTGGCCAATCAGTCTGCTTGGTTGTAAGCAACACCCATTCAGTGGCTGGAGTAAAGTTACAAAGTTGCAAACGAAGACTCCACCCACAGTCTAATCTGTTGCAGACAGCCAGTTTACTATAATCTGTGCACAGAAAAGGCCAAACAGTAACCTCTGGTCCTTTGTTACTTAGGTGCCAAAAGTTAGGGTTTTCCTTTCAATTTATTTTTAGGAAGTCTGTGTGAAACAGCCTTAGGTTTCCTGTCTCCAGACCCTATTCTCCTGCCTCACTGGGATTATAGGTATGAGGTCTCGTAAGATTTTTTGATGACTTCTCAAAGTCTGTTCAAAAGTTAAAAACTCTAATAGAAAAGCTTTATAGATTGAGGCATATCTATTTTTAGAGATGAGGATATTTTTAGAGAATGAAAATAGCCATCATTTTTATAAAGAATAAGAATAAAGCAGTTACTAATTTGCATGTAAATCAAAGGAAATTAACTTTCTATATCTGAAACAGTTACATAACTATACTGTTAATCTAAAAGACTTCGTATTTTTCTGGGAGGCAAAAAGATATGGAAATGGTTCTGGCACAAATACTGTTTATCAGAATTCACAGTTATAGAAATGTATTATCAGAAAAAGAATATCTTCAAATTGAGTATTAGTATTTTTTACAGAATTGAATTTTAGTGTGTATATAATTGGAATGTGTACTCAATGACCATTTTCTGGTTAGCTTAGGAATTGAACAAAGATCCAACCAAACTCTCCATGTACTTTTTTTGGGAATTAAAGGATAAAACTTTACGAAGTGATTCTAAAATGCACCTGGAGAAATAAAGTCGTAAGAATTGAAGAAGAGATGACTGCGGGAGAATTTGCTGCGTCAGTAAAAGCATATTCGTAAAGTTATAGCAATGAAGACAGGGTAGTGATGACGCAAAAAGGGAGACATGTCATTGAAAAAGAGCAGCAAACCCAGGAATTGATCTGAGCATATTTGTATTTTCATCCATGATAAGGTAGCTCTTTAGATATTTCGGAGAAGGAAAGGAGTATGAATTACTCAATAAATACAACTGGGAAGTTGGTTAGTTGCTAGGGAAATAACTAAGGCATTTTTCTTTATCATACAAATCACTTAAATGAAATTATAGTTCCTTTAATATTTATGTAAAAAAGGAATCATAAAATGTGTAAAATATAAATATTTGATCTTAAGCTAAAGAAAACCTTTCTAAACATAAAAGCATAATTATGCTACTTCTAGAATGCAATCATTTATTTAAGACTGGAAAAATACAGTACATGAAATGAAAACAGATTTGTTGAATATGATCCTAGTTTTTAAAATTTGTGTGTGTACACACGTGTGTGTGCATATGTGTGTGTTGGGAGTGAAATTACAAGCAGTATCTATATTTTTACACCTAAAAAATTCCAGAATTTATACAGTAGTCAGTTATTATATTTGTATTCAAGATGAAAATCTGAGACCAGGCATGGTGTCTCACACCCATAATCTCAGCACTTCGGGAGGCTGAGGTAGGCAGATCACTTGACACCAGGAGTTCAAAACCAGCCTGGGCAACATGGTGAAACCCCATCTCTACTAAAAATACAAAAATTAGCCAGGTTTGGTGGCACACACTTGTAATCCCAGCTACTCAGAGGCTGAGGGACAAGAATTGCTTGAACCTGGGAGGCAGAGGTTGCAGTGAGCCAAGATCGCACCACTGCACGTGACAGAGCAAGACTCTGCCTCAAAAAAAAAAGAAAAAAAAAGATGAAAATCTGGGTGTTCTTTTTAAAAAGTATACTTAAAAGAGTTGAAAAAGTGGAATTCTTCTAGCTTGTCTTGAAGAACTATATACATTTCATTTGTTCTTACTTTTCATTTTTCAGATGGGAAAACTGAGATCCTGAGAAAATTTGTATTCACACAGCTAATTAGTAGCAGCTTTCTTAGCTCCCAGGACCGTCCTTTCTAATCTTCATGCTACCTCTTCCAGCAATCAGATTTCATTTAGCCAACACAAGTTAATGAAAAATTTTGTTCACAGCTCGAGCTAATCCAAGATACGGGGTTCCATGTCATTTACTGAATGAAATGGATGCAGCTAACCTTGAACTGCAAACAAAAAGGTAATTTTAAATTACTTTTAGAGTTTCAATAGTATTTCCAGAGCATAATGATCTGATTTAGGGCTTAGGCATTAAATAATGAAAAAAAATTTTTTAAATCTTCAACTAATTAATGCCAGTGTCTGCTTTGCTGCTGAATTTTTATAGTGAGGGTAGCTTTTACTTTGAAATGATTCTTATCTGTGAGAGTGAATTGAATGATGACATACAGTGGCCATTGCTCAGTAGTGATTAAAGCCTAAGAAGAGTGGAGAAATCAGGGAGCACAGAGTTGGGCTAAATGAATTGTGTCCTAACCTGGCCAGATCGTTTCTTTGGGTCCAAAGAGAGCCTGCCATTAAAATCACCCCTCATAGGTAGGTAGTTATAGCAAACTGGCATGTAGTGAGAGAGGACCAGAGGTGGGCAGATTTTCAGAAGGGGAGAAATATGGATTTTATAACCTACTGAATCCAATGCTAATCTTGGGGGAAAGCCTATGATGGATTCTTACTTAAAGAGATGGTTTGTGAGAACTTAATGATCTCAGCATTCTCTTTTGGGGCCTAACCTTTGACTCTGAAGAACGGGTTCTTTCTTTGTGCTCTGATAGGGTTAGTAGGATGTTGGGTTAGGAAAACGGGTATTCCCGTGATCTCCTTGTGGACCCAAATGCCTGATTACGTGGCAGGATGTATTTGACATTGTTAACACTGGCTCGGAGCTGGGGGGAAAAAGTACAGTGAAATGGCACAAGATCAAAGAAACAACAAAAACAAAGATACTTATATATATAAATATATATAAAAGATTATAACTTAACAGTGAAATATCTTAAATCCAAAAAAGAACATGGCATAAGTGGCCTGGACTAGCAGTTGTTATTTAAAGAAAAGAAAAAAAGCAGAGCCTAAGGGGTTGTCATCAGCCCACACTAAGGTCTTTCATGTGGTCATGCTCTCTGGCCACGTTCATCAAAGTATCCTGAAGTACCTGAGTTGTGTGATAAGCCTCGTTCCAGCTCCACATGAATCAGACTCTACCTGTGTTTCGCCCTGGCTTTGAGTCAGCTGAGTGGATTCAGAGAAGAGTAGCCAACACCAGGCTGCTGCCAAGGACTTTTAGCCTGGATAACATGGACTCAGGAGGATCATGCTACTGGCCTCAAATATTTCATGGGCTTGGGCGCTGTGGCTCAGGCCTGTAATCCCAGCATTTTGGGAGGCTGAAGTGGACGGATCACCTGAGGAGGTCTGGAGTTCAGGACCAGCCTGGTCAACACGGTGAAACCCCGTCTCTATTAAAAATAGAAAAACTAGCTGGGCATGGTGGCACTTGCCTGTAGTCCCAGCTACTCAGGAGGCTGAGGCAGGAGAATTGCCTGAACCTGGGAAGCAGGGGTTGCCATGAGCTAAGATCACACCTCTGCACTCCAGCGTGGAAGACAGAGTGAGACTGTCTCAAAAAAACAAAAAATTTCACGGGAGAATCTGCAAAATCTAGTGGAAATAAGGATCATAGATGACAGAAGTAAATCTGTTACTTAACAAAATTATGTGAGCAGGTCTCTAGCATTTTGTTCATAACTATAATATAATCTCAGAAGATTTCAAGTATCAGCCTTTGTTCAGAGAAATGGAGTGAACATTGCAGCCTATGTTAAAACAGTTTTCTCTTGGAATTCATGGTGACAGCTGAACTTTGGCTATTGACTGAAAAACTAAAGTGACTAATTGTGGCTTATAGAAGAAAAATTGTTACCTAGGTGGGATGGAGAACTTATTTGTATTGTAAGTCAGATACCTTTGGTTTGAGATAAAACACAGTGCCTGTTATAAAAACACAGTATTTATGTATTTTGGTGCCTCTTTTTAAAGGGTAGAATGTGATTCTGCAAACAATACTTTTGAATTGCATCTTCACCTGGGCCCTCAGTATCATTTCTTCAATGGGGCTCTGCACCCAGTAGTTTCTCAAACAGAAAGCGTGTGGGATTTGACCTTTGATAAAAGAAAAACTTTAGGAGATCTCCGGCAGTCCATATTTCAGGTAATATAGCCTTACTTCCTCTTAATTGAGACATCAAGGACCATCTCCAGCTAGACTCTCCATTTCATTTTGTTTAGGATGCAACTGTATTTTTCAAAGCTGCTTAGGAAGATCTGATATCTGCCACTTCATAGAGGGATGACCCAAATCTTCTCTCCTACTCCTAAGTCTTTTAGAGAGGCTTTTCTGCACAGTTCCTACCAGCAGCTTTTCTAGTAGACAGTCGGGCCTGGTGGATTTTATTTGGAGGGAAGAAAGAGTATAAAGTTGTCTCTTTTTTAGAAAATAAATGAAAGCAACTTGTCTTTCAAAGAGAGTGAGAAAAAGATGAGCATGTTGTTTACAGCTGAGAACTGCTGAACAAGTAAAAGCAACTAACTTTGTACCCTATAGTATAGAACAGTATTTATTAATAACACTCTTAAGTGAAGGAAAGTATCCACTAATCCATAGTAAAAACAGTGAGGCTGGGCATGGTGACTCACACCTGTAATCCCAGCACTTTGGGAGGCCAGGGTGGGCAGATCACAAGGTCAAGAGATTGAGACCATCCTGGCCAACATGGTGAAACCCGTCTCTAATAAAAATACAAAAATTAGCAGGGCATGGTGGCATATGCCTGTAGTCCCAGCTACTCAGGAGGCTGGGGCAGGAAAATCGCTTGAACCCAGGAGGTGGAGATTGCAGTTAGCTGAGATCACTCCACTGCACTCCAGCCTGGCGACAGAGCGAGCTCTGTCCCAAAAAAAAACGACACTTTTGTAGTTTCCAAGTAATTTTTCTAGGTATGTTTTAATGATGATGATAGCAACAGCAGTGTTCTTTATTTTGCTTATACTGCTTTTATATAAATTATCTGATTTGGTTCTTTAATCTCATTAGCCCCATTTTGAAGAATGGCAGTGTGATTTAAAGAGACTCAATGTCTGGCCTGTGGTCCTAAATCTGGACCTGGGACTGGGAGCTGGGACTCCATCCCTGGTCTTTCTCGTCTTCATGTAGGGTTTTTTCCTCTTCATCACTGTTGCTCCATACTACTTTCCAATCAAAGGAGATAGAAAATGTTAGCTTTTTGTGTTTTTTTCCCAGAAACTAGTTAAATGAATTTTCTGAAAAATTCTATTACTCACCAAAACTATTAGCTTTCTTTTGATTTTATTCTGCTAAGAAAAGCAAAGCATTTTCCTTTTAACCTTAGTTTATTTGAAGGTACAGTGTCAGGATTTCTAAAATTGTCTATTTTTGAACTTTTTCATTCGAAGTTTATTTCTAAGCCAATTCTGGCACTGTTGATACAGGTGGATGTGGGAATCTGAACCTGTCTAGAGGGGTATTTTAAATAGAAAGGATCTTATTCACTTTGTAAATGTGAGGTATACTCCAGTCTGTAATTTTTGGTATTTTAAGTGTATATCTCTACTAACTATTCTCTTAGTAGGACGCTACTGACAAGAGGCTCGGAAGCTCAGTTCACAGCAAACTAATTGCTTAAAAATAAGAAAGTTCTTATTAAGAAAATACTTTATGGCGTTGTAGAGAAAGACTAGATAGAAATGACTTTTGTGGTGATATTATTTTGGTGACATTGCCACAGCACTCAGACTGTTGGATCTAGAAAGACCTGGTAATCTGTGAAGCAAACCGGTGATGCCACTTTATAAATTGGCAATGGGAGACATTCCTTTCAAGCAACTAGAGTATGAGTGCTTGCTAGAGTCAGTGCTGCATTTCCCTGAACAGTGCTAATTCAACAAATAAGTTTTGCTCTTTTGAGAAAAAATGCCTAGGCTGGCATGCTCATCAACTTGCTTACTGAGAAAAGTGATCTTTGTATGTATTCAGCAGAATTGTGTAGATGGTTGTTGTGCCCTTTGTGTATGCCAGAATTCTTCACCCGGTAAAGGAGGAGATTAGCCATCTTTGGATTTGACTAATTTAACAAGTGATGCCTTATTTTCGAGTTCTCATTGTTGGTTAGGGGTGAGAGTATTCGTTTGCAACCTGTGTCATCTACACATCAATTGGCACCGTAACCTGGAAAGGTGATAAGCATATGTCACTTTTCAACATTCTCTTTTCTTTCATTCTGTTCTTCAGCTGTTAGAATTTTGGGAAGGAGACATGGTTCTTAGTGTTGCAAAGCTTGTACCAGCGGGACTTCACATTTACCAGATACTTGACGGTAAGATAAGTATGAAAAAGCAACTCACTCTTTATATTTATATTTTCATTGGGCTCATCTGTCATCTTCTATTCTTTGTCAGTCCTTCCCCACCTACTGCTTTCTTAACTAAGTAGATTATCTTCACACTGTAAGTTTTTCAAAAGAAATAATTTACATAATGTGTGAAATTCTTCTAACATGGAAACATTTTATTTTTTCTGAAATTAAGTCTACCTCTACCAAAAATTTCTTGAAAAACTTTAGAATTATTTATATAGCACATATTGTTGAACAAAATGGTTTCAAACCATCTGAATCATATTTATATGGCTTGATTTTCTGCTCAACTCTCAGCTTCAGATTTTGTAACAAAACAATAAATACTTTGAGAGTTTGAAAGCATTTACTTTCTTTAAATAGCAGCAAAACAATGAGAATCAACAGCAGCAGCAGTTAACATCTAATTTGGGCCAAAATTTGTAATAGGTTTTTATGTTAATTATCTCACTTGATTTTCACAAAATTAATTTATCCCCATTTCATAAATGAGGAAACTGAAGCTGAGAGACATGAAGCACACAAAGATATACAGCATGTGTTACGTACATACTGGTGAAGCTGGGACCATTCCATGCCTCAGCTTAGCTCCTGTTCCCAGTGTCACATGCCTCAAGGACACTTGAGCTTTGTATTAACTACCCCTTTGTCCTCCCACCATGCTCACAAAGCTTTCATAACAATATTTTAAAGAAAAATTACAAAATGAAATAATGTCAATAGAATAAAAATAATTGCTACTTGTTAATTTTTCCTTAGTAAAAATACTTTTCAAACAAATATTTGTCTCAGCTTTTTCTTTAGCTCAGTCTTTTTGATGGTCACGATGAATGGTCTCACTGGTGATCTCTTTCTAGGGGATGAACTGACACTGTGTGAAACTGAAATTGCTGATGGGGAAGACATCTTTGTGTGGAATGGGGTAGAGGTAAAAAAAATTACTGAAGAAATATTCATGATAATTTTGGATGTTTTAAGGTGGTTCATGCCTGTAATCCTAGCACTTTGGGAGGCCAACACAGGCAGATCATGAGGTCAGGAGATCGAGACCATTCTGGCTAACATGGTGAAACCCCATCACTACTAAAAATACAAAAAATTAACCAGGCATGGTAGCACATGTCTATAGTTCCAGCTACTCGGGAGGATGAGGCAGGAGAATCACTTGAACCTGGGAAGTGGAGGTTGCAGTGAGCTGAGATCGTGCCACTGCACTCCAGCCTGGGCGACAGAACGAGACTCTGTCTCAAAAAAAAAAGAAAAAAAAGTTGTTATAATGGCTGGGCACAGTGGCTCATGCCTGTAATCCCAGCAGTTTAGGAGATGGGCAGATTACCTGAGGCCAGGAGTTCAAGACCAACCTGGCCAACATGGTGAAACCCTGTCTCTACTCAAAATACAAAAATTAGCCAGACATGATGGCATATTCCTGTAGTCTCAGTGACTTGGGAGGCCAAGGCAAGAGAATCACTTGAACTTGGGAGGTATAGGTTGCAACGAGCCAAGATTACACCACTGCACTCCAGCCTGCATGACAGGGCAAGACTGCATCTCAAAAAAAAGAAAAGTCACTGTAATGAAATTTTATTCAGCCTATGTGAGGGCAATTAGATATTAGGAAACTACTGAAATGCTTGGTAAATATTAGGGGCGATCAATGCTAGTTGTATATCAAGGACACGTTTCTTGAGCACCTTTATCATTGTGTCAGATGCAAGGTCAAAGTCTGGTCGGTCAATTTGTGTCCTTCTAGGCCCTCATTGTGAAGAACTGCACCACACATGCTAGAGTAGGGGTCTGTGTATAGTGCCTGTGGGAATTTAGAAGAATGAGGAGCTGTACTGAGTTGGGGAGTGGGGGTGGTTTGCAGATGGAGAGTGAATTTTCTATCCCCAGAAGGCAGCCAGGAGCACTTCAGCCACTCTGTGATCTGACCTTGGCCAATCTGGCTTCATCACCACCCCTGATAACTCAAAAATCTCTGTCTCCAGTCTATAATAGATCTCTCTCCTAAAAAAATAAAAGGTGGATAAGAAAGTTTCCAAAGAAAAATCTGAAGTTGTTCCTCTGATGCTTAACAGACATTTGTGAAAATTTTATTTTACTTGGAAAAAATGAGGGTTGTTCTCCAAGAGTAATCTTTTAAAACGTTTACAGTGGTGGCAAATATCACCTACACTAATGGTTGTCTTGATATGATTGCAGGTTGGTGGAGTCCACATTCAAACTGGTATTGACTGCGAACCTCTGCTTTTAAATGTTCTTCATCTAGACACAAGCAGTGAAGGAGAAAAGTGTCGGCAGGTGATAGAATCTCCACATGTCTTTCCATCTAATGCAGAAGTGGGCAGTGTCCTCACAGCCTTAGCAATCCCAGCAGGTGTCATCTTCATCAACAGTGCTGGATGTCCAGGTAGGGAGAGTTGGACGGCCATCCCCAAGGAAGACATGAGGAAGACGTTCAGGGAGCAAGGGCTCAAAAATGGAAGCTCCATTTTAATTCGGGATTCTCATGATGATAACAGGTAACTCACAAGAGAAAAAGGATTTCCAAAAGTCATTTAATTGTAATACCATCAGCAGAACTCTAAAGCTTGATTTTAGTGACAAGAGTTGAATGTTTCTTTATTCCTAGACATTATGTTCTAAATGTTGTATATAGGAATGTTTTAGGTTATGTGACTTAGAGAAAAAGATGATTTTTTGTAAAGGGACTTTTTGGTAAATGTGGTGGCAAAATAATATAAATATCCCTGATTTTTAGACTATGTAGAGTATCAGTTAGTTGGCTATAATGCAGAATGTTATCGAGTGAATTCTGATTAGTGGCAGTTACAAAACCAAAGGCACATTTTCACAGTTAATTTTCCTGAAGAAAGTATTAACATTACGGGTAAATTGTTTCTGGATATTTAGTTTCAGGAGACCCATTAGACAACTCACTGTTTCCTTATAATCCCTTCTGTACTCTTGAGAGCCCAATTGCCTCAAATAGAGCAGTTGTCCTGAATCCTGTGGTCACATTTGAAACCACATCTCTCTCTTTGTCACCTCTGTCTGTGGCAGTAACATTGCTGTAGTCAGTGTGTCATGCACTGTAACTGCAATATTTCCATATACTGAGGACCTCAGGTTTCCTGTTTTCTCAGTGCTACACATTTACTTCAATTGCAGGACCTCCGTATCATTATTTACAGTGGCTGTGATGCAGAGAAGCAGAGCACTTGTAGACTGTTAATTTCTTTTTTTTTTTTAATTATACTTTAGGCTCTGGGGTACATGTGCAGATCATGCAGGGTTGTTGCATAGGTACTTACATGGCAAGGTGGTTTGCTGCCTCCATCCCCCCGTCACCTATATCTGACATTTCTCCCCATGTTATCCCTCCCCAACCTCCCCACCCCCCACTGACCCTCCCCTAGCACCCCCACAACAGACCCCAGTGTGTGATGCTCCCCTCCCTGTGTCCATATGTTCTTACTGCTCAACACCCGCCTATGAATGAGAGCATGTGGTGTTTGATTTTCTGTTCTTGTGTCAGTTTGCTGAGAATGATGGTTTCCAGATTCATGCATGTCCCCACAAAGGACACAAACTCATCATTTTTTATTTCATATTATACTTGCCACTGTAACTCTTTTGGACAGGGGTTTCCCAGACATTCCCCACCTCGTTTAAAAGAACCTCTGTATTTCCTTTATAAAAGGGAGTATGTAATTATCAGGACTGGAGAAATACAAAGTGAAGACTGAAGAGACCCAAAACAGTATCCCTCTACTCACCATGAAGTGTCAACCACTGTTCGCATTCGGGTGCCTTTCTTTTTAAAACTAATAGTGATTATTTTATAGATAAGAAGTTGTATCCTTCTCTCCATCCCCCCCACCCCAACAACCCTGAGATTTGTAGACTCTTTATAAACCACCGTGGATGGTCACATAGTAATCTGTGTGGCATTATAGTTTGCCTAACTGTGCTCCTGAGCAAGTCAGTAGGATGTAGTGGAACGCTGGGCAAGATATTTTATCTTTCTCTGCTCAGCTTTCTCGTCCATAAACTGGGAATAATAACTAGTACCAACTTCATAGAGAGGACTGAAAGAGTTAAGTGCTTATAAAGTACACACGGGTAAGTGCTAAATGTTTTAGTTAATATATGATGATCATTGTCAAGATTATCATACAGTGTTTCACTATTATAAGGGAGTCATCAGGGAACATCTTGTACTTAAACTTTGTTTTGTTTGGGATTGCTAGCCTAAGATAGGATTTCAGAATGAAATAACTGCAATAAAGAGTAGAATCATGTTTCAGCGCTCTGATGTACATTCCCAAAGAGGACTTATGCAAGCCCATTAGTGCTTCTGTGTGAATTCGAAGTGATTGCACGGTGCAGGCAGAAGTCAGCAACTGATTGTTCATTTACAGAAGTTCTCTGTGAAAAATGTGGCAACAAATTATGTGTATAAATCACAGAATATTTGGAGTCATGAATGTAGACTCCATAGACTGCTGCCTAACAGCACCCTGCAAGGATAGCCCACTTTGACAGAGATGACTCAGCAGAACTTGGTCACCTTTCATTAGGCACATTAAGGGACACATGCAGAGTTTTGGAAGTGATGCTTAAGGAAAGATACTAATTTCTGATATTTTCTTTTTACCTACAGCTTGTTGACCAAGGAAGAGAAATGGGTCACTACTATGAATGAGATTGACTGGCTCCATGTTAAAAATTTATGCCAGTTAGAATCTGAAGAGAAGCAGGTTAAAATATCAGCAACTGCTAATACAGTGAGTAGAATATAATTAAAGGTTAGCTGATAGATTTTCATTAACGGAATTCTATTTAAAAAAACAATACTTTAATCTTTCAGGACAGTTGTCTCAATAGACTTCAGATCTTAGGAAGTCAGCTTTTTAACATTTGATTATTGCTTATTTACCTATGTTAGCCCTTAGCATATTTCAAGAAAATATATGCCTTTTATTTTATTTTTTTTCTGATAAAATAGATTTTATTTTATTTTATTTTATTTTAAATTTTTTATTGGATTTTAGGTTTTGGGGTACATGAGCAGAGCATGCAAGACAGTTGCGTAGGTACGCACATGGCAGTGTGCTTTGCTTTGCTTCTCCCCTTCACCCACATTTGGCATTTCTCCCCAGGCTATCCCTCCCCACCTCCCCCTCCCACTGGCCCTCCCCTTTTCCCCCCAATAGACCCCAGTGTTTAGTACTCCCCTTTCTGTGTCCATGTGTTCTCATTTTTCATCACCCACCTATGAGTGAGAATATGCGGTGTTTCATTTTCTGTTCTTGTGTCAGTTTGCTGAGAATGATGTTCTCCAGATTCATCCATGTCCCTTTTAAAATTTCCTCCAAAGCCTAGAAGTAGAATGTGGGAGTTACTTATTTAGTTAGTTCATGGAATCCTCTGGCTCCCACAAAATGAAATTCTCTGGCTTCCTTGAAAATACTATTTTCAAGGATCTTTTCTGTATTTTTTTAAACTATGTATACATATGTTTGGGTTTTGTGTTATGGACTTTTGTTTTTTTAATTTATCTTAAATTGTTTCACATTATACCCTGTTTTTCTATAAAGCCAGCTGTTCTTAAAAGGAAGTCTTTCAGTTCTCCATTTGAAGACTAGTTTCCTTAAACATCATCTCAGGAAATATCTTTTTATATTTATGTAGTCTCAATTCATTATGGATTTTTTATAGCAATTTGAAACTTACTAGAATGTTTTCTTTTATATAAATATTATAATTTCTTAAGGTGTGTTAATATTTACACTATAAGATGAATATACTAAAGTTGAGAAGATCTAGTACCTTGATCCTAAGTGAGAGACTTTGCTGAAGTCCTTTATGGCTTCAGTCTTTTTTTTCTTTTCACAGTGTGGGGTACTGGTGGGAGGATAGAGCAGATTATGTCTGACATCGATTTTACTCCTAAATTTCCAAGGTTTTATATCCTAGAGGAAATTAGCTTAAACTAAAAAAGAGAATCTAAAATAAAGTAATTTAAACAGAAATTTTAAATAGTGCTCTTGGGCTCATATTAGACATTTTTATTTATGCTATTGGCCCCACATTCATCGTTCCTGACATAGAGAAATGTGATTGCCTGCAGTTTATTTTGCTTGCTTTCATGAGAAAAGTTAGTGGTTGCCAGCTCACTTCTTTCAGCTAGAATTGTTTCTTTAGTTTTCTGTAGGTGTCCTTTCTGTTCCAGTTAACATCAATTTGGTAAAAACTTAACTATGAAGACCTAAGTTTTTGCTTTTGATCTTATAAAAGAATTTCAGGGTTGGAAAAATATTTCAAGTGGGGAAAACTAAATGTCAGGTAATTAATATCTCAAATAATTTGTTTATGCACACAGTGAGATCTTCATTTTCATCTCCTCCCATTTTTTACCATCTGTACATAGTCATTAGTTTATTTCTCTATTTTAGGTGGTGTTTGATATTCGAATTAAAGCCATAAAGGAATTAAAATTAATGAAGGAACTAGGTAATCATTTACATTTGCTTTTTGGTTCTTAGTTTAATTTAATTTTGGTTTTGAATTGAAAAAAATATGGGAGAATACAAAAAATAATTTAGGGAAAACTCATGTACCTACCACACAAAATGGACAAATGTTAACTTTTTGTCATGTGTTTTTATTTGAAACATTATAAATGAAGTTAAAATTCTCTATGTTCTTCTCAGACCTATTCTTTCTCTCCTTTCCAAGATACAATGAGTATATCTGATGTGGATGTGCATCTAGTCCATGTATTCATATTGAACTGTATATGTTATAATTACATATATGTGTATATGTACATATATTTTCATATTTACATAAATTATATACTGACTGTACATTCTACAAACTCACTGTCCACTTAGCATTAGGTTTTAACAACTTTATTAAGACATAATCTACATACCATAAAATTCACTCAATTTAAGTGTATAATTCAGTAATTATCAGTAAATGTAGAGAGTTCTATAAGCATCACCACAATCTAGTTTTGGAATACTTCCGTTACCCCAAAAAGATCCCTGTACCTATTTGTATTCCAAACTCCTGGCAACTGCTAACTACTTTCTATCCCTACAGACTTGATTTTCTTAATATTTCATATAATTGGAATCATAAAACATGTAGTGTTTTGTGTCTGCCTTCTTTCATGTAGCATATCATTTTCGAGGTTCATCCATGATTTAACATGTTCCTTTGTATTGCTGACTGGTTTTCATTATATGGATAGTATCCCATTTTGTTTATCCTGGACAAACATGAGTTGATAGACATTTGGATTGTTTCTACTTTTGTACGTTTATGAATAACGCCACTATACACTTTTACACATAAGTCTTTGTGCGGGGATATGTTTTCAGTTCTCTTGTGTAGATATACAGAGTTGGAATTGCTGGGTCATACGCAAATTTAGTTTTAACCATATACATTTAAACTGGATGTATTTTATTAAAAGAAAATTATAACTCCAATTAAAGTCCATTAAAAATCATTGGTTTATTAAAATGCATAGTTCACTGTCATCCCCTATAACTTGTCTCCCTTCTTCCACTCTTGCTCCCCTCCAAACCATTTGATCATCTTCAATACATGTGAATTAGTTCCTGCCCCTCCTGCACTCAAAGCTGTTTAGTGCTTTCCATTGCACATAGGTTAATTTCTTAACCTAGCCTACAAGAACCTGCATAATTTGAACCCTCCTTGACTGTAACCTCATTGTGATCTGCTTTTCTGCATATTCACAACTCAGCTCACATACTTTGTCTGCGTTTCTTAGTGCACAAGCTTTCTTCAAGTCCCAAAACTTCTTACTGCTCATTCTGTCTTTCAACTCCCTTTGCTTTTAACCTCAGCTGTTTATCTGATCTCATCTGAAATGTTCCTTCCCCTTTAATCCCTGGCTACACAATCCCAGTTAATCTTGCTCTTGTACTCTCCTGACACCCTGTACTTTTCCTTCATCACATTTATCACTGTAGCTGCCCTTTTATTTGTGTCATTAACATCCACCTCCCCCATTAGATAAGGTTCTGCGAGGACCAAGTTTACACTGCTTTGCTTACCACTGTATTTCCAGTTTCTAGTATAGTGCTTGGCACATGGATGATACACAGTAAGTACCTGTTCAGTGAAAATGAACAGATTTTAAAGAGACAGTATTTTAAAAGTACTTTTTAAGTTGGGGAACTCTTTAAATGAATTGTTTCAGTAGACAAGAGATTTATGTGAGAATTGTATGCTTGTATGCTAGCCTCATATTACTGCAACGTAAGATATTGAACTCAGGAATCTCAGAAAGAGATTCTACGGTGGTCGAATAAAGTTAGAACTTCTAAGGCTCATACGCATCATTGTTGTCCTTTCAGAACACTCAACCTTCCTCCACCCTCCAATTTATGTCCTACTTTTTAAGAATTCTGTTTGAACTAAAAACTTGGTGCACTTCTTCCAAACACCAGAGGATCTTGAGGAAATATTCTTCCAAAGCAAGAATCTATATTCTCAAACATAGTGCATGCTGGCCCGTTTAATAAGCATAAAATCACCTGACATATTTTAACTATAGGCAGTGTTGTTGTACCATTCTGATAAGGACAAATTTCATTACTACCATTTAGTTACGTAACATCAGTCCCCCAGCAACATGGTTCAAATTTCAGCAACCATGGTATATGGTATATTAACTGTAAGTGACTTAAGTACACATTTGACTACTAGCTCTTCAAGGCAAAAATCATCACATAAATAACACATGTACACCAAAAGCAGTAAGCGGTCACTTAACTTCTTTCAAGTCTGCTGGTTTATCACTGCATGTACACTTCACTACACAGATGTACTACATGTACATGTCGTTGTGTTGCCTCCTTTTCTCCCGGTGATAAACCCACCATGACATTTTATAAGAATATGTAATTAAAAGAGGGAATTGACCAACAGAGAAGAAAGTAGACAAAGAAAAAAAGGTACATGGAAACAGAGAAGCAGCAGCTACCTGTGGGAGTGTTGACTCTGCTGTCAATTAAGAGACTAGATAGGCAGCTGAGGAACTTGATAAGGGAGAACTTACCGGAGTAAGTGAGGATAGTGGTTGTGAAAAAAGAAGGAAGACATCTCAGCAGACGTGGCACTGGCAAAACATTTCATGTTAGAAGAGTTCTCAAAGACATTTCATGAGATTAAAAGCACAAAATATGTAAAATATCGGAAGCTGATCCAAACTTAGGAGTTTGGCAGTTTGCCACGGTAGGAAAGATGTCGCTCCATTTCACAAGTTATATAAAGAGAAGAAACCAAGCTCTGCTTAAACTACTGTTCATCTGTAATTTACAAAGACAGAAAAGATTTTAATTCTCAGATTCTAGTATTTTAAATTATAATATAAATATTGGTTTTACTGTTTTTTCGTTTCCCAATACATGTGTAATACTAATAACGAAGGGGGTTTTAAATGTTTCAACAAAAATTTGTAAGTGTCATGGAACAATTGTAATTTTTCCACTGATTATTAAGATTGCTTTGCACAGTTTCACCTCGTACTTTTAGTCTTGCACTACTGTGCAAAAAAAAAAAAAAAGACTGCCTGTACTTATTGTGGGGTTTTTCTTTGGTTGTTGGGGGGTTTTAGGTTTGTTTTTGTTTTTAGCTTTCTGTAGTTTTCTGCTAATTAACACAGTAGAGCATCTCTCTCTTGTTTTCCATGTTTGATGCCCTAACCAGCTTCCTTTTATTTATAGCTGACAACAGCTGTTTGAGACCTATTGATAGAAATGGGAAGCTTCTTTGTCCAGGTAAATCTTTTTGATAAGTTTCAAAAGGTGGCTTGTACTCATCTGTCTTTCTTGACACTTTTAATAGTGGCCTCCAATACCTAATATTTGCAAATTGCCTTTTAGAAACTGATTTATGGAACATATTTCCATCCAGGTATCTTACCCTTATATTACAGAAAACCTTAACCAGAAAAAACATTTCTGTTTTCTGAATGAAACACCGGTCTTTCTGATTATCTGATTTTCATTTTAGTCATGGGTTTGATCTAGTTATATTTTTCCAACTTTATTTTCAAAGTTGTTCTGTTTGTTTTGCTAATTTTATTGGGATAACAATTGTGAAATAAAATATTCAGTTCTCATCTCGGCATCACCTCTTAGCGTTAGATTTAATTTAGTCCTGAATGAGCCTGACCAATGATGGTTAATAACAATTTCAACTTTAAACTTTGAAGAAGCTAGTTCTTCATCTATGGATTGATTTGGAGTATCTGGTGTTTAATCCATATAAACAACAGTTCTTTGAACAAGTCATTTTTAGTAAGTAGCAAAGGAGATAGTCAGAGCTTCCTTTTAGCATTGTTGTGTAGAAAACAAGAACAAAATTTCTTAGAGTATGGAAACTGAAAATCAAACAGTCATAGTGCATGTAATACTTTTGTATGAAGTGCAGCTCACTTTTCTTCTTTCTTGCTATTCTTGATTTTCAAAGAAATACTGATTTCAGTACATTATTATTATTTTTTTTATTATTATTATTTTGATACAGAGTTTCACTCTTGTTACCCAGGCTGGAGTGCAATGGCACGATTTTGGCTCACTGCAACCTCCACCTCCTGGGTTCAAGCAATTCTCCTTCCTCAGCCTTGCAAGTAGCTGAGATTACAGGCATGTGCCACCACACCCGGCTAATTTTTTATTTTAGTAGAGATGGGGTTTCTCCATGTTGATCAGTCTGGTCTCAAACTCCCGACCTCAGGTGATCCGCCCACCTCAGCCTCCCAAAGTGCTGGGATTACAGATGTGAGCCAGTGTGCCCAGCCAGTACATTATTTTTCTTAGAGATCTAGAAATTAATAACATTCATCATGTTATCAATTTTTTTTAAGTGCCAGACAGCTATACTTTGAAGGAAGCAGAATTGAAGATGGGAAGTTCATTGGGACTATGTCTTGGAAAGGCACCAAGTTCCTCTCAGGTAAAATAAGATCACCTGTCAAAACAAAATCAGCCCTTCCATAACCAGAATTATAACTTGTACCTTAACTATCCCAGTAATAATTGTTTTTCTCTAAAAGTTTTTTTCTTCAATGATACATTTTATTTCAGGAATACATCCTTATAGTTCTAGATGTTTAAATATACAGAATTATGCCAAAGCATATTTATGTTTCTTTTTCTATGAAGATTTTGTGTTTAAAAGGAATCTTTAATGTTGAGTGACCACAGTTTCAACCACTCTATTTCTCAAGTTCTAAGATACACCTTCTTTTCCCCACGTTTTAACATCTGTGAGATTAAGTTGCATCTTACAGAAAGGGGTATTATGCAGTTATAGCTCGCACTGGTACAGAAAATAGTCTCAACAGTCAGTAGCATTTTAGGTTTAATGAAACACGGTTTATTAATTTGGGACTTCATTATTCTCTGCGCTTATATAGTCTTAGAGCAGCCTCCCTTTTGCCTTGTATCAGTGTCCATTTTCTGTGTAAAGCACCATCAGGTTTGACCTTTGCCAGAAGCCATACCTAGCTAATCAGCTCATTACAGTGCAGAAATCATAAGGATATTGTTACTGTGAATACCCTATAGCAGGGTAATCTGGACTCAAATCAGGTTGCCCGTGATTCCCAAATTCACTTCATTAGTTTCCTGACCACTTCCCCCTTAATTTGCTTTTCCCTGAACCTCTAGCAAATAGTGCATGACAAGCTGATAGGAAGGAAAACATGACAAGTGAGGTTGAGTTAGAAAGGAAAAGCAGGGCTATAAGGAACTGAAATGACAAGAGATCAGATTTGTGTTTTTCCTTTGCAGTCTTGAGAATTCTAATATTTGAATCCCTAGGCAGAAAATAAAATCATAACCAAGTGACTAAGACAAAAAACACGTTAATGCTAACTGTGTGGTAATTACAAATTCCTTTTCAGAGTGATTGAGACAGAGGTGGAGATCATAGAAGAAATAGTGTATGTGGGCCAGGTGCGGTGGGTCACGCCTGTAATCCCGGCACTTTGGGAGGCTGAGGCGGGTAGATCTCCTGAGGTCAGGAGTTCAAGAACAGTCTGGCCAACATGATGAAACCCTTTCTCTACTAAAAAAACAAAAAATTAGCCGGGCATGGTGGCACATGCCTATAATCCCAGCTACTTGAGAGGCCAAGGCAGGAGAATTGCTTGAACTCAGGAGGCAGAGATTACAATGAGCCAAGATCGTGCCACTGCCTTTCAGCCTGGGCAACAAGAGTGAAACTCCATCTCAAAAAAAAAAAGAAGAAAGAAAAAGAAGTAGTATATGTGAAAAACATTTATTGGGAGTAAAAAACATCGATGATGATACAATTTTTACTTCTGGGTAGGCAAAATTATTGCTTAAATTGTGACACTAAGTTACTAATCATAGTCATAATTTCATATAATTTGAGATTTTTTTGTTAAAGTTTCATGGGCCCTTGGCTTTACATTTTTGAAAGTAAATGTATTTATTGGATTTTTAAATTCAGATTAAATGCATTTACACTTCTGTCTTGATCGTAGTTGTTCCTGTTTTTTGCAATGGGGAATAATGTTCAACCTGGGACAGAAATGGAAATTATAGTAGAAGAAACAGTATCTGTGAGAGATGTAAGTAATTTTACCTTTTGTTTTCAGAGGCTGCGTGTTTGTGTATGCTGTGAGGAGCAGTAGTATCCTCTGTTAAGATTTGGAGGTCCTAAGCTAGAATTAATGTGATATACTTCATAGAATTATATGTACTCACTAGAGGAATCATTTTGTGAGCTTGACAATTGGAATTTTTTTATTTTATTTTATTTTTTTGAAACAGTCTCAACTCTGTCATCCAGGCTGGAGTGCAGTGGCATGATCTTGGCTCACTGAAACCTCTGCCTCCTGGGTTCAAGCGATTCTCCTGCCTCAGCCTCCTGAGTAGCTGGGATTACAGGTACCTGCTGTCACGCCTGGCTAATTTTTGTATTTTTAGTAGAGATGGGGTTTCACCATGTTGGCCAGGCTGGTCTTGAACTCCTGACCTCAGATGATCCACCTGCCTTGGCTTCCCAAAGTGCTGGGATTACAGGCATGAGCCACTGTGTCCAGCCTCAACCTGAAATTTTAAATAACATTACTATGTTTTCCTTTCTGACTATCAATAATATTTTTTTATTATATAAGTTTTGAATACGTGGAAATCGATTAAAAGAAAAAAATGAAAACCTTTCATCCCTTATCCTACCAATATTAACATTTTGGCTTCTTTTCCTAGGGTTTATATACACACACAGTGGTATGAATGTTTGTATATATGTGTGTATATGATAAAATAAATGAATAATTATACTGCTGTTATTGAGAACTGAGACTTTTAGTATTGGAAAACAAAGAGACAAAATCAGTGTGATTTTTAAAAAACCTGTTCTCCTGAATTTGAAATAGAAAAGTCTGAATGAACTTCATATATTTTTCTTAAAAAAAAAAAAAAGTTTTTCTGGCCAGGCGCGGTGGCTCACGCCTGTAATTCCAGCACTTTGGGAGGCCAAGGCTGGCAGATCACAAGGTCAAGAGATGGAGACCATCCTGGCCAACATGGTGAAACCCATCTCTACTAAAAAAATACAAAAATTAGCTGGGTGCAGTGGTGCATGCCTGTAGTCCCAGCTACTCGGGAGGCTGAGGCAAGGGAATTGCTTGAACCCAGGAGGTGGAGGTTGCAGTGAGCTGAGATTGCGCCACTGCATTCCAGCCTGGCGCCTGGTGACAGAGCAAGACTCTGTCTCAAAAAAAAAAAAGTTTTTCTAGCTCTGTCCCCTGACACAGATTAGAGTGAGCAACCTGGTAGCAGCATAGTACCCCTAGGAACGACGGCATCTTAGAATAATGGCTGCTCATATAGCTAGGTCAGGAAATGTATAAGATGAGCCTGGAACATCTTACCATCACAGAAAGCAGTGAAGCCACTGACAAAGACTATTGGAATCATCAACAAGATTGAGGAGCCTGCTAGTCAAAGATGAGACAATTTGAACATCAGTGAGAAAAATAATAGAAAGTAATTGAAACTAGTACATAAAATCTGTAAATCTATGAGTTTATAATTATCCTATAAAAAATACACTTATCTATGGATGCTAGGTAGCCATAAAGGGAAAAAATAAGCATTTTTTTTCTCTTGCAAACTGTATCTTAGGGTAGCTAAGCAGATAATGAGCAGTTTTTTTCGTAAACATATTCCAACTAATAAGAAGGCATTTTAGAATTTCACATTTTTTCAACTCCTAATAAATTAATGAACCTAGTTATGATCTCTGTATTCTTAAATTTATTAAGACTTGTTTTGTGGTCTAATGTATGATCTGTCATGGATAATATTTTCTGTGCAGTTGACAAGAATGTGTATCCTGCAGCTGTTGGATGGAATGTTCTGTAAATGTGTTAGCTCCATTTGGCCTATGGTGCAGTTAAGGTTTATGTTTCTTTGTTGGTTTTCTGTCTTGATCTGTCCATTATTGAAAGTGGGGTGTTGAAGTCCCTACTATTACTGTATTACAGTCTTGTCCCTCTAGAGGTCTAATAATATTTGCTTTATATATTTGGGTGTTCTGGTAGTATTTGCATATATATTTACAATGTTATATTCCCTTGTTGAATCCCTTTATATCATTATAGATTATATAGTAATTTATTATATAATGACCTTCTCCTACAATGACCATTATCAATTACAATAACTTTTTACAGTTTTTGAGTTAAGGTCTGTTTTATCTGACAAAGATGTAGCTGCTCTTGCTCGCTTTTGGCTTCTATTTGCATGGACTTTTTCCATCCCTTCACTTTCAGTCTGTGTTTAACAGTAAGGTGAGTCTCTTTCAGGCAACATATAGTTGGGTCTTCTTTTTTGTAATCCATTCAGTCACTCTATATCTTTTAATTGAAGAATTTGATCAAGGTTATTATTGATAAGTAAGAACTTATTCCTGCCATTTTGTTAATTGTTTTCTGATTGTTTTGTTAATCTTTTCCCTCCCTTTCTGGGTTGTTTACTTCTGTGGTTTAATGGTTATCTATGGTGTGAAACTTTATTTCTTTTCTCTTTCTTCTTTGTGTATTTGCTGTCATTTCTTTCTTTGTGGTTACTGTGGGGCTAAGATAAAGTATTCAACTCAACTTTGGTCATATAAAAATGCTTTCGACTTGTTTTCCCTTCCCTCTACAATTTATATTTTTGTTGCTTTAATTTACATTGTTATCTATTGTGTCCTTAGCCACTAATTATAGCTGTTGTTGTTTTTGACTTGAAACCTTCATGAAAGAGAATTGATAGATTTATATAGCACCATTGCAACACTGGGCTATTCTGAGTATGATTATGAATTTACCTATACTTGTGATTTTTATACTGTCATGTGTTTTTATGATAGTAATTATCATACATTTATTTCCAGTTGTTACACTCCCCTAAGTATTTCTTGTAAGATTGGTCTAGTGGTGCTAAATTCCTTTAGTTTTTTCTTATCTGAGATATTTATCTCACCTTCATTGCTGAAGGATAGCTTTGCTGGATATAATATTCTTGGCTGACAGTGTTTTTTTCTTTCCTATATTACCCCATTTTCTTCCGGCCTACAAAGTTTCTGCTAAAAAATCCACTGATAGTCTACTGGGGATTCCCTTATATGTGACTTAATGCTTTTCTCTTATAGCTTTCAGAATTATCTTTTTGTCTTTAACCTTTGACAGTCTGATTATAAAGTGCCCAAAGAGGATATTTTTGTGTTTAATCAGGGACCTGTGAGCTTTCTGGATCTGGATGTCCATGTCTCTCCCAGACTTGGGAATTTTTCAGCTATTATTTCATTAAATAGATTTCTGTGTCTTTTGTCATTTATTCTGCCCTGGCTAGTCTATGATTAGAAAATTTTTTCATTTAATGGTGTCTTGTTGGTCCTGTAGACTTTTTTTCATTCTTTTTAAATTGTTATTTCTTTTTATTCCTCTGACTGGGTTTATTTAAAAAGACCTGTCTTCAAGTTCAGAAATTCTTTCTCTGATGAATTTCTGATTCAGATTGTGAATTATTTTTTTCTGATTTTGTTGAATTTTGAGTTGTTTGTATTCTCTTGTTTATGAGTTTCCTTAAGATCATTGTTTTGAATGTCTCTTCAGGCATTTCATAAATATTCTTTTCTTCATGGTTTATTCCTGGAGACTTAGTTGTGTTCCTTTCAGAATATATTTCCTTGGCTCTTTATGTTTCTCGATTTCTTATGTTGATATCTTTGGATTTACTTGAACATTTACTTTTTCCAATTTTATGGAGTAGCTTTTATAGGGAGGAGCTTTTTCCTACAGAGGGGTTCTAGGGTTTCCATTGGAAATGATGTGTTGTTGGCTTTGGTTCCTGGTGGACTCAATAGCATGATCTCTACACCAGTTCTTCAGCTGTAATCCTCATTAATGATATCTGCAATTGCTTAGGCTATGGGTGTTTGTGACAGAGGTGACATGGTTTGCTGGAGGAAAGGGTGCTGGTTTGTGCTGAGACCAAGCACAATCAGAACATAGCTGTGTGTTGGTCTCTCTGGGGTGGGGGATACTGCCACATTGGCTATTGGGCTGGGTACAGGCATGTGTGGGCCAGGCAGCTGTGCAGTGCTCTCTCTAGGAAGGCAGGGCCACTGCTAGATTGCAAAATCCAAAACTTTGAGCACTTTTTGACTCTTTGACATGACGCTTGAAGAAAATGTACATTGGAGCATTTCAGATTTAGATTTTTGGATTAAGGTTGCTTAGCTGGTAAGTATAATGCAGATATTCCAAAATTTTTTAAAAAATTCAAAATTTGAAACACTTCTAGTCCTAAGTATTTCAGATAAAGGTTACTCAACCTGTAACTGGGACTGGGTGATGGGTATTTGAGGATCATTTTACTGTTCTCTGCAGGTATTTTCCCAGTTTTTTACTAGCCTTTTAAACTTTACATTTTTTAATTTCAAAGAAAGAAACCACAGACTTTTTCAAAAGTGATATATTTTCCTTTCTGTACTCTGTTGAACCCCTTTCAGGCCAACTTGTTCCTTGCTCTGTCACTAAAACAGCTTATGTCAGAGTCATTTGTGGCCTCCACATTACTATGTACAATGAGCAGTTTTTACTGTTCATCTTACTTGTTCCATCAGCAACATTTGATATAGCTGACGACTCTATTATTTGAAACACTTTCGTCACTGGGCTCCAGAAGACCACAGCTCTTCCTTATATCTCACTGGTCTACCCTTCTCAGTTTGCTCTCTCGTCTTCTCTATCTTTGAGCATTCTGCTACTTGGTTGTTAGACTGGACCTGGCCCCAGAACATCCAGCTGCCACTTGGTTGTCTGACAAACATCCCAACCCAGAACATATTCACAGAAAAACTCTTCTCCCAGAAACATACCCCTCTCATATGTTTCTCTTTTTCAGTTAATGGCAGCTCCATTTTTTACTTGTTTAGGCTGAAAGTCTTAAAGTCGTCCTTGATTCTTCTCTTTCTTACTTCACATTCAGTTTCACAGGACATTGTTTTGGTTCTACCATCAAAATGTACCTAGGATCTGACCACATCTCATTCTGTTCATTGCCACCACCTGTCAAACCTGTCATCTTTTTCATCTGAAATTAATTTCATCCATCAGCTTCCTAACTGATCTCCTTCCTTATAGCCTTACACTTCCCAGTGTCTATTCTTACAAAAAAGCTGAGTGATCCTTTAAAATGTAAGAGAGATCAGTCACTCCTGTACTCACAACCCTCCTGTGGTTTCCCATCTTGCCCAGAGTAAGAGGTGAAGCCTTGAATGTATGCACAAGGGTCTCTGTGATCTGCTTCTCTGGTATATTTTTGTTTTATTTTCAAACCTCCAACCATTTCCCCCTCTTACTCACTCTACTCCAGCCACACTGGCTTTCTTGCTGTTTCTGAAACAAGGCTTATGCTCTCTCTTTTCCCTTCCTAAAGCACAGTTAAGTTGATTGCTCCATTGGTTGATTGTTTTTCTTAAATACAATGTTTAAGACTCTAAGTTTTCTTAGACTATAAGTTTGCTTTCATTCATCCACCGTGTTTTAGTATACTGTGTTTTCATTGTCATTTTCTAAACAATCCATAATTATATTTTAAAGCCTTCTTTTATTTTTTTTATCATACAAGTAATCACGGCTTTCTTCTCACTTTTTAAACTTCTCAGGGGAGTAACAGTCCCCCTTGGTTACCACTCTATTCTAGTCCTTTCTTGGAAGTCACTGTTGGAATCAAATGACATCATCTTATCCACATAAGTAGAGTGTGTGTCCCTTCAGACCTTTGCTGTGCCTATACCAGCATGGGTCTTTGTACATACATATAGAAATGAAGGGTGTGCTTTGTTTCTGTGATTTCTTTTAAATTATAAATGGGAACACTCTGCATATATTATACTAGAACTTTGTTTCACTTAAAATATTTTAAAAATATTTTAAGAGCAATATATATAAATCTGTTTTATTCTTTGAACTGCTTTAAGACGTTTCCTGCTTTTTAAAAAATCTCCCATTAATCTGTATTTTTTGTGGGGTTTTTTTTGCCATTTTTCTCATTATAAACAGTACAGCAGTAACTATCCTTACTTTTGCTTCCTTTTGCTCTAGTGTAGTAAAAATCAAATTTTATTTGCTCGCTTGCCCAAGATTTAAGTAGCAATGTTTTTCCCTCAAGAAATTGTTTTAAATACTTTAAGTATTTTTGTTTTATTGAAACTTTTGTTAATATTGTATCATTTTTGCATTATGCCATGAGATCACAGCTTGCACAATTCTTGTGAGTTTTTAAATATGATCAGCTGTGTTTCATGGATGCTAAATAAAGGCTAATTTTCTTTTATAGGGTTCAGAGTTTAATGTGTATGAAATTAGCTTCATAAATCATATTTGGCCAAAGACACACAGTTAATCCTTACAGGAAGGAAGTCATGGTTCAGACCTGGGAGTTGGTGGATGAAACTTTGAACTAAGTCCTGCTTGCAAACACCAGAAACTGTTTTTCCCCCTGCTGAACTGGCCCCATCTAGCCCTTAGAAAGGAAAGCTGACTTGTGTGCCATCTTCTTAACTATATCTATCTTTACCTACTCAGCAATCATTAAATATAGTCAGATTTGAATAGGCCTATGGTCCAAAAAGCATATTTGTCCTTGAAATGTAACTCAGAACCAGAAAACTAACATTGGACATTGTTTATCTTGACAGTGTTTAAAGTTAATGCTGGAGAAATCTGGCCTGCAAGGTAAGTTATTTACCATAACAACATATTATTTATAAGCCTAATGGAAATTTTTTGAACTTTGTTTTCTCCAGGGTTGTAGAGAAATAAAAAATTACAGGGTATGGAGAAATAAAAAGTAGTTTACCCTTCTATATGTACGTAATGAATTATCCTGTTTCTTGTTGGCATGCTGAAAGAAAACTAGTGGTATAGCTCTGAGGAGAGAACCTAGATAGGATCTAGCAAAGGTACAAAGTGGGAATGCTTACAGTGTTGCTGGGAGTGTAAATTAGCTCAACCATTGTGGAAGACAGTGTGGCGATTCCTCAAAGATGTAGAACCAGAAATACCATTGATCCAGCAATCCCATTACTGGCTATATACCCAAAGGAATATAAATCATTCTATTATAAAGATACATGCCTGTGTATGCTCACTGCAGCACTATTCACAATAGCAAAGACATGGAATCAGCCCAAATACCCATCAATGATAGACTGGATAAAGAAAATGTGATGCATATATACCATGGAATACTGTGCAGCCACAGAAAGGGATGAGATCGTGTCCTTTGCAGGGTCATGATGGAGCTGGATCATTATCCTCAATAAACTAATGCAGGAACGGAAAACCACCACATGTTCTCACTTATAAGTAGGAGCCAAAACAATGAGAACACATGGACACAGGGAGGGGAACAACACACACTGGGGCCTGTTGGTGTGTGTCAGGGAGGGGGAGCTGGCGGGTGAGGGAGAGCATCAGGAAAAATAGCTAATAAATTCTGAGCTTAATTCCTAGGTGATAGGTTAATAGGTGCAGCAAATGACCATGGCACACATTTACCTATGTAACAGACCTGCACATGTACCCCAGAACTTAAAATCAAAAGGAATAAAGCTAAGATTTATACCACCTGGAGCTACACAGGTCTTCCACTGATTCTTTTAAATCTCACTGATAGCAAATTTCAGTAAGTTCTGTTTCATGTCAGTATTTTTGTGGTATAAGCGAGGGAATATAGAATGAATGAAAAAAATAAATTGAAGATAACTGAAGTAACTTTCCAGGTGGGATCATGTCAGTGAGCTTGAAGAGACCTCATTCTCCTTTCAGTAGAGCACTTTGCTGTTCTCAGACTTCATGAATGTGGAAGCCTGTGGCTTTGTTACCTGGAAAGGAAGTTAAGGTGCTCTGGGTGCAAGACATTCTTCTCAGAGTTACACACAATGTCTCAATTAACCTCAACAACAGTCCTACCATGCAGGGGTTATCCCACATGCCCATTTTATAGATGAGGAAACAAAGGCCAAGAAAGGTGAAATGGTTCCCCAGAGTTACACAGCAAGTATGTAGGTCATTCTCCTTCCACAACCCAAGTTGTTTTCACCATGCTGTCCTGTGAAGTGATAGTGCTCACTTTTAACTTACTGGTGGCTTCTTAGAGGTACTTAAATTACGTTTTTTAACTGATATAAATTTTTCTGTATTTAAAGCTAGAACTTGGCTGGGTGCAGTGGCTCACACCTGTAATCCCAACACTTTGGGAGGCCAAGGCAGGTGGATCACTTGAGCCCAGGAGTTCAAGACCAGTTCAGGCAATATGGTGAAACCCCACCTCTACAAAAAATACAAAAATTAGCAGGGTACAGTGGTGTGCACCTGCAGTCCCAGCTACTCAGGAGGCTGAAGTAAGAGAAACACTTGAGCCTGAAAGATGGAGGTTGTAGGGAGCTGACATTGCACCATGGCACTCCAGACAGGAGTGAGAGCCTGTCTCCAAAAAAACTAGAACTAATGATAAAGAAGGTCTGCAAACAAGAGTATTGGGATTCAAAAACTGTGGCCTGGGCAGATAAATATGACATCTGTGTTTGTTCTTTGACTATTTCATGTTTTTGGTGAGTAGGGGGAGTTTCGTGTTCATAAGCATTGCTATTATTTTTAATAACCAGGATTTCCTTCTTTGATTGCATTCAACTTTCTTCCCACCCCAAAAAAGATCTCTTCTTTGCTTGCCTGTTGGGATCTCATTTCACTAGTGCAGCAAGTATGCTGAAAAACAACTCTTTGATTAAAGTCAATTTAAAATTTATAAATATTAACATATCGACTGTATTAAAATGCTGTTCAGAAAGCACTAGCACTATATTTTTGTTAAATTAATTGCTAAGTAGATAGAAATAATTTTCTTATACATATTAACAGTTGCTGGGCAATATTAGCATCTATTTTCAGCCAAGACAGTGAAATAAAACTCAGTTAATAATGCTTTGAGAAGGGATTCCATGTACATATATGTATACTGATACATGATATATGTATGTGGGTACACATAAATAATAAAGGTATAAAGTAAATATCGTATTAAGCTGGTACAAAAGTAATTGTGGTTTTTGCCATTAAAAGTAAATGCAGCCGGGGCGCAGTGATTCACACCTGTAATCCTAGCACTTTGGGAGGCTGAGGCGGGTAAATCACCTGAAGTCAGGAGTTCAAGACTAGCCTGGCCATTATGGTGAAACCCTGTCTCTACTAAAAATACAAAAAATTAGCCAGGCATGATAGCGTGTGCCTGTAGTCTCAGCTATTTGGGAGACTGAGGCAGGAGAATCACCTGAACTCCGGAAGCGGAGGTTGCAGTGAGCCGAGATCACACCACTGTAATTCCAGCCTGGGTGACAGAGCGAGAACCCGTCTCAAAAAAAAAAAAAGAGTAAAGGCAAAAACGACAGTTACTTTTGCACCAACCTAATATAACAGTAGCAAGTGTTGTTTTTATTCATGAGTATACAGCTCTTGGTAGAAGAGAGAGAAAACCAGATTGGGGAAATGTAATTTTTTTCATGCTCTGGAAGAGATAATTTACTTAAAAATTAACAATTATCAGCAGGTTAAACCCCATTTGATACTCACTTATCCAGAAGGGCCATTCCTGATAAACTCATAAAGCATATTCTGAATTTTTTTTTCATCCCAATTTTGCTTTATAGGAGATGCCTGGCATTTACGAAAAATGGATTGGTGCTATGAAGCTGGGGAGCCTTTATGTGAAGAAGTAAGATGATTTCTATACATTTTACTCTTTCATATGATTACGTTTATGTCATATTTTCATTCAAGATACTCATTCCACTCATGAGAAAGCTTTAATTACTTTCTGTGGGATACAGATATCTATGAATGGGTCTATTTCACTTTTTTCTTACTATAGTTTTTTTGATAAAGGGAAAGTCTCAGTGCAGTGGGAACATTTCTGACATCTGTGGTAAACCCCTTGCCATGAGTGTATGCCTCGAGGAGGATTTGTTCATGAGAAGGCAGAGAACTTCACAGAACAGACATTTGAGCTAGTGGAGGAATTGTATAGATAGATACACTCTGAAGTTTTGACCCCTGAATATTTTGATTTCAGAGTTCCTCTGTAAGTTTATGGTGACAGAATTTGTCTTACCAACCATTCCTAAGTGATAGGCTTTATCCAAACTCGATTCAGCCAAACTCTTAGGGTAGCGTTAGGAATAATTTTATCACAGGATAGTGGGAATCTGGTTAGTCATCTTGTTGGTCCAGATAGCTTTACATTTCCCAGTTCAAACCCATAGCCTTAGAAGTAGAGACCCAAAATGAAGCTCTGTGAGGAAGCTTAGGTAGCTGTGGTCAGCAGCCCTTTGCCCAGTCTTCACCTGCCTGCTTCCTGTTCTGTAAGAAGGGGCACTGAATATCAGCAGAAGGTTGATCTCGGCCAGTGTGCTGGGGCCTTGCACTGGAATGCTCTTTGCTATTTAGCTGTCAGTAAGTCAACAGAGAGAGTCCCCTCTTGGGGCCTGACCAAGAGTTTGACTGCCTGGATTAAGAAGTGAGCCAAAAGCCAACTCATTACCCTCGGAACTGGCTTCTTGTTCCAGCCTTGCCAGCTATCTTTCTCATCCTAATTTTTAAGAGTAAAATATGGTTTACCCTCTTCATCTTTCATTCTTCATGTTTCCTCTCAGCCTCCAAACCTGTCAGTGTTTCCACTCCTTCTGTGACCATTCCCACGCTTGGCTCTAGGCTAGCCTTCTTATGCCTCTCACCTAAATTATTGTAATGGCTTTCCTGGGCCCAGGTGTCTTTTGCTTCAATATCATGCATATTGCAGCCAAATTGAGCTTGAAAATCTCCTCCAAAATCTCCCATGCCTCCTTTATTTCCACTCCACATCCCTGTGGTTAGTGCCTGCCCTTCCAGTCCACTGTGACCTCCTGGTACTTTCCACTCCGATCAGTGTGGCCTCAGTGCTCTACCAAAACAAGCCATGTTAATATCAATCTTGTTCTTTTTTTCTTAAGAAATTCCTTGTCTTTTTTTCTCTAGCTTTCCAAATCCAACCCATCTTTTTAGGCTTAACTAAAATTTCATCTTCTGTGAATTAGTCTCTCATTTCTCATTTCATCTAGCTTCCTTTCCTCAGGTCTTTTGTAATACTTACAGTTTATATCCCACAATTTAACAAATAATGCTGTACTGATTTTATAGTCTTTGCTTATTTCCTGGGTCTTCAATATCTGCTTTATTATTCATTTATTTCTTGAAAAGATAATACAGGCATAGTGTTTTAAAAAGATCCAATGATCTGTTCCTTTCAGAAGTCATAAGTGACAAAAAAGAATTTTTGTATTCCCAGGATGCAACACTGAAAGAACTTCTGATATGTTCTGGAGATACTTTGCTTTTAATTGAAGGACAACTTCCTCCTCCGGTAAGATTTTACTTCTGAATAGACATCTTATAAGTAGTAATTACTGTTATCTGATTACAGAGATGATATAGTCTCATTTAGGGAAAATAGGGAAATTCAGATAGTCATAAAGAGAATAGAGAACTTTCCCCAAATGCTACCAATCAGATATGTTTCCTAACTTTTAAATATTCCCACACAAAATTAAAATCAATTACATATAACATTTTTATTTCCTACCTTTTATATTTAACATTTTAACCTTCTCATAAAATCCAAAAATAATCATCATATCCAAGGTAATGTTTTACTAGTTTAATTCATCTGTATCCTCATTGTTGGAAGCTTAGATTGTTTTTAATATTTTGTTTTTTATAAATAGTACTTAAATAAGTCTTTCTGAAAATAGTTCTAAATGTAGAATTGCTAAGTCCAAAGGTATGACCTCTTTAAAGGCTTGATGTTATACGCAGGAGCATGTGAGAGGGCTCATTTCACTGCCCTTTCCCAAGCATTGCATATCACTACTTTCTAAAACCAATATTGTTTCTTTTGAACTGAGGATGCACATAAAGGTGAACCCAAAAGAGAAAAAATGGCCCTAAATTTCAGCCTCCCCAGAGTGCTGGGGTTACAGGTGTGAGCCACCAAGCACAGCCAAAACTCTTTTAAACAGGGTCCTTGAAGTTGATTCATGGTTTTTGGTCCCATAAACAATTTGCATGAATATTCTTACACATATGGCTTTCTTTGCATGTACTAGTATATCAGAATGTAAATTCCTAAATGTGTAATGGCTGCACATTTTAAAATTCGGCAGACACGGGCAAATTATTCTACAGAAACTTCTCAGCAGTTTATATTCCTGCTACCAACTTACAAGTGTTCAAGTTTACCGATATTTTCACCAACATAATTTTCTGGTTTTTGACAGTCTGCTAGGTGAACAACTGGAATTTTGTTGCTCTGATTTACATTTATTTAATTGAATGAAGGTTGAGTATTTGTTAATCTTCACTAATCTGATAAACAGAAAAATATTCTAATGCACATTTCTTGAACTACCTATTTAAAATGTTATATGTGGTTAATTTTCACATCCTCATCTTCTGTTGTTGGAAATTAAGTACTGCAACAATAACACCTTTTATCTCTTCATAAACCTATTAAAGTTCTTCACTAACAAAAAAAAATGAGGTGGGAAGAACTAGCTAAATAAGTAAAACTGAAATTACAGGGTGTGTATAAGACAATGGGTTTATTCCCCTTAGTTTGTATCAGAAACCCAACTTAGATCAATGGGCTCTTACATCTGTGTGATAAACGGCACTGCCGGGACTGGTATCCCGGGCCAGCAGCGCTTGAACTGCGCCTGGAAAGGCTGGTGTAGTGTGTTCAAGCAAATGCATTGTTCTTGTTTATGCTTCTCGTTTATTTTATCTTCTAAGATGCTTCTAAGCAAAGGACATTTTAGTCCAGTCACCCCAAAGTCTGATTTTTATTATTTTAAATTTTTGGTTGTAAAAACAAGTATAATTTATGACAGTTAATAAATCTAAAAAGAAAAATGGTAAGTTCAAGAACGTCTTATGTCATCAAGATGTTTCTTTCTATGGAAGTAAAAGTGAAGATTCACTTAATCTTTGTAATCAGAACAGCTAAACATGCTCCATTCTTCAGGGTTTCCTGAAGGTACCCATCTGGTGGTACCAGCTTCAGGATCCCTCAGGACACTGGGAGAGTCATCAGGACCAGACCAACTGTACTTCCTCTTGGGGCAGAGTATGGAGAGCCGCTTCCAGCCAAGGTGAGAACAGAATGGGATTTTAGCAGCCAGTGCATAATAGAGAGAGGTAAAATGACTGCCTGTGCTCTGAGAGTCAATTGAAATATTTATTTTAAAAATGTAAGGTTGAAAATCAAGACCTATTAATGTCATAAGTCATTCCAGACATTGCATACTAACACCATGCTATTTCTGTCGGTGCTCTGTGAGCTCCGTAAAGCACTACATATCTTATTGTTGTTTACTATTATATGAATATATTACACTTTTCCAAAAACTTGTATGTATCATCTCTCAAGATCCTCAGGATAACGGGGCCCCATTTATCACCATGTACCAGAACATTGAGGCTTCAGCCAATTCTAGGGATGTCATTGAAGCCCACCAGGGCAGAGACCAGGAGCCCACATTCTACATGTCACAGTCTTTCTGCCCCAGAACCCTTAGGAACTGCTTCTAGGGCATTTGACATCACCTCACTGACTTCTGAGAAGGAAAATAGACAAGTACAAGCATATTGTCTTACTCAGCATTCAGCCACACACATCAGTGCGTTCAGTTGCCCTTGTACAAAGAGGAGTTCCACTTCATTATAAAGAAAACACCATTTAATTTATTTTGTAACTGTAGATAAAGCAAGTACATTTTTAATAGGCCCAACTCTTTAGCGATTTTTTTTCTTTGTATCATGTTTATTTAGTTTTTCTAGTGCCTTGAAGTATATTACTTATATTTCTTTTTAATCTTTTAAGCCTCAGTAATAAAATTAATATAAATGAGCCAAATTCTTATCTCCTTATTCTTTGAATTTAGGATTATATGGATAGAGTAATGCTGAATGAGCTATAAAATTGACATAAAGTTACTTTTTAGTTGGGTTACACTAGTTCATGTTAACTAATGATAAAAATGCTTTGGTGATAGAATTCTAGTTACATGTAGAATTGGATACAGAATTTAAAAGCATGTTTATTCAGTATGTTTCTACATGAAAGTAAATAAAAGGTTCCTTTTTTGGTAATACATCTGTATCACCACAAATGGGAAATACAGTCTTGTGTCACTTAGGAGTATGTTTTGAGAAATGCGTCATTAGGTGATTTTGTCATTGTGTGAATGTGGTAGAGTGATTACACAAAGCTAGATGGCAGAGCCTCCTCCACACCTAGGCTGTTCGGTGTAGCCTGTTGCTCATAGCCTGTTGCACGGCAGCTTGCTGTATGAATACTGAAGGCAGTCGTCACACAGTGGCAAGTGTTTGTGTATCTAAACAGAAGACGGAACAGTGAAAATACGGTTTTATAATTGTATAGGAACACGTCACATGTGTGGTCTTTGACCGAATAATTGTGTAGCCCATGATTATATATTTCATTCTTTAGAATTTCCTAACATTGTCTTTCCAGTAATGTCAGCCTGTAGTTTACTTAGGACACAAGAAGAACGTCTAATGCACTTAGCTGACTTCTAATCTGTCTGTAATTTCTTGCCATGCATTGGTGAAGTGCTCAGAAGTAAAGACAGCAAAAATAAGTGAAGACAAATGAAATTTAGTTGCCAGCTTTTATATTGTTTTCGATGAGAAAGCATTGTGTTTTTCCCTTTTTTAAAACAAACTTGGAAAGGCCTTCTTATTGTCAAGATTTACTCAATTTTGTAAACATTTGTTGGGCATTTATTATGTGGCACCCCTTGTATCCAGCACTGGGGAGACAAGATAGATGGCCTGCCTCCTTTAGAAAATCCTGTTGTTTTGAGGAGGAAGATTAAACACCTGCCCGTGCACACACACACACAAACACACGGAACAAGCTGGGATGAGTGTTATGAGAAGGAAACAGGAAGCTAACACACGGAATGCAGGCAGTATCCTACCCAAAAAGTCTTCTTTGAGGAAGGAGGGAGTGTGGAAAAGTACATTCGATGTAGGGTCATAAGTGTCACATTCCTCATGGTATTTTGCCAACATGCCCCTGCCTACTCGCCTGCCAGACAGGGCTTCCTCACAAGACTTGGATGCAGAGAGGCTCTTGAGTGGAATTTTTATAACCTATTTACGATATCAAAACATGGCAATGTATTACAGAAACACAAAATAAGTTTCAAGTTTCTTGTAAACATCCCGTTCTGTGCTTTGGAAGGTGCTCCTGGGAACGAGCCTGAGGAAGTTTCTCTCCTCTACTTGGGAGACATCGAGATCTCAGAAGATGCCACGCTGGCGGAGCTGAAATCTCAGGTCAGACTTCTTCCCTGCACCATAACTTAGTGGTAATGTGCCTTCTTCCAGTGAGATATTAATATATTCTTCTATCTCCTTTTCCCTCAATTACAGTCTGTTCTGATATGGCATTTGTCATATGCCATGTTCAGTGGTAAGTACCCGCAGGCAACACACGCCCATGGTGCGGACGGCTCCTCGTGGCCTCACTGGTCCCTCCTCTGACAGGCATGCTGTGCTTTTGTTTCAATCTATCCTCAGTGACTTGCGGCTTTTGTTCATTTTTATTTTTTAGGGACACATGGTTTCTTGGAACATTTGTAAAGCATTCACTTTCTACCTTTATTTACATTGTTTGTGTGCCATTGTGACCCATATGTTAGTGTTGTTATGAAGAGCTGTGTTACCGGTTTTCCAGGCAGGCAGAACAGCAGCTTTGATGTTAGGACGCTAAACTAGGTACTGTCTTGTTTCTTATGCATCGGCATTCACAGAGGAGGAAGGTTTTGTCCAAATGAAAAGGCTGGGTTAAGTACAACGGAGTTTTGAAGAAGCATCTGCCTACTGTTGGACTGAAATGAGCATTCCTTTCTTCTCTTAGAGGAGAGACTGGGGGGGCCTATATATGACTAGCGCTTGTTGATGTTTGGCTTTTGTGTGCCCTCAGCATATGAAATACCCTTCCTCAAGAAAAAGCAGACATTGGCCAGGTGTGGTGGCTCACATCTGTAACCCCAGCACTTTGGGAGTCCGAGGTGGGCGGATCACTTGGGGTCAGGAGTTTGGGACCAGCCTGGCCAATGTGGTGAAACCCCACCTCTACCAAAAGTACAAAAAAGAAAAAAAATGCCGGGCGTGGTGGTGCACACATGTAATCCCAGCTACTCAGGAGGCCGAGGCAGGAGAATCACTTAAACCTAGAGGGGGAGGTTGCAGTGAGCTGAGATCATGCCACTGCACTCCAGGCTGGGCAATGGAGGGAGACTGCATCTCAAAAAATCAAAAAATAAAAAAGAAAATTTTTCTCATGAGAACAAGTAGGAAGATACTTTTTTTTTTTTTGCTTCATACTATGTTGAGGGATACAAAATTGTTGTTTTTAGGTTAAAACAAGGATGAATGCTGGTAATTTTATAGGCTCCAACCTGTGTATCAGTAGGGGCTTAAAGTGATCTACTCCTGCAGAATTAGAACAAGCAGTTTGGATCTACTGAATGCAACCCAAGATTCTGAAATATTTCAAAATCAAAAGCTGACTCATCTGCAGAGCAAACATTGGCGGAGAATTGCATTGGCATGGAATACAGCTGATGAGTCCCCGCTATGCTCTGCCCTGGTGAATTACTATTAGACCTGACTCTGCCTTGGTGAATTCTACTCACATGGAAGTTAATTCCAAAGTTTGATTTTTCAAACATGATTAAAAAGAAGCTTTTGGCTCAGATTTAGAGATAAGAGAACTCACTTCTTCCTCAAACTGATTTCGGTGGAGAGGAATATGAAGACTGCGCAGGGTTAGTGTCATTTAAGAGAGAGATTCCTGTGACTTTTAAAATGTTCTCATTACTGGAGAGACTCTTTCACTGAGATATCACTGTGTAGTGCTTCATTTTTTTTCTAAAACAGTATGTTTTGAAGAGTGCTTTTTAAAACCATTGGAGAAATGTCTGTTTCTTTCTATAGGCTTTGACCTTGTCCCCTTTCCTGGAGTTCGGTGTCCTGTCCCCAGCCCACCTCAGAGCCTGGACGGTGGAGAGGAAGTGCCCAGGCAGACTTTTACGAACTGACCGGCAGCCGCTCAGGTAGGTTCCTTGCTGGACGCAACGCCGTCACTCTGCTGCCGCCACACTGGCTAATGCAATGAATAGAGGAAGAATTGCTCTTCTGAGCTGAGCGAAAACATAAAGCCCATTCCTGGCTGGGCGCGGTGGCTCACGCCTGTAATCCCAGCACTTTGGGAGGCCGAGGCGGGTGGAACACGAGGTCAAGAGATCGAGACCATCCCGGTCAACATGGTGAAACCCCATCTCTACTAAAAATACAAAAAATTAGCTGGGCATGGTGGCCTGTGCCTGTAATCCCAGCTACTCAGGAGGCTGAGGCAGGAGAATTGCCTGAATCCAGGAGGCGGAAGTTGCGGTGAGCCGAGATCACGCCATTGCACTCCAGCCTGGGTAACAAGAGTGAAACTCTGTCTCAAAAAAAAAAAAGCAAGCCCATTCCTGGGCATGCCACACTTGTGACACTTTTCATCATAAGCCCCAACAAGACTTCAGTTTTTCATGTTAAGTATAAATGTAGTGTTGTGTATTTTTTCTGTGCTCCAGTGAATTATACAACTTAAAAGCATTTGGGGTGAGAAGAAAAGTAGGAGCAGCTATTTCTCACTCAGAAATGTTGGATTCAGCTGATCTTCCTTCTGAAACTTTGAACTTAAAGAGCAGTTCTGGTTCATTTCCTTTGCAAAAAGCAGCCCTGAGGCTGCTTTTTCTTTTTCTTTTTTTTTTTTAAATAGACCGGGTCTGGATCTGTCGCCCAGGCTGGAGTACAGTGGCGTGATCACGGCTCAACTACAGCCTCAACCTCCTGGGCTCATGTGATCCTCCCGCCTCAGCCTCCTGTGTAGCTGGGACCTCAGGCATGTGCCGTGACACCAGGCTAATTTTTTGTTATGACAAGGTCTTCCTGTGTTGCCCAGTCTGGTCAGGAACTCCTAGCCTCAAGCAGTCCTTCCACCTTGGCCTCTCAAAGTGCTGGGATTATAGGCACGTGAGCCACTGTGCCTGGTCAAAGCCTTTTTTTTTTCTTCTTGAGATGGAGTCTGGCTCTTGTTATCCAGACTGGAGTGCAGTGGCGTGATCTTGGCTTACCATAAACTCCACCTCCCAGGTTCAAGCGATTCTCCTGCCTCAGCCTCCTGAGTAGCTGGGATTACAGGCACCTACCACCACGCCCAGCTAATTTTTGTACTTTTAAAAGTAGAGACAGGGTTTTGCCATGTTGGCTGGGCTGGTCTTGAACTCCTGACCTCCCAAAGTGTTGGGATTATACACGTGAGCCACTGCGCCTGGCCAACGCTGCTTTTAATTAGTTCTGATTACCATCCCAAAGTGACTGGCATGAGAATCTTAACCCTGACTGAACATAGGGAAATTTCTTTGGCAATTTGGCCATCTTCCCAGAGCCGGACCTACATATTTAATGACTCAAGTACCTAATGGTAACCACAGCAAGGATTCTCATTTTTCCCTTTTCCAAAAGCTTGGGTGTTCTTATAAGTACTCAGAAGACAATCCTTTGCTCAAGAAAAAGGCTTCAAATTGAGAAAAAATTATGTAAGAAATGTAAATGTTATGTCACTCAATATTATTTTGTTTCACTTATTATCAGGGAATGTAAGCTAGGGCGGAGAACTGAGATCTGCTTAGAGCACCTTCAGAAAGGAGAAGACCTGGGGTAAGAAACTCGACTCTGCATCGACAGTGACACACACATATTTTAACACAGTTTGCCTTTTTAAGGTTTAACAACTTAACAGTGTAGTATTTTTTTCACTGTTTCTAAGTAGCCTAGCAACTTAAAATAGATTGTGTTCTAGAAATGTGTTTGTACGTCTGGTGTCTAAAACTTGGAACCTGTTCTCACATAAAAACAGTAAGGGAGAAGTAATTTTTCAGTAACCCTGAAGTGCACATTGACCCCGTGATGACCCTGAAGTGTCAGCAAGAGGCCCACCCACAGCTGTCATGGTGTGTTCCGACAGTTGCCGCTCAGCAGATTTATCATTGCTCCCATCACCCTGCCCCCTTATTCTACTTTATACATCCTCATAGCACCTGACAGCTTCTGAACTTACCCATGTATTTGTTAGTATCTGTCTCCCACTATTAGAATGTAAGTACTTGATTCATTGCTATATCCTCAATACTTAGAAGAGTAATAGTGCCCATGTCCTAGTCAATAATTATTTATTAAATAAAGATGCACCCAAAATTGTCTACAATCAAGCCATCTTGTTCTGTTTTCACTGTAGGAAAATGTTTTACAAGTCCTTTTGTAAATATCATGAACTATTAAGATTTGCTGTAGCCGTTAACGATGTGGATATCCTCCTTCTTGTTGTCTGCTTATTATATGGAAAGCACTCTTTCATCCATGTCTAACCTGTATTTAATTTTAGTGTTTTTATAAAAACGCATTCTTAATACAAGTTGTACAACCAGAAATAGTTTCCTGGAGGGGAATTCCAGGATCAAATGGTATGGACATTTTAAACCTCTTTAAATAGTTAAATATTTTTCAGATAAGTTGTACCAGAATATGAGTGTGTATTTTACCTTGCCCACAAACCAACATTGAATATTTCATTGTCTAGATGTTTCCTGAATTGATAAATGAAAGATGATTTTTTTTTTTTTTTTTTTTTTTTTGAGGCGGAGTTTCGCTCTTGTTACCCAGGCTGGAGTGCAATGGTGCGATCTCGGCTCACCGCAACCTCCGCCTCCTGGGTTCAGGCAATTCTCCTGCCTCAGCCTCCCAAGCAGCTGGGATTACAGGCACGCACCACCATGCCCAGCTAATTTTTTGTAATTTTAGTAGAGACGGGGTTTCACCATGTTGACCAAGATGGTCTCGATCTGTTGACCTCGTGATCCACCCGCCTCGGCCTCCCAAAGTGCTGGGATTACAGGCTTGAGCCACCGCGCCCGGCCGAAAGATAATTATTTTGTTCTCATTTGCTCCAGTGCTTTGATGACTAGTAAGTTCAGGCATTTATGCAAACTGTATTTTGTGAGTGCATGAATGAATTATTTCATGTATTTTGCCTGTTTCTGCAATGAAGTCTAAGGGAAAAGCTCTCTTGGAATTTGTGTGAGCTCTTTGTGATTTTGACCCTTTGTCACAATGATTGTAAGCAGTGTCAGGTTTTGATAGACACAGTGCCTTTTGTCCTCTTGAAGAGCAGCTGTGCACCTCCTCAGGCCCCTTCTGTGGGCTCTTCTGTCCTTGGCTGACCTCCAGGCCACTCCTGCTCTCCTCAAGGAGGCCTCTAGTCCGTCCTGTTTCTCTCCAGTAGCCTCTGTCCCCTCCTTGGCAACTTCAGCATCTGTGCCGATGCCCTTTCCCTCCTCTGGCCGCACTGCGCTGGGCGAGGCCCCACTCCCTGGCCAGCAGACCCTCCCCCGTGGGGACATGGGACTCTGCAGCCTCTGCTCTTGCACTCTGCACTCTCCTGATTCCACAGGCCTACATCCTCCCATGTGCTCTCTTTCTTCCAGTCATTTCTTTTCTCTCATTGTGTCACCTCTTTTGATGGTAGAAATACTTAACAGAAGTACAACATCTAAAAATCGGTCATTGTCTCAGCATCCTAAGAACAAGTTTTCATTTCCCCTCACAGCCTTCTATTTCTTATCTGTAGCTTTTCCTCCATGGCCTCTGCTGACCTCTGCACGTCTCTGTTCCTCCTGACTTGCTGAGTGTTGTTCTTTCTCCTCCTCCTGCCAAGGTTTCTCATCTCCCACAGCTGCAGCCTTGTCTCTCACCCCTGCCGTGTCTCTCTTCCCAATTCCAGCCCTCAGGTTCTCCCTGGGTACCTCACAGCGGCCCAGATGTATAGCCCCCAAAGTCAAGGGCGTAACTGCCTGCCTCTAGCCCACTCTCCTCCTGCCAGCTGCTGGGCTGTCATGCTGGGCCCCTCTCCGCCACCTCTGTCCTTTTCTCCTGCACTGAGGAAGGTTCCCTCCCCTCGCTGGGGGGCTCTGCTGTGGACTAAGAATGGGATCTTCACTTCCACTCTTCATAGATTGAAGGAAATTGAAGTGAGGAATAAGGATTTGCCACTAGCATCCAGCATTTAGGGAAAATCTCTCCTTATGAAAACCAGAAGAGCTAGAGGGGAAGCTTTGCCCACCGTGCCTCAAGTTACCATGAGGTTTTGTTTGTTTGGATTTGGCACTTGACAGTTTTCTGGTGTAGCCCACAGGACATGCTGCTGAGGACACAGATGCGCATCCCCAGCGAGAGGACCTATACCCCTGCTCTGGACCTGGTGTGGGACACGGCCCAGGGCAGGACTCCTGGCTCCCTGAGGCAGAGGGTTGCTGATTTCTATTGTCTTCCTGTGGAGAAGATTGAAATTGCCAAATACTTTCCTGAAAAGTTTGAGTGGCTTCCGATATCCAGCTGGGTAAAGTTGTGGGGCTGTCACAGAGAAGTGGGGGCTTACTGGCCTAGCAGTGAGGTTAGCTGCAGCTTTTCACAGTGAGAGAGAATTTAGTGAGAACGTGTGTGAGAGAGAATTTAGTGAGAACATGACAGAGAATTTAGTGAGCACTTGAGAGAATTTAGTGAGAACGTGTGAGAGAGAGAATTTAATGAGAATGTGCGTGAGAGAGAATTTAATGAGAACTTGAGTGATAGAGAATTTAGTGAGAACTTGAGGTTGAGTTTTGCTTATTTAAGATGTTTGATTTTCCCATAGAACCAACAAATAACCAAGAGGAAAAAGAAGAAAAAACAAGATTGTTTGCAAGGGGCACCATACTACTTGAAAGACGGAGATACTATTGGTGTTAAGGTAAGCTGTTTAACAGCAGATTTACCACTTTGACAAGACATGAGGGTCACATGAGTTTATAGAGACATTTTATTGAATCTTCAAGATGTAGATAATCCCATTTTATACAAACTGTTTCAGAGAATGGATTAAAAAAAAAAAGAGGGAAAACCGGACAGCTGACTTTACAAGGCCACTGGAACCTCAGTATCCAAACCGCCAAGGACAGTAAAATAAAATACAGACCAGTTTTACTTCTGACCGTAAATGTAAAATTCTAAGTAAAATACTAGCAAGCTCGGCCTATTACTGTGTGACGTGATGTCAGACATCCAAGGCATGGGAGGGAGGCAGTGTGAAGAGTAGAGTATGTGAGAAACATCCTGCCAGCCTAAGGAGATGCAGAAAAGCGTAACATCCAATTTATTACTAAAAGCCCATGTTCATTCATGACTTTAAAAAGGAACTTAGCCAACTAGGAATCGAAGGGAACAGCTTCACCTGATGCACATACCTACCCAAAGCCTCTAGCAGCAACACAGTGACAGCTCCAAAAGCTTCAATTTGCATTAAAGGGGGACCCAAAATAAGGATTCCCTTAACCACCCCTTCTGTTGAACACTGCACTAAACAACACGGGCAGTGTATGGCCTCCCTCCCTGTCAAAAGAAAAGCAAATACAAATTGAAAGAGAGGTAAAAGAAATTTTAAAAGGAACATGTAAAACTGTTCTTACAGAGGAGGTTTAAGTGGGGGGCACGGTGGCTCATGCCTGTAATCCCAACACTTTGGGAGGCCAAGGCAGGTGGATCACTTGAGCCCAGGAGTTCGAGACCAGCTTAGACAACTTAGTGAAACTTTGTCTCTACAAAAACATACAAAAATTAGCCAGGTGTGGTAGCACACGCCTGTAGTCCCCACTACTCAGGAGGCTGAGGGAGGAGGATCACTTAAACTAGGGAGGTGGATGTCACAGATCACTCCACTGTACTGCAGCCTGGGCAACAGACATCCCAGCTCAAAAAAAAAAAGACATTCAAGAGACTATACACAGATAAATGATTTGATCTGATAAGAGAATTCAAAAGGTTCCAAGATCAGTATAAAACCTTCTGGAGAATATACAAAAACATACAGTGTTAAAGCTTCTGTGAGACACAGAGCCATGTCATGTTCTTGGAAACCTCGCAATAGTAAAGGTATCAGTTCTTCCCAAGTCTGTAAATTCAGTGCAATTCCAATGACAATCCATAGAGATTAAACAAATTGATAGCATGAATTCATATAGTAGAGCAGAGGGCCAAAAGGCTAAGATTTTCTTTTGGGACAGTGTCTCGCTCTGTCACTTAGGCTGGAGTGCAGTGGGACAATCTTGGCTCACTGCAAGAATAAAAAGGACAGGGTCCTTGCCTTACTGAGTGTTGACTGATGACAGCTGTGGTGGCAGTGTAGCATTGAGGCAGGGGTAGACAAACAGGTTCATGGACAGGGCAGAAAGCCCAGAAGCAGAATCACACATGGAAGGAATTGTGACAGATAATTGAGGCTACATTGAAAAATGGGTTATTCAATGAATCGTGCTGGGAAACTTAGTTCTCTATATATAGGAAAATCTTATTCATTAATTTTCATAAATAAATTTTATACAGGTTGAGTATCTGTTATTCAAGATGCTTGGGACCAGAACTGTTTCAGATTGCAGGTTTTCTGGGGGTTTTGGAATATTTGCACTATACATAAGGGTCAAGCATCCCTAATTCAGAAATCTGAAATCTGAGATGTTCCATTGAGTTTTGGATTTCTGGATTAGGGAGGCTCAACTGGAATCAGTGTTTGGCCCCGTAAAACCTGTACTTACCTTTGCTCACACCATAGTTAACAGGCCATCCAGTGAAACGCACTCATTTTCAATCTTTAAAAGACATAAGAAAATCTTTGTCTTCAGGTTAAGGATTTCTTTTTTGGGGGGGATGGGTGTCTCACTCTGTCACGCAGGTTGGAGTGCAGTAGCACGATTTCCACTCACTGTAAGCTCTGCTTCACGGGCTCAAGTGATCCTCCCACCTCAGCCTCCCAAGTAGCTGGGACCACAGTCATGTGCCACTACACCCGGCTAATTGTTTATATTTACCAAAAATACAGGGTTTTGCTATGTTTCCCAGGCTGGTCTCAAACTCCTGAGTTCAGGCAGTTCAGTGAACTGCCTCAGCCTCCCAAAGTTCTGGGATTACAGGCATAAGCCACCACACCTGGCAAGAAGGATTTCTTAATCAAAAAGTGCAAACCATAAAAGAATTGATAAATTTGGTTACATTAGAAGTAAAAATTTTTGTTTATGAAAGGAAACCATAAAAACACTGAAAAGGTAAGTCACAAACGGGAGAGACATATGCAGCGGGACAGCAGCGGGTTATTCTCCGTATATACAGCAGACCTTCTACAGATGGGTCATCAAAAAATAACCAAACAGAGGAGAAGCAGACCAAGATTACTGGCAGTTCACAGAGAAGAACAGAATGGCCAGGAAACACAGGAAAAGGGAACCCACTTCCCAAGTGAGCTGGGAACTGCAGAATCTAGCAGAGAGCTGCCGTTGTTAACTGGGCATGACTGTTGGAACGCCCACACATGGCTGGGCGCAGTGGCTCACGCCTGTAATCCCCAGCACTCTGGGAGGCCGAGGTACTCTGGAGAGCAGTTTGGTGTTATTTTAGTCCACAGATGCTCAGTGAGTCCCACTGCCAGCTATATTCCCTAGAGTAACTTCCCATAGCTGTGCGGAGATACAGACCTGCTCACTGAAGCACTCACTACTGGTAATAGGATGCAGTGGAAAGAAATTAAGTGATAGGGTGTCTTTTTTTTTTAATTTTTTTAAAGACAGAGTCTATGTCGCCCCGGCTGGAGTGCAGTGGTGTGATCTCAGCTCACTGCAACCTCTGCCCCCACCGGGTTCAAGCGATTCTCCTGCCTCAGTCTCCCAAGTAACTAGGATTACAGGTGCACACCACCATGCCCAGCTAATTTTGGTATTTTTAGTAGAGATGGGGTTTCACGTGTTGGCCAGGCTGGTCTCAAACTCCTGACCTCAAGTGATCCACCTGCCTCAGTCTCCCAAAGTGCCTGATAAGTTCTTAAGGGGATAAATAAATGGGAAAAAAAATATATTAAACCAGAGTGGCATATGTCAGCATTATTATATGCCCAGATATTTAATGTGGAAAAGAAAATGAAGTCACAGAGTCATCATTTATATAAACTACGTAAAATGCTAGGGGGCTGAGCGCGGTGGCTCATCTCTGTAATCCCAGCACTTTGGGAGGCCAAGGCAGGCAGATCACTTGAGGTCAAAAGTTTGAGACCAGCCTGGAAAACATGGTGAAACCCCAACTCTACTAAAAACACAAAAATTAGCCAGGCATGGTGGCCTGAGCCTGTCGTCCCAGCTACACAGTCCCAGCTACTCGGGAGGCTGTGGTAGGAGGATCACCTGAGCCTGGGAGGTAAGAGTTTGCAATGAGAGGAGACCATGCCACTGCATTTCAGCCTGGGTGACAGACTGTGTCTCAAAAATAAAATAATGCTAGGGATTGCTGAGGGTCATGTCTCTAGGTAGTAATGGAATGAAACTGAGGACGGGGGCAGTGACCCAGCCTCAGTGTAGTGGTCACCTCTTGGGCACAGAGGGGCATCAACAGAATCTAGTAAGTTTTTTCCTTTAAAAATGAAGTAAACATGGTAAAAGGTAAATACTCTAGGTAACAGTTACTGAGCATTTTACTACATGCCAAACAATATACACTAGCCCCATCCATGTTCACATGTAATTCCTGTAATCTTCATAACAGCCTCTAAAGTAGGTGCCATGTTAAGATGGGGGAAGTAAAGCCCAGGAAGGTTATGTAACTTGTTCAGGGTGCACAGCTCGCATGTCCATGGATTGGAGCCCAGGCAGTTTGGCCCTGGCGCCCTCGCTGATCGGGCCCGAGAACATGGGTACATGGGTGTCTGTTCCATCACCTCTGTATTTCCTCTTACTTTGTAATGTTCCACAGTTTTTTTTTTTTGAGACAGTCTTGCTCTGTTGCCCAGGCTGGAGTGCAGTGGCATGATCTCAGCTCACTGCAACCTCCACCTCCTGGGTTCAAGCAATTCCCCAGCCTCAACCTCTCCACAATTTTTAAACATGTGTCACTAGCAATTTACTGAAATAGAAATTACGATATTTGCTTATCATGTCAGTGTATTAGAATAGAGACAATAATATTTGTCATGATGTGTTCCTGGCAGAGGTGGGGTACTGAGAAGCACACAGACCCTCCTGCAGAGCCTGGTTAATATCTTAGTCATTGAAGGGTCGAACTGTGATATGTAACCAGAGCCAGCTCCCCCACATCCAGCCCTGAGAATGCAGCCAGCAACCTGGGCCACCCCCAGCACGAACCCCCAGGCCCTGCGCTGCGTCTCCTGACACACCTCCCTTCCCGGGTGCACTCCTGAGGCGTCCTCCCTGTGGACAGCACTTATGGAAATAACATGCATGTGGAAAACGACCTGCAAGTCCTGGGAAAGGGAGGAGGCTTGCCTGTCACTGGCACGCACTGGGCAGCCTGTGTTTGCAAACCCAGTAGTTAAGGCTGTGGGAGATGCCAAGGAAGGAAAAGCCAAGTTGGTGCCTCTCAGAAACTGGGGCTGGCTATAGAAATACAGAGGGGAGAACAGACTGACCGTACCTATAAAGCAAACAGCTGTGCTCCCAGGGTGGTGACGAGAGCCCTGTGCCGACGTGGATGATCTGTGCTTCACGTTCTTGCCTGGTCACCCTTTAAAGCTGCCCTGTTGGGCCATTCCCAGTGGGAGCTTCTGGAGCTGAAGGCAAAGGTCAGATGGCTGGAAATTAATTTTCCTCACGATGTGCTTCCTGCCACCTGCCCGAGTTTCCTTTCATCAAGCAAGAGGATTTTTTTAATCAGTTATTAACCTAGTTTATGTAAATTTGGATCTCTCCTTTTGCCAATATAGGTAGTTTTTTAAACATGCCTCTTTTAAATGTAAGCTAAAAAGATGTCTGAAAACACTGCTCATTAATTCTTTTGAAATGTAGAATCTCCTGGTTGATAATGATGACGATTTCAGTACAATCAGAGATGACATTGGAAAAGAAAAGCAGAAACAGCTGGCTCTGGAGAAGAGGAAAAGGTAATTCTGGGATCCGCACGGACCCGCAGCTGGCAGAGTCCTCTCTGACTCTTGCTCCTGCCTGCAAACTGATAGGGGCTGGGAACGCTTGTTGATTCAAATCGCACACAAAGCGCACTGGTGTGGCGGGTCCTTTTCCCTCTCCTTGAGTGCCTCCTCCTGGAGCTTTCTGTGGAACAGGTGACGTCCATGTGGACCGCAGAGGCACGATGAGACCACGGATCCACGGTTAGGCTGTCACCCTCCTTCCTCCCCACGCGCAGCCTCTCCCTCTGCCTGGGGCTGGGCTTTCCTTCAGGTCTCCAGCACCACCGCATCCTGCTGCCACCTTGGCCCTGCTGCGGTCTCCCTGTCCTTCTCCCTCTGTCCAAGGTTCCCGAGAGCCTGGCCACTCCTCCAGGGGAAGCTGCTGTGGCTACAGCGCTGCTGCCGCCTTCCTCCCGGGCACTGCCTCGCTCTACTCAGGATCCCTTCCCTCTCTCCCTACTTTCCGTGTTGGCACCGCCTGCTCTTGCTTGGCCCTGTGCTCACTGCCACTGAAGGAAGCACATGCTGCTCGCAGGCAGGCCAAGCCACAGACTCTGTGCATCCAGCTCTCTGCTGGCCTCCAGGCCACACATAGCCCCCCCAGGAACTTCCACTCCACACACCCAGACCTGGGGCATGAGGCACAGTTCGCACTGCTCAGCTGTCCACCACCACAAGTCTGGGGACCTGCCCATGGCATCAGCTCCATGCAGGCCACCTCTTCCTCTTCACCCCAGCTCCCCGTCTCAGGGACTCTGGGTCTCTCCTAAATCTTCCTTTTGTCATGTTCTGACTGCTTCTGCCCTGGTGGATTTCATCTTTTCCTGCCCAGATGACTGCAAGAGCCTCATCTGGCCCTGCTCCCCCTAATCCCTCTCCTCCCCCATCAGTATATTGTCTACCGGTGTGCCAGTGACTCCATGCCCTCTGCCACTGGGGAAGACAGGTCCAAGGTGTAGGTGGCAGGGAGGCGGGCATGACCTCGTGACTGTGGCAGAGGTGAGGATTCAAGCGTGGTTAGAGGCTACTGGAGGGTGTGAATGGGGACCCCTTGACATACTTGCTGGCTGCTTCATGGTGGATTCTAGGAGGTAGAAGTGGAGTCAGGGAGTCGAGGGAGGAGACTCCCTGAGTGAAGATGGTGCTGGGTGGGGACTTGTTGGGGGAAATGGCAATGGAGGAAGGGCTTACAGAGTGCCTACAAGTCTGGTTACTTTGTATTGCTACAGAAGGGGTTTTAAGCACTTGAGCATACTACATACTATAACAGAGTCAAGGTCAATGCGCACTTGGAACAAGAAGGCTTGGGGACGTTTACCTCCCCAGAGGCCTGGCGCAGTTTGCCATGGTTAACTGTTCCCAGTACTTGTAACCACTTTATGTAGGCACTCTGCAAACCCTTCCTCCATTACCGTTCCCCCCAGCAGGGCCTGCATGAGCTCTGCTAGCAGCGGGGTGGCCTGTCATTCACAGCTGGACCCTCAGTACCTAGAATGGTGCTTCCCTAGCTGCTTAGTAGACACTGTCCGGTGAGTGGGTTCATTCATTCATTCTGGAGATGGAACAGGGGGTCCTCTGTGGCGGCATCTCAGACTGTGGTGCCCTGCTTCCCTCCGCCCTCCTCCCCAGCCCCTCCTCCAAGGTATGGCCCCTAGACCTGGGGCCCCAGGATGGCAAAGAACATGTGTCCTCACCCCCATTTGCCGCTCTGCAGCCCACAGGTCCTGGTGCCCTCAGAGGCCTGGAGACATGGGAGAGGGGCCACCTGGGTGCTTCGGGTTTTCCTACTCAAAGGCCAGACACACACACACACACACACACACACACACACATACACACACACATCAAATTCTGTGTCTAATACACAGAATACATAGACACTAAAATACTGCATTTTTCCTCATTTTAAATGTGATGCCACTGACTTCATCAGCCTTCTCACATGCATTCTCTGTCAAAGCCTTAGCTGTCACCAAGGCTGTTATTTAGAGACATCCAACAGTTTTCCAGGCCCTAAAATCTCCATTTTCATCTGTGCTGCTTCATACAGCACATTTTAAATCTCTGTGTTGCTGTCACTGAAAACCTTATCTTAAGCCTCATACATGCTCTTTGCAAAGAGTAGACCACTGGTGCCTTATGAACACCATGATGTAACACTTACAATATTGTTTTTATCTACTTTTTGGAGTTAATGGAGTCACGTGCTTTCAAAAGCCACCAAAGAGGTTCACTGAGAAATCTCTGTACCTGCCTCCCCAGGTACACAGCCTCTCCCAGATGGGCCAGCCTAACAGTCCTGCATCTCCTAAGAGAGACCTGCATATGGGGCAGATGAGCTTTCCCTTCTCTTTTGACACAAGAACTTTCTTGGTAACCTTGCTGTTTTCCCGTACCAGTGTGTACCCAGCTACCCCATCTCGTGGTAGGGGCATGGTGTCCTCATGCCTGGGTAGACCACAGTTTAGGTGACATATGCCCACCTCACACACTTCCAGGCTGTTGCCAGCTCTGTCACCATCACGGTGAATAACCTTGTATATTCACCATTTTGCAATACAGATGTGGATATATCAGTAGGGCAGGTTTCTGCAAGTGGAGTTGCTAGGTCAGAGGTATGGCTATAAACGTATCTGCAAATAGAAAGAGACAACCAATCCAACACAACTATAGGAAAGGGTAAGAGCAGTGCAAAGACAAGGAACCACAGATTGCTTGCCAACACAGAGAAACATGCTCAGCCGGTCACTCATGATAAAAGAGATGCAATCTGAAGCTACTGAGACAGCACCGCACGCCCACCAGCAGCGCTGAAGTGGGAAAGACCCATGTGCTGAGGATGCAGAGTACTTGGGGCTGTCATCCGGTGTGTGGCTGTGGGGTTGGCACAGGCACTTTGGAACTTGGGACAGTAGTTCCTTCTGCATCTCCTGTGCACTTCCCGGTACCCAACCATTCTACTCCTTTAAACGTGGACAAGTGCCCACCAAGATGTCCCCAAAAATGCACAGCAGCTTCATTCAGCATGGCCAGATTCTAGCCGTGTTGACGGAAAGGCTGTTCAGCAGTAGCAGGCAGGTGGGCCATGGAGGCTTCCTGCTGGTGCCTATGCAGCATAGGCAGGCCCCACACATCAGGCTGGGCCAAAGCACCCGCTGCACAGGGCCATGGGCCAGGGGGTCACAGTGAAAGCCAGTATCCTGGGTGAGGTGCCGAGTGTGTTTCTCTCAGGACAGGACTGAAGAGACAGAGGCAGCTGCTGCACCATGTCACACAGGTGTGCACAATCGTGACAAGTCGCACAGTGGTGTGCTTGCCATGTGTGTTTGCCAGGTGTGCCCTCCAGGTGTTACTCTTCCATTTACAAAGTAAGGAAAGGAAGGTTTCTCAGCTGTGAGGCGTTTTCGCTAAGCAGATGCGGAAAGCCCCAGAGCCTGCACCATGCCAGGCCACCAGGACAGGGCAGCCATGGGCCTGGCACAGGCGCAGGGCAAACTAGGACCCTCTGGCAGGTGGCTCGGAAATAGCTTTCCAGTTGAAAATGCATGTCCCTGCGACCCATGAAATTAGAGTGTATTTTGGAGTCTTTGTGAACCCCTCACCCTGGTACCTACCACGTCCATGAGTCAGTGACTGTCTGTGTCTGCAGCCGAGAAGCCCTCCATGAACAGAGCAGCTACATCCTCTCCAGTGCAGAGACGCCTGCCCGGCCCCGAGCCCCAGAAGCTTCTCTCTCCATCCACGTGGGGAGTTTCAGATAGCCCTCTACGGCTCCTCTCCCAATGAACTCTCCAGCTGATGTCACAAACGTGGGATTCCTGGGCATAGGGACTGACTGCCTGGCACCTCCGATCCCAAATCCTCTGCTTCGTCTGAGCACAGGGACTGCTCCTCTGAGGCCTGGCCAGTGCACATGGCCACTCAACTCTGCAACACGCAGCAGCCACGGGGGCTGGCCTGGCACAGGCCTGGACACCACCCACGCAGCTGCCCGTAGGTGCTGAGCTCTCACACCACACCTGGCCCCAGCTGCCTTTTCCTGCTTTTAACCAGAAACTGCACAACGGGTGCGTAAACTGCAGGTATGCAGGCAGCGCATCCTACCGGGGAGAGGTGCAGGGATCAGCCCGCCTGCCTTCCTCTGTGTTCAGATGACTGTCGTTCGCGCTGACTGGGTTCTCATAGCGTCGTCTCAGGCCACTGCCCCACCATGCTCGTGCTGAGCAGAGCAGAAGTGGGGTCTGCTTTCCCAACCTCATTTCCCCCACTCATTCTGGCCCCACACGCTCCATATGTGCCCTTTGGTCTGAGTTAAAACTGCGATGCTGAAAAGTGCAAGCTCTTTCCACGGGGAGGAGCCAGACAGGGCGCCCTCCAAGGGTGAACCTGCTCTGCTAAGCCAGGGCGGCTGCTGCGTAGGTCCACAGCCCAAGGGCCCAGTGTCTCCTTGACGCTCTGTGACATGAAGGTCCTTGGATCTCGAGGACTGTGGCTGGTGCCGTCCACAGCGCCTCAGCCTCTTCCTGTGTGGAAGGGAGGCAGGCAGAGCTGTGGCAGATAGGGCTGGCATAGCCCAGGTTCCAGGTGTCCTGGGTGGCCTGAGTGGGTTCCCGAGTAGCCTCAGTGAAAACACCTGAGAAGAAAACGTCAACTAAGTAAGGGTTTTTCCACTTAATCTAGCCCCAATCTCTGGTCAGCTTAAAGGACTTAATTGGCATTTGTGAGAGAGAAATAGCACCTGTGTCACTGAATTGACAGGGATACAGATGGTTGACTTTCTCAGACAGCAACTTAGCAGAAAGCAGCATCCCTGAGACGGTGTCACGTTTGGAGCCTGCTTGTCACTTGGGCCTCATCACTGATGTGAAGCAGCACTGAAGTGTGAGGGGCAGAAAGGACACCGCCGGCATCAGGCACTCCTGCCTGTGACTCCTTTCCAACAAGCTGACACTGAGCCTGAGGCCCGCTGTGCCCTGTGTCCTCCCCCAACAAGGTCAAAACCACTACCAGACAAGCCACGTTGCTTCCGCACACGTGTCTGGGAGCATCTGCCATCGAGGTCTGTGCGTTTGTGAAGCACTGGGCCGTAAGGACTGGACTCTGACTCGCAAGCTGCCTTCCAGCTCCCAAACACTAATCCCACTCAGGAGACTCGCACTGGGTGTAGACTGCATCTTTACAGAGGGAGATGGAGGCTTCTGATGTCACCAGAGATAGAAGTATCATGACAGGAGCTGGGCGCCCAGCCCTTCGGTAAGCTGTTCTGTTTCCGTGACTGACTGACATGTTTCTGTAGAATGTCCCTTCATCTCATCTTGACATAATGAATACTAACAAAATCGCTGAAAAGCTTTGCTGTTGAGAGGCCAGAAGCCTCCTGGAGTGTCTCTGGAAGTCCCAAGACACATGTGCGTTATGTGCCTTGAAGTGCCGTCCAGCAGGGTGTGTGTGTCCGGGCCCACCTACGCGCATTGCCTTTTCCCTTTCTTCCTTTTTTTTTTTTAATTTGGGGCTTGAGTGGGTTATACAGGGAGAAAGTTGTATGATTTTGGTAAAGGAAAAATAAACCATTTGTTTTTAAAGTTGTAGTCCTTAGCTGCTTTTGGTCGCCAGCTACTTCATGCTCAGCTTGCTTGAGAGAGGAGCTTCTGGCCAGGCACGGTGGCTCACGCCTGTATTGCCAGCACTTTGGGAGGCTGAGGTGGGTGGATCACCTGAGGTCAGGAGTTAGAGACCAGGCTAGCCAACATGGCGAAACCCCATCTCTACTAAAAATACAAAAAAAAAAAAAAGTTAGCTGGACACAGTGGCACCCACCTGTAATTCTAGCACTTGGGAGGCTGAGGAAGGAGAAGTGCTTGACCTTGGGAGGCAGAGGTTGCAGTGAGCAGAGATGGTACCATTGCACTCCATCCTGGGTGATGGAGTGAGACTCTCTCAAAAAAAAAGCTTTTGGCTGAATGCAGTGGCTCACACCTATCATCACAGCATTTTGGGAGGCCAAGGTGGGTGGATCATTTGAAGTCAGGAATGTGAAACCAACCTGGCCAACATGAAACCCCATCTCTACTAAAAGTACAAAAATTAGCCAGGTGTGGTGGCAGGTGCCTGTAGTACCAGCTACCCAGGAGGCTGAGGCAGGAGAATCACCTGAACCCGGGAAGCAGAGGTTGCAGTGAGCCAAGATCACACCACTGCACCTCAGCCTGGGCTACAGAGTGAGACTCCATCTAAAAAAAAAAAAAAAAAAAAAACTTTTGAGGCCCTTTTTTCCAAGCCTGTTCAGATGCTAAATAAACAGTTTATATTTAGAAATACTGTGGCAGTGCTGCTTGAGAAATGACAGAAGTTTGCTTTGGTTTTCAAAAGTTCAGACTCATGGGAAAAATGCACTGGAAGAAACTGGATAAACTGGATGTAGTCTGGGTCTCTTTTCCTTCTAGGGAAATAGGCAGTGGTGGTGGCATCACAGAAAACGTATTTATTCAACAGTGACTTTTTTTAGCCAAAAAAAGTGAGGAGCAAGAATTCCCTTGCAAATCATTCTGGTGCCACTGACGTGAGTTTACCTGCAGAACAGACTTCACAGCAAGGGACCAGCTCCTTCACCCTACAGGCCATCCCTCATTCTGCTCTGGTAAGGCACCCACCCAAAGCATGGCCAGACTAGGGTTCAGTCAAATCTATAACAAACGCATTCTGGGTGGATTTACATTCTGGAGATTCACTGCACTTGAGAGAGGAAAGTGAAGCAGTGACCTCAACACCCAAGGAAAGAGACTGCTTCCAGCTCCCTCCGGCCACGCATTCCCCCACCCCCACCCCCACACACATGGCAGGTATGCTGCCATGCTTCCAGGTCCCCATGGCAATGGCTGTAGAGTGTGGCAGGCAGGGCCCTTCATCTGCAGGTCCTTGCCCCCAGCTTGGGGTGGCAGGAGCAGACACAGCAATCTCCCAGCTCACGAAACAAGAGCCCACCAATGAGCTCACTGGGACACTGTTTACCACCTACAGAAGTTTGACCTGCAGACCCTGACTTAATGACGGATGAATGAATGCACTCTCACACCAGTATAGTGATACAAGTGGCTAGGGATGGTGGTCGGCTGCTTTCAGAGGGCAAAAGAAAGCCAATTGACTCAGACCCTTTGTCCATCCACACTTATTCTTAACACAGGTTTTAAATTAACACACTTGTGTATGATTATCGTGGTTAAAAGAGTGGTTATACAAACAAAAGCTTTAGGTTCCAGGCCCAGAGGAAACACGATTAGCAGGAAATTCCCTTCTTGTCTCCCACTGAGAGGACCATCCAGCACAAAGTTTACATGAGTAAACAGTCAAAGTAGAGACAAAGGGATGACGGGTAAACAGACTTAAACTGGGAAAGCCTCTTCCCTATCTTCTCCCTAACTTAATGGACCAGCAGGCCACCTTTGGCCTGCCCAAATAAAGCCTTTCGGCCTTCCAAAAGGTGAGACTAATCTATAACTTTTCCCAATATACCTTTAATATTTTGCCAGCCACCCTGAGTAAATATCAACACTCACACCAGGCCAGGGTGGGGGCAGGCAAGTGCTCAGGGGACAGTGGCACCTCTGCCAGGCCCCAGTGTGCTTCTCTCTGAGGTGGTTCCATCTCCACAGGCACCTCTCCAAGTGCCAAGACACCACCAGCAGCTCCATCACACCTGGCAGCCACCAAGTGCCTCTTTCTACAAACCAGTGAAAGCCCTGATCTCTAGTGGGCGACCTGCCTGGGCTCCACTGAATGACAGTCGGGGGAGAGGGGAAGATGGGTTCCCCAGAGCCTCCAGGTGCCCAAGCCCTTCACATGCTCATGCTTCAAAGATGGTAGCACTCAGCCACCCCATCCCCACCCCAGAGAGATGACATCGAGTTGCACCTGCTCCTAGCCCAGGTCTAAGAGCCCTAAGAGGGGTCTAGCAACCTACATCCAAGGCACACATGTGAGCCCACCTGGAGCCAGGGCACAAAGAGGTGGGGGGACCACAGCCAAACTGCTCTGGCAAACAACATAGGCCACAAATCCAGTGGTCAGTTACTGTTACTGGACCAAGCAGCCAGCTTGTTTTTCTAACAGGTGGGGGTAGTTCTGAAGAGGATCAGTTTAAACACAGTATATACTGCTGCATGTTCTCCACTCGACTGTATTGTCACATCCTGTGACCATGCTACACTTGAACTGCCCCCTTCACTTTAGATTGCCATCTAGCCTCACCCCACTATCAGATGCCGTCTCTGTGAGAAGCGCCCCTCGCTGCTGACACAATGAAGCCATGCCCCATGTGAGATGGGCCATGCAGGCACAGGAGTGAGGCTGGCGGAGCGCACACCAGCCTCCCCCTAGGTCTGCCCCTGCCCAGGTATCCGGTGCCACCAGCAAGTGAGGTGCCCTGGCTGCTGTGCTGCAAAGCAAGCCTGTCACTTGGGCCCAATCTCCTTACCTGTCATGTGGGCTGGGCTTGCTATGAGGCCTGGGACACAGGAGAGCATAGCCCGAAAAAGACGTGGGAGCTGCCTCCCGTCTCAGCCACGCACTGGCTGTGCCTCATGGGGCAGGTTGTGTGGCCTCTCTGAGCCTGTCCCTCACCTTCAAAATGTAGATAACCCAGCAAGCAGGGCTGTGAGGGAATTAAAGGAGTTCGTACATGCAAGGCACGTAGACCAGCACCTGGTGTAAAAGACCATAGTGTCGGCCGTCAGCATCCCGGTCACCGCCATGGCTCGTACCCTTCACATTGATTGGTTTAGTCGCGGGTGTGTGAGGCAATTCTAGCCAACAAGACATCAGTTCAGCTGAAGCCCGGGCTTCCAAAAGGGCTCCCTTTATCTTAAAAAGACACACATAGGACTGCTTAAAGCCAGGAGTTCAAAACCAGCCTAGGCAGCAAGCAAGAATCAGTCTCTACAAAAAATTTAACAAACTAGCTGGGTGTGTTGTCATGCACCTGTAGTCTCAGCTACTAGGGAAGCTGAGGTGGAAGGATCACTTGAGCCCAGGAGGTGGAGGCTGCAGTGAGCTATGACTATGCCATGGTACTCCAGCACGGGAGACAGACGAGAGTAAGACCTCATCTTAAAAAAATAAAATAAAGTAAAAAATAAAAACACATAAAAGAGGCAGCCATCTGTCCCCATACTCCTGACACTGGTGTGATGCCTACAGCTGTGGTGACCATCTTGCAACCATGAGGCCTGAGGTCCTTAACGACCAGAGAAAATACACATCAGGATAAAAAAAAAAAAGCAGGGGGATTTGTTAGCATGGAAGGAGTAGGGAAGAGCCGCTGGGGAGGCAGAAAACACCGCAGAGTGCGTGCAGCCCTCTGTATCCGACCAGCCTGACGGTGCCTCCATGAACCCAGCCCCCATGCCTCACTCCAGGAAACGAGAGGAGACAATTCAAGTGACCCTGACCTTAGGCAGTGCCTTTGGAATAAAAGTACCAAGACTAAACAGAGAAGTAGGAGAGCTTCAGGTTTGCAGTTTTACAGAAAAGATCTAAGACGGTTAAAATATTTGTTAAAATGGCCCTCAGTCTCCCGGACCCCGAGGCCACGTGAGCACACCTGAGAACCTCAACACTGCCCAGTACCCTCTCTCTCGCTGCTGAACTTTTAGTCCAACAGCTCACAGAACCCACACCCTAAAAAATACAATGGCATTCTGTTTTGCTTTTTAGCCACCAACAACTCAACTTATTTTCAGAGCAGCTGAAAAACAATTTTGCTACAGTTCGGAAAAATCCTGGCAACCAACACTTTGTCAAAGCACAGGAATGATGACGCGGACTGGTCATGGAAGATCAAAAACAGGCTCGTTTTATTTATACACAGAACAACTTCTGTACAGCACTCAGGCATGGACTATGTACATAACAATACAAGAGGCATGTGTTTCCACGGTGGTCTCTATATAAATTAAGATTATAAATACGAGGGGGGGTAAGCCCCACCTGAGGGCACAGAACCTTTTCTCCAAGACGCTTCAGGGATCCTTCCTGCCTTCCTCTGCACAGCAGACTGTGAGGCCCGTGTGGCCACGCCACAAGGGGACCTCGGCCAGGGCAGCAGAGCAGCCTCCAGGGCAGCAAGGACACCCCAATGCGGGACGCCAGCCCAGCAGCAAAGGGCCATTCCCTAAACATTCCCATTCATTCCTTTCTCACTTCTAACTTGTTAGAATTAGAAAAATGGTTTTTATGTAAACAGTGTTGTTTTAATCACTGACAACATATTAAACACTTTTAACCCAAACCCAACTCCTTGCCAGGAGGACACTGAGGACTTGGGGTGGCCCTGATGTCCCTGAAGCCACAGTCGGCTGCTTCTCCTCATGTCCCCTCCTCACCAGAGTTCCAGCTTGTTCTGGGGCTTGTTCTGGGACCCTAAGAGCCCCAGGGTGCCGACACCACCAGGCCAGCAGGGCCAATGGTCACACAGGGACTGCAGGCCAGGTTGCCATCATCCCCTATGCCAGCCCGTTCCACCTGGGAAACCAAGCGACTGCCATGGCCAGCTTCTTTCTCCCTCTGCCTACCTCCATCTACAATGTCCTGTGCAGAAACAATCACAGGTGCAAACGGTGACACACAACCACCTTCCACCCCACATCACTTCCAATGAGCAGCTAAGTCCACCGACAGCATGGGACAGTTTCAACCCAAAATCTTAACATTATGCACGCAGCGACAGGAGGCTGCGCTGGGGGAACCCAAGACCCGGCTCAGCCTGCACACTCCAGGGGCCTCAGCCCAGAAGGACCACAGAGGGGAGCACCCCAAGGCACTTGGAGGGCCCCCCCCAGGGGCATTGCAGAGGGGACAGAGGGCTGCGAGAGGTGGGGCCAGGCGCTGTTCACTGCTACCTGTTCAGGGCCAGGGGCTGCCGCAAACCAGCCCCGTCCAAGCTGCCCCTGCAGGTGTAGCCCTGCTTCCGCACAGCAGATGGAGCCACGCTGACTAAAGGGCTGGACGGCGCCGGCAGACACTCCCAACACTGTCCTTCTCTTTGAGGCAGCCAGGCAGCCAGGCCAGAGCTATTTCCTCCTCATACCAGGGTTGGGGTTCCAGAAACCTCTTTCCAGACATTTACGAGCCCCTGTGAGAGATGACTATCAAAGGGGAAAGGGGCAAAGTCACGCGCAGGAGGACCAGGGGCGTCCTCTGCCTAGGGACTGGCCCCGCAGTCTCCCCAGGGGAGCTTCCTGCCCTCTGGCACCGTCATCTGCTGGTTCAGAGGCAGGACAGAGGCAGGGCAGGAGCAGTGTGGACCATCGAGTCAGAGTCCCGGCCAGCATCTCCAGCGACACCAGGCCCAGCAGCAGAAGAAGCCACTGCAGGGGCAGAGACACTCAGGACGGGGTGAAGAGCTCAAACCATCCCGGCCCACCAGGGCCACAGTCCCTGGGAACCACATAATGGGCAGAAAGAGTTTCCCAGAGCCAGCAAGCGTTTTCCACACAAAAACACTGAACTCATGTGGACACACGTCCTCTGCAGGATGCAGCCGGCGATCTCACTCGTGGCCCCAAGCTGGACTCAAAGCCTACAATGTCCAGAGACAGAAGGGGAGGTGTCCCCAGCCCACAGCTCAGAGGCAGCGGGGGAGGGGTGGAGGGAGGCGCGCAGACTCTGCGGACCCAGGGAGGGGCTCCTGGCCTGGGAAGCTGCACCCACTGCCTTGGCTCACACGGGAAGGGTTTTTTCTCATCGTGTCAAATTATATCAAACACCCAGGCTACTTTCAAACCAGGAAAGAGCACGGCTTTTGTTCAACAACAAAAGCTGCATCAACAAACGGGGCCATGCAGGCTGCTGTGAAGCCACAGGGCGGCTGGGCCCCAGCCACGTTTCTGAGAACCCCGGGGCCAGAAGGCAGAGCCACACAGTGCGGCCACGAAGGACACATGGAAGGGAGCCCCTGGGACAATCCAAGGCCAGGCAAGCGGTGCCCGAGAGGCCAGACACTGCCGGATTCCCTGGACCACAACACAGGTGGGCGAGAGCTGAGTGGCCGTGACACATGTCCCCCAGATGACTGAGCTGGAGAAGGTGTCATTTCAAAGGTAGCTGTGTTGTTATGTTCAAGACTCCAGAGCTCTGGTGGACAGTGTCACGGAGGCTTTCTGTAGCTGACAGCGGAAGTAGCACCATGAGAAGGGGGAGGGCTGCAGCGTCCACCCAGGGCCTCAGTGGTGGGAGGCGCAGAGGCTGCAGGCTGAGAGGGCGGAGGCTAGGCCTCGGCGGCGGGGGCGCTGCGGCTCAGCTCCTTGATGCCACACAGGATCCTCTTCATGTGGCCAACCTTGGTCACGCCCAGGTCCTGAAACAGAGAGGACATCCTGTGGATGCGGGAAGACAGACGGGGCCAGAGGCTCCACAGCAGGCCTTCTGCCAACGGCCCTTCCCACTTGGCTTGTGAACACAAATGAGGGTGAAAATCACGAAGACCATGAAACAAGATGGGAACGGCTTAAAAACAGCAACCGTACAAATGCCTGACCGCTGTCCCTGCATTCTAGTCCCTGCCATCAGCAAGGACAAACCCAAGACAAAGACAAAACACAGGCCTGAAAGCAAGGGGGTGAGTGACCTCGCGAGGGCCACCGTCCAGGACACCCAGTTGCCTTTTGCCCTCTCTGTACTTGGCCAGTGACTCACCCAGAGGCGTCCCCTCGAGGCCAACCTGGGCAAGGGCGTGGGCCCGTGAGATGTGGCATGAAGGCTGGCACAGACCAAGGCCTGGCATCCAATTGCCCTGTCCCAATGCTCCCTGCAGACAAGCAGCAACGCCCACCCAGGAGCAGCGTGGGGACAGTCACCTGTGACTGTGCTTCCAGGGCTGTGTCCCCTCATAGGATTTTTATCACAAAGACAGTCCTTGTCTCATTAGGCTAAGAGAACCAAGGCTCTGCCCCATTATGTCTGCTCCTGGCGTCCTCTGGCTGTGGCGGGTGGAGCCATCACTGCCCAGGGTGAGGGCCACAACCATCCCAACCTGAGGTATACACGAAGGCCCGAGAAGAATCGTGATGCTGAGATGTGACCAGCTCGGGAGAGAGGATAGAACAGAAGGGACTGCGTGCAAGGTCAAGTGCAGGTTCCAGGGAGATGCCTGTGAAGTACCTTGAGGTCCCTCCGCTCCAGGTGCAGGAGCTCAGAGCCCCGGATGTCGTGCCGCGTGAAGATGTCCTTATACTCACAGAGACTGAGGTGCTCCAGCCAGGCAGCAACCTCCTCTGTCCCCCAGAGGTGAACTGTCGGAGACGGAAAAGCATGAGTGCAGTGAGTGCCCAGAGACCAGTGCGAGGCAGACAGTGGCCAGCACCCAGCACCAGAGACAGCCCAGCAGTCGGGACAGGAGACGTCCCAACAGCCGGCACCCGAAACAGCCCAGCAGCCATATCCCAACAGCAGGCCCCCAAGATAGCCCAGCAGCCCGTGCGTGAGATATCCCAACAGCCGGCTCCCAAGATAGCCCAGCAGCCCGTGCGCGAGATATCCCAACAGCCGGCCCCCAAGATAGCCCAGCAGCCCGTGCGTGAGATATCCCAACAGGCAGCCCCCAAGCTAGCCCAGCAGCTTGTGCGTGAGATATCCCAACAGCCAGCCCTGAGCCATCTCTGGCAGCCGGCACCCATCACCCAGCCAACAGCACCCCCCACCAGCGGTGCAGAAAGAGGCAGAGAGCCACCCACTCGAGGGGCAACGGCTGCAGCAGGGCTGGCATCTGTTCCTGCCAGGTGGGTCGCCAACCTCTGGCCATTTCCCTGTGTCCCAGGAGGGACTGAACAGCACCAAATACGAGGGAAATGTCTTCATGACTATGGCCAAAGCCAGCTTTTCCTCTAGCTTCTGGAAGCGTTACATTTCACTTCCGGACCACAGCAGGAAGGGAGACAAGCAGACTTCAATCTCACACAGAAGGGCCACCATCGTGAGCAGAAACCCAATTTCTGGACAAACATGCAAAGAAGAAAAATCAGCAGGAGCTGCCCTGACTGGCGGTAAACACCAGTCCCAATATCCAGGCTCGTGGGCCTCTGTGGCCCCTGACAACACTGGACATGGCCTTGATACTCAGGGCTGATCCTTCAGAGATTTTAGCTCCAATTTACTGGCCCAAAGAAACAATGTCCTTTAGGACCATATTCGATTGATTTCATCACCCACAATCACTGGCGGCCTGGGGTTTCCAGCATGGGAACCTTGACCAATGCATCGATGTATCAGGAACCAGCAGCCCAGGAGGGAGCAGGCAGAGCACGCCCCAGCGTGGCCTGAGTCCAGAGCTTTGTCTCCAAGTTTGTCTCGTCCCCACTACTGTCTTCCTCCCTACCTCGAATTCCCCAAGTCAGGGCAGGCAAACAGCCAGAGAGCACGTCACGGCCGGATGTGACAACGGTCAGAGGGAAAGCAGGTGGGGTGGCGGGCTGCAGCTAACAACAGACCACTGTGGCTGCGGGACCCGGGGTTACAGCACAGGGACCAGGAGGGAGGAGCCGCAAGGCCAAGGGAGAAAGCAGAGACCAGGAGAACAGGGCCGAGCCAGCAGGCGTGGATGGCCAGAAACACGCAGGAGAGAGGCAGGTACCCGGGCCTCCCAGGCTACTGTGAGCTTCTTTGTTCTTGTTGTTTTTCTCCTTTTTAAACTTGGTCACGAGGCGGAATTTACCACTGCGACTGCGCTTGGCAAGATCCAGCATCACACTCTGTCGGGAAGAGTGAGAAATACTAAGAATCAGACTACAACCAGCCACGGGCTCCTGCCCATCACCACCTGCAAGGCTGGGAGGCAGGAGGGCTGAGACTGGGGGAGCTGGGAAACACCTTTGTTCCTCAAAGGGCTTCTCTCCCTTATTTATTCTTGTATTTACTGATGATTTTAATGACTGTTTAAAAGTGTTTAGTTTGAAAGAGATCACAGTGTCTATTTTCATCATATCCTACTTCACTTTATGTACATTTCTCATGCGATTTCAAAACTTCTTGATAATATTGTAAATATCACTATCTAAATGAAAATCATGAAAGTAACCTATTTAGCCAATCTTCCAGTGTAGTATTGCTGGGCTGTGATTATTAGTATCCTGAGTATCTTTCTAAGGAAAGCTCTTCCTGCACTGCATTCTTTTCTCCAACACACGCCCCGAGGCAGAACAGCAGAGGAAGGGCGGGCAGCAGAGCCACATAGGAGCTCAGCCTCTGCTCTCAATAGCCAGCAGCAGCAGGGTCTCTCCACAGAGCACTCCCAGGGATGCACGGAGGTTAACACTGCCTCACTCTGTGATGCGCTCTTTTTAACAGACACCCCAAATAAAGCTTGAAAGTAAAACTATGAAAAAAATACAGCAAGCAAGTAGACTTGAAGATAAAAAGAATTACTAAAGATAAAAGAATCATATTATGATAAAACCTATGGATACCCAATAACATAGCCTCAAAATACATGAAGCAAAAATACAAATAACCACAAAGATAAACTGAGACATCTACAATTATGATATTAGAGTTAACTGGTAACTGATATATCAAGAAGGCAAAAAAAAAATCTCAGTAGGAACTTAGTGATATAAACACAACTGCACAGAAGGTACATTTACAAAAACCACCCAGTGGGCCATAAGGCAAGTCTCACCTCAAATACATTTCAAGGAAATGATAACACACACACCACTGCTTGGAGCATAGTAAAATTAAGTTAGAAAAATTAAAAACATACTACTGAATAACTAGTTTAGATGCTTATTATTTGACATACAGTTTCATGACTATGTGCCAGTCTATAACTGTCACCTGTTTGTAACTGTCGTAAGTTTATGACTATACGCAACAATTACTGTATTTTACCAACATAAAGTGATCCTCTTTTTATCATTTGCTGTCTTAGATGCGCAATTTTATTTTTATACTGTTACTTTGGATTGCTTACGGTGTTTTCTTTGAACTGCTTTTAATCTTTTCATATCATAAGTTTTTATTAGGAGTATGAGGGAAAAAAAACAGGGCTCTTGTGAGCAATAGATAGTCAGGTTTCTGGGTTTTTTTTGTTTTTTTTTTTTTTTTGAGACAAGAGTCTCGCTCCATTGCCAGGTGCCAGACTGGAGTGCAGTGGCACAATCTCGGCTCACCGCAACCTCCACCTCCTGGGTTCAAGCAGTTCTCCTGCCTCAGCCTCCCGAGTAGCTGGGATTACAGGCACGCACCACCATGCCCAGCTAATTTTTGTATTTTTAGTAGAGACGGGGTTTCACCATGTTGACCAGGATGTTCTCGATCTCTTGACCTCATGATCCGCCCACCTCAGCCTCCCAAAGTGCTGGGATTACAGGTGTGAGCCACCGCATCCAGCGATAGTCAGGTTTCTTTTTAAATATAACCTGAGAATAATCTGCTTTGAAGAAAAAGTCATGTCATTTTTCTGTTGTTTTCATGCTGTTAGCTATAGCTATACACTTGCTGGTCCTTTATTTTCTTTTACGATACAAATTGTATTTTACTTTCGCCTTTGGTGGCAATTTGGAAGACATCAATCTTTTCAACTCCTAGAAATTACCTTTAAGTTTTTAAAAAATATATATTTGTATTTTTTATTTAATTAATTTAATTAATTTTTTTTTTTAATTCAGAGTCTCATTCTGTCCCCAGGCTGGAGTGCAGTGCATTATCTCGGCTCACTGCAATATCCAACTCTTAGGTTCAGGCAATTCTCCTACCTCAGCCTCCCAAGTAGCTGAGATTACAGGCACGCACCACCACACCTAGCTAATTTTTGTACTTTTAGTAGAGACGGGGTTTCACCATGTTGGCCAGGATGGTCTCAATCTCCTGACCTTGTGATCCACCCGCCTCGGCCTCCCAAAGTACTGGGATTACAGGAGTGAGCTACCACGCCCAGCCTTAAATATATCTTTTTAAAAAGAGACAGGGTCTCACTATGTTGCCAAAGCTGGTCTTGAACTCCTAGTCTAAAGTGATCCTCCCACCTTGGCCTCCCAAAGTGTTGGGATTACAGGTGCAAGCCACCACTCTTGACCCTAAAAATATTACTGACTGTATATTTCTCTAAGTATCCAAGTCAAGAATGTTGTTTATAACCTTCTTTCACCGTAAAAGGAGGAATTTAACATACTTTCCTCCCCCGTCCACAGCCTCTTCCCAACCTCTCACCTCACTGCCCACTTTACTGGCCTTAATTTAATCTGGTATCACAAGACTAGGTCACTGTTACATCTGTTGGACTGTTATACATTAGTATTTTGTCATTTTAGGTAGAATGTTTCATCACCTTTACAATGAATTATTTACCGAATTTTGAGAAGCCTGCCCATCCTTTTATTATACCCAAGTGCCCTCACTGTGAAGTGGCTGACTTTTGTCCAACCACTAGAGGGCCTAAGTCAATTTTCCATGAAGGGCTTGCATGTGTCAAAAAATGCCCCGGGGCCATGGAAAGAGGGTGCTATCCTGCAAGTGCCCACCTCTGTGCCCTCACCCTACTGCTGCCCACAGGTCTCACAAACCCCGCTGGGCAGTGCTGCCCAGGTGTAGAGTCTTGTAGTGATTTGCCTTCTGCAATACTGCCCAGAATGAACTCTACTCTTGACCTTTTCTGTTTTATCGCTGAAGGGGGAGGCCAAGAGGCCTCTGGGGCGTCGCTGTCCAGAGACTGCCCTCTCCAGAGTTCCAGTGCTCCCTGCAGAAGAATGTGACTATACCCCAGGGTCTGCTATGCCCTGGGTCCTGGGTCCCTCCCAGACCTGCAACGAGCTGGAGTCTTTCTGTTCACACAGGAGGAGCATGTAAGTGGGGAGTGGCATGTACCAACTGTGCCCTGTTCACAGCAAGAGCCCAAAAAGCTGCCATTTCTCCAATGATGCATCCCTATCCTCGGAGGCAGCTGTGGGGCTGGACTTCTACCTATGATCCAGGCAGCTGTGCAGTTCTGTTTCAGAGGACGACCTGTGCCTGGTCCTCAGGAGGCACTCTCAATCCCAGCCCCAAACTCCTTCCTACCTGCCGTCCCTCCCTGACTTGAAGGACATTTTCATAGAGAAGTCTGGGGAAGGCCCCTCAAGGGCTGCCAGAGTGACCCCATCTTGAACCCAGAGCCACATGGGCCACATGGAACACAGGCACTGCAGGCAACTGCCAACAAGCCCAGGGGCCAGCCAAACCCCATGACCCACATACCTCTTCGTCACCAGGCTCTGTGGGCTGGCAGAACCAGGGGGTATCCGCCAGCCTCCTGAGCTGCCGGTCCATCTCGGCAAGAGCACTCCCCAGCTGCTCCTTCTGAGGCGGATCCAGCTGCTGCTCCAGGTAGAGGGAGGGAGGGAAGAGAAGGAGGAAAGGAGGGAGGGAGGGAGGGAGGGAGGGAGGGGCTGATCAACAGGAGGGTCCCCAGGGACTCAGCTCCTTTCAGGGAGCTCAGTTTCCAGAAACAAAGTCCCAGAGAACCCGAGAAAGAACCAAACCCAGAACCTCACTTTCTAAGTAGCGCTGATAAGAAAATAACACTGTCCATCTGTCACTGATGAATTCACACGGAACAGGGCTGACACTTGACCTGCGTGTGTCCCTCTGTAAGCAAGGGGAGCAGGACCATTCACCTGCACCGAGCAGTGGAAATGCCACAGGTGGAAAAGTCGGCGGCCATGCCTTCCAGGAGGCAGCAGGGGGTGTGGAGCGAGGAGATGCAAAGGACGAGACAATATGCGGGGTGAGGATATGGGGTGAGGGTATCTGTGGAGTGAGCACATATGTGGAGTGAGGAGATGTGTGTGTGTGAGATGTGTGTGTGTGTGGTGAGGAGATGTGTGTGTGTGAGGAGATTGTGTGTGTGGTGAGGTGTGTGTGTGGTAAGGAGATTGTGTGTGGTGAGGAGATGTGTGTGTGTGGTGAGGAGATGTGTGTGCGTGTGGTGAGGCGTGTGTGTGGTGAGGAGATGTGTGTGCGTGTGGTGAGGCGTGTGTGTGGTGAGGAGATGTGTGTGCGTGTGGTGAGGCGTGTGTGTGGTGAGGAGACGTGTGTGTGGTGAGGTGTGTGTGTGGTGACGAGATGTGTGTGGTGAGGAGTTGTGTGTGTGGTGAGATGTGTGTGATGAGTTGTGTGTTTGTAGTGAGGAGATGTGTGTGTGGTGAGGAGGTGTGTGTGTGGTGAGATGTGTGTGTGGTGAGGAGATGTGTGTGTGGTGAGATTGTGTGTGGTGAGGAGATGTGTGTGTGTGGTGAGATGTGTGGTGAGAACTTGTGCGTTTGTAGTGAGGAGATGTGTGTGTGGTGAGGAGGTGTGTGTGTGGTGAGATGTGTGTGTGGTGAGATGTGTGTGATGAGGTGTGTGTGTGCTGAGGAGACGTGTGTGTGTGTGTGAGATGTGTGTGTGTGGTGAGATGTGTGTGGTGACGAGATGTGTGTGGTGAGGAGTTGTGTGTGTGGTGAGATGTGTGTGATGAGTTGTGTGTTTGTAGTGAGGAGATGTGTGTGTGGTGAGGAGGTGTGTGTGTGGTGAGATGTGTGTGTGGTGAGGTGTGTGTGTGTGTGGTGAGGAGATGTCTGTGTGTGGTGAGGAGATGTGTGTGTGGTGAGAAGATGTGTGTGGTGAAGGCTTATGTGTGTGGTGAGATGTGTGTGATGAGGAGTTGTGTGTTTGTAATGAGGTGTGTGTGGTGAGGAGACGTGTGTGTGTGAGGAGATGTGTGTGTGTGTGAGGAGATGTGTGTGTGGTGAGATGTGTGTGTGGTGAGGAGATGTGTGTGTGTGTGTGAGGAGATGTGTGTGGGGTGAGGAGATGTGTGTGTGTGGTGAGATGTGTGTGTGTGGTGAGATGTGTGTGTGGTGAGGAGGTGTGTGTGTGTGAGGAGATGTGTGTGTGGTGAGGAGATGTGTGTGTGGTGAGGAGGTGTGTGTGTGTGTGAGGAGACGTGTGTGTGGTGAGGAGATGTGTGTGTGGTGAGGGCTTGTGTGTGGTGAGATGTGTGTGTGGTGAGATGTGTGTGTGGTGAGGGCTTGTGTGTGGTGAGATGTGTGTGTGGTGAGATGTGTGTGTGGTGAGGAGGTGTGTGTGTGTGAGATGTGTGTGTGTGGTGAGATGTGTGTGTGTGGTGAGATGTGTGTGTGGTGAGGAGATGTGTGTGTGTGTGAGATGTGTGTGGGGTGAGGAGATGTGTGTGTGTGGTGAGATGTGTGTGTGGTGAGGAGGTGTGTGTGTGAGGAGATGTGTGTGTGGTGAGGAGATGTGTGTGTGGTGAGGAGGTGTGTGTGTGTGTGAGGAGACGTGTGTGTGGTGAGGAGACGTGTGTGTGGTGAGGAGATGTGTGTGTGGTGAGGGCTTGTGTGTGGTGAGATGTGTGTGTGGTGAGATGTGTGTGTGGTGAGGGCTTGTGTGTGTGGTGAGATGTGTGTGTGGTGAGGAGATGTGTGTGTGTGTGTGAGGAGATGTGTGTGTGTGTGAGGAGATGTGTGTGTGGTGAGGGCTTGTGTGTGTGGTGAGATGTGTGTGTGTGAGGAGATGTGTGTGTGGTGAGGGCTTGTGTGTGTGGTGAGGAGATGTGTGTGTGTGAGATGTGTGTGTGTGTGGTGAGATGTGTGTGGTGAGGAGATGTGTGTGTGTGTGAGGAGACGTGTGTGTGTGGTGAGATGTGTGTGTGAGGAGATGTGTGTGTGGTGAGGAGATGTGTGTGTGTGTGTGAGGAGACGTGTGTGTGTGGTGAGATGTGTGTGGTGAGGGCTTGTGTGTGTGGTGAGATGTGTGTGTGGTGAGATGTGTGTGTGTGTGAGGAGATGTGTGTGTGTGAGGAGATGTGTGTGGTGAGGAGATGTGTGTGTGTGTGAGGAGACGTGTGTGTGTGGTGAGATGTGTGTGGTGAGGGCTTGTGTGTGTGGTGAGATGTGTGTGTGTGTGAGGAGATGTGTGTGGTGAGGAGATGTGTGTGGTGAGGAGATGTGTGTGGTGAGGAGATGTGTGTGTGAGGAGATGTGTGTGTGTGTGAGGAGATGTGTGTGGTGAGGAGATGTGTGTGGTGAGGAGATGTGTGTGTGGTGAGATGTGTGTGTGGTGAGATGTGTGTGTGTGTGAGGAGATGTGTGTGTGTGAGGAGATGTGTGTGTGGTGAGATGTGTGTGTGTGAGGAGATGTGTGTGTGTGTGAGGAGACGTGTGTGTGTGGTGAGATGTGTGTGTGTGTGAGGTTGTGTGTGTGGTGAGATGTGTGTGTGTGTGAGGTTGTGTGTGTGGTGAGATGTGTGTGTGTGAGGAGATGTGTGTGTGTGTGAGGAGTTGTGTGTTTGTGGTGAGGAGACGTGTGTGTGTGGTGAGATGTGTGTGTGAGGAGTTGTGTGTGTGTGGTGAGGAGATGTGTGTGTGTGGTGAGGAGTGGAGGACCAGGAGCCCACTCCCGGCTGCCGCATTCTAGCCAGTCCCTCCGTCCTGCTGTCTGAAAGCGGAGGCCCGGCTGCCTGAGGCCGCTCCCTGCTCCAGCCTGTATGTTGAGGAACAGCCCGGGGCTTGCGGGCTGAAGGGGGAAGGCCCCTAAGTGCGCGGCCGCTCTCAGGCAGGGGGCGGGTGCACTACAGTCCTCGATGGCCATAAGGCATCCTCTGTCCAGGACAGGGGTGTTCCTGACAGGGGCTACCAGCAGGGTGCGCCCCAGCTCAAGGCAGACGAGATGACCTGGGAGGCCCCTCCTTAAGGCCGGGAACTCTAAAGTGTGCTGCCCACTGCCCAGAAACCTGGCAACAGCAGTCGCTTCACAGTCCACCCAAGCCCTGCTGTCCCCGGGGCACCGGCTTACCAGGGCCATCTTCCCAGCCAGCAGCAGCTCCGTCTCACTGCGTAGAGCTCTGAAGTTATTCACCATTTCCAGGACAAAGCTGCAGTTCAGCCCCTAGGAGAAATCAAGGCAAATGTTCATGGGGAGGCCCGAGGGCTGCAGACGCCGAGGAGAAGCCAGCACTGAAAGGCCAGAATCGCTACCTCTGTGGTTCTGGGCTTGCCATACACACGGTCCATGGACTTGGAGCTGGCATTGACGGCGTGGGCAAGTTCCTGCTCCACGTCTCGGTGAGACTGAGCTATTTCTCGGATACTAGAGAGAAAGAGAAGCACAGGCAGATGTCAGGCCAAATGGAAGGGCGGCCTTTCCCAACGCTCATCTCCCAGAGCGCCGCTGGGGAGGGCAGGCCCAGCAGGATGACAGGAATCATGGCTCAGCCCAGCGACCCTTCAATCACAAGCCTGGGCACAAGACAACCAAGAGCAAATGGGAGAGCTCACACAAGAAATCTGATGTCAAAATCCAAGTTTTTCCAGGGAAAGAAACGTACAAAATGAGGCTTACAACCTGCAAAACGGCCACAGGCGGCAGCGCGCACAGGCCTGCTGCAGTAAGGCACGATCCCCAGGTGCCCAGGGCCTTGCTGGAGCCTGTACCTGGCCGGTCTTTCCCTGAGGACAAAAGGACTCTTGTCTGAAGAGGACAATCCTGGTGTAGTGATGGACTCTGAGCCCCCCAGGCAACAGCCCTTATGAGGAAGACGGTCCCAGCACAAGTCACAGCAGGTCTCAGAGAGGCCGACATGGCTCAGGCAGGTGAGATGGGGGGACTATAAGAGCAGCGCAGGCAGAGGCTGTGGGGCCAACCTGTCCTGACCCTGTGGAAACAGGCTGCTGCCAGCAGCTTTCCACGGTGCTGTGCAAGTTCACCTTTCAGGGAGGCCACCGGGGCTACCATGGACTTTGAGAGGACAGGGGAATGGCCTTCCAAGGGAGGCCACCAAGCCCATTGCACAGCAAGGAATAAGCTGAACTGAAGTCCTCCAGCCCCACCATTGATCTGGGTGAGGTGGGGGAGAGATGAGGCTAGGGGCTGCAGGGGTACCAACTCCTGGGGCAGAGAATGCAGCACCGGGAAGGACCACAGCCAGTATGGAACTGTGGAGCGAGGAATGCTGGCAGTGACTGGGATAGTGACCACCTGCTCAACCAGAGCCACAGACTGGCAGAGATGATCCATCTGCATGCCAGGGCCAGAGGCAGGCTGCCCGAAAGGGCATAGAGCATGCCGGACCCAGAACCCACGAGTGCCCCAGTCACAGCCAGGAGAAGAGGGAGCCCAAGTGAAACAAGAAAAGGACAGCAGGGCACTAGCCAGCATGTGGCCACAGGAAGGAGAATGCAGGCAGGAAGGCCCTGCATCACTGAAGAACCATGGGTGCCAGCTGGAGGGGATCACAGGCCGGCAGGCGGAGGCAGCCACACGGGGCAGGCGAGGAGCAGGGATGGCAGACAGTGCTGACCACAGGCCATGAGGGACACAGTGGCTCCAGGGGCATTTCTGGAAGGCAGGTGAAATGCCCCTAGTGGTTGTCTTGTTTTTTTTAAAGTAATGGCCCAGGTGCCCTGGAGGAGTGCAGCCCTGGGGACCCCGGGGGATGCTCATGCACAACACTGAGGGGTGGGAGCCCACCTGTGAATGAGGACCCCCGCCGCCTGCCCAAACTGGTCCATCTGGGTGGCCTCCTCCTCGGACAGCATCTCCGGGTGCAGGGAACAGGATGGAGGGCGGGGCAGCTCGCACTTCTGCTTGTCTTCCCAGGACTTCAGGGTGTTCTCAAATGCCTGCGGACCCAGAGCCCAGATGACACCTGCTGCTCTGCATGCATGCGTCAAACTGCGATGGACGCTACTGGGATACCAACGCGATCACAGCTAGGAGAGGGACAGGTGGGCACTTCTTTCTTTTAAACATTAGGGATAGGAAATGGTCCTAGAAATTGCTGCCCTATTAGCTTCATCTTTGTGTCTTAAAAAAAAAATCCTAGAACAAAACATAGAAAGTTCCAGCTCTTCTAACAGTGCACATGAGAGCCCGCAGGTGAGCCCTGACCCCGCCCAGGGACCGCAGGAGGCCGCTCTTACCCTGTCTCTGGTCAGCGTCTGTGCCCGGTTCTTGTGAACAATCCGAATGTACCCTGGCGGCTGGACCCAGGCCTCTCCATCCACCTGCACAGGCACGCCCTCATCCCCAAGGATGGAGATCTTCACTGTGCGACACTGAGCAGACATCACAGTCACTACTCGTGCTGAGCCAAAACCCCCAGGGGTTTTAAAGTGCTAGGCACCACCATGACCTCCCTACTCTACACAGGGTCCCTGCCTTGCAGGACACCCCACCCACCTCCACCTCTGGAATGACGCAACGCTTGCAGCTAGCCTTCTGATGTAGCATCGCTAAGCCAAGGGTCTGTTCTCCCCCTGTCCCGCCCCATCCTGCCCCATCCCCTCATCCACCAAGCAGTCAGTGCAGGAGACCCTGGTGCTGAGATAAAGGCGTCAGAACCCAGGAGCGGGGGTGTCGTAGTTCCCAGGAGCAGCTTGGCCCCTGCCATGTGGAAACACCCCCAGAAAAGAGCAGATGGATACATCTCCGCACAGTGGACAGCAATGCCCTGTTCCTCCTTTTCAACAACTAACATTGCCAAAGAGTGAAAACTGTGAACTTCAAGCAGCCTACAGCCAGGGGTGGACAGAGTACAGGAAGAGACCAGACAGTCCCAGGCTGGGGTTCAGCCAGTGGGTGTCATCAGCACCCTCCGCCACGCCAGTGCCTATGCCTGGGCACAGAGTCCCACCCCATCCTCACAGACTGCCCCCAGTCCATCACTGCTGTCAGAAATAAGCCATGGGGGCCCCCAGCTCCTCCCCACCGGGCCTCAGAACCATGATCAAAAGTTCCAGTTGGAATTCCCTCCTCACCCCATGCCAGAGCCATAGGCTCCATCCCCACCTCCAGCTGTGGCTTTGACAGTCGCAGACATGGGCAGAGTTCAGCCTCGGTCTGCTCTATCTCATCCCACCTGAGAGGGGACAGGCAAGGCTGGGGCTCAAGCAGGATACATGTTTTTAAAGAGTTATCTTGGCCAGATGAGGTGAAGTGGCTCATGCCTGTAATCCCAGCACTTTGGGAGGCCATGGTGGGTGGAACATTTGAGGTCAGGAGTTCAAGACCAGCCTGGCCAACATGGGGAAACTCCATCTCTACTAAAAATACAAAAATCAGCTGGGCATGGTGGCGGGTGCCTGTAGTCCCAGCTACTCGGGAGGCTGAAGCAAGAGAATCACTTGAGCTAGGGAGATGGAGGTTGCAGTGAGCCAAGATGGCGCCAATGCACAAGCCTAGAAAACAGAGTAAGACTGCCTTAAAAAAGAAAATTAGGAACAGTTATCTTGAGAATTTAACTGTCAAGCACAGCATGAGGAAAAGGCTCTGGCCCAGGAAGCAGGGCCACAAGCTGTCCCAAACAGGACATGAGGCAGCCACGTGGTCCTGGAAAGCACCCACCCTCTCAGGCTCCATGTGCTGCCCAGGAATTTAGCACACCCCTGGCTGGGGACTTGGTCAGACCTCACAGGACGAGGCCACTACCTGGGCGATCCGGTGATGCTGCAGCCTGATGACTCGAGAGACGGCCATCTGCATGCTGCCGAATACAGCAACCACCTCCAGAATCTTGTCATCAAATGACGGAGCTGTGAAAGTCTGCAAGGGCCACATTAGAGCTGACCACCGCCCCGCACAGCCCCGCACACAGGCCACCCCTCCCCTGGCTCCCTCCCTCTCGGTGCCAGCCCCTCCCTTAGGCTGCGGACAGGAAGTTACCAGGTAACTGCACTCCTGAGGGGCTTCACATTGCAGACCCTGAAACCAGCTGTCTGGGACCAAATCCCAGCTCTGACCTCAGCAAAGTTACTGAATCTCTCTCTCCCCCATTTCCTCATGTGTAAAACGGGGAAACTAACCCCACGCTCCTCCAGGGGCATCAGAAGGGCTGAGTGAGTTAACACTGCAGTGCCAGGACTGGAGCAGCACACATATGCAGGGAGCGATGAATACTTCCATTCACTATTATATACAAAGAAAGCCATTCCCTGTTTTAAACCTATCAACACCTTCCCACAGTTCTTAACACAAATTCCAAACTTCTTCCCCTGGCTTGCATGGCCTGACCTGACCCAGACCCTGCAGACCGCTCCTGTCTCTCCACGGCCCCACTGCCCACTGCAGTCACGGCACGTCTCCCACATCCTCCACGCGCCTGCCCTGTCTTGCCTCTGAGCCTTCATCTATGTGATTCTCTCTGCCTGGGACAGCCTCACCCTCTCCCCGCCCGCCTAACTCAGCCAACTCCAAGTCATCCTTCAGGTCTTGGCCTCTCAGACACCTTCCCTGACCTTCCTCCCACAACACACCCTCTGACCACATCTGCTGACCACAGACACTCACTGAACACCCTCACCGACACCTCTGCTCTGTTCAGCCCTCTAGATGATGAGCTGGGTAGGGGACCTTGTCTATCTTATTCTCCACGGCAGCCCCACTGCCAGCACAAGGGAAGGGCTGGCTCCACCCCAGCCACAGCAGAACACCTCACTGCCCTCAGACAGCTCCTCCCTGCTGAGCTCAGGCGCACCCACCCCACAACCCCATACATACGTCATCCTCCTTGGTGCCACCCCAGAAGTTGGTTCCTCCTGCATAGCTGGGGATGTTAAGGACAGCAATACCCTGAAGACTGGGGAGGGGGATGGGTCGCCCGTCACACTGAGCAGCAGAGAGGCAGAACAAAAGAAGAGAAAAGGCATGTGTCAGCTGCTCCTTCTTCACCAGCTTCCCACTGCCGGGGGCTCAGGAGCACAGCCGCAGCCAGGGCATCCTCGAGCGAGTCCCCGTGTGTAGAAGAAAGGGCCAAGAGGAGAACCGAAAGGCAGTCCTCTGATGGATGGAGGCTGGCTGCAAGTGACAAGGACCTTTCCACTCACCTCCAGCAAGACCTTTTGCTCCAGGTTCTTGTAGGTTCTGTGCAGCAGCTCTTTGGTTCCAAGAACTCCGTACCACATCATGTTCTTGGTTCGGCTCCTAGAAACAGAAGCGAAGACTTGCCATGGGTCTGGGCCTTCTCTGGACACTTAAGAGTCATTTCTGTGAAAGCTGGGAAAGGCATCTGACCCACAAATCTGCCAAATTCAGCAACTATTTACAGCGGAACGTCTGAGGACACATTTTTGTCTTTGCAGATACACAAAGATATGTTTACCAACAAGAAATCTGGCTGAACCCTATAAAACTACATTTCTAGCTAAAAAATTATGCTTACCATAGAAAATTCTGAAAATATAGAAAAGCACCAAGAAGAACACACCAGTGCTCGTAACCCTCTATGCATCATCCAGCACCGTGTGTGCCCCCCACTTGTAGTGACGGCAAAAGCCAGGTGCCACCGGGTACTTCCGCAGTCCTCCCGGGCATTAATTTCCAGTTGCGTTAACTTGTTTATGGCTTCACAACCTACTTGGTGCACTTGACCCTGCACCGGCAACACTTCCCTCAGTTGCCACACGCTCTCTGCAGACATGGCCATCCTCAGCTGGGCACTCCTCTACCGCAGCTCATCAGCCCAACCCCTTCACTGCACCCCTCCGCCCCATGCCTGAGCTCTGTAAATGACACACAAGGAGCCCCTTCGGACCCACTTCAACCAACGTTTCCAATAACTTCTATAGAAGTTTCCAATGACATTTGTAGAAACGGAATTTTTCTCAGGAGAACTTTTCAAAGCTCTCAATACAAACTCAAGGGAGGTCGAACCAGAGTTCCAAGGCTCTAGAAGTGTATTATGCACACCCTTGTTCCTCAGCTTATTTACCCTGCTGAAGTATGTGTATTTTCACACTTTTCCCAGTGATTTTTGGACTGACAGGAATTTTTTAATGATCTGACTTCACCATCCTGTGCCGTACAGGGGTATGTCCCTGGCGCCATCGAGCCATTATCCGGCATGGAAGAGCCTCAGAGTTCAACTAGGTTCTGAGTTCTGATGCTTTTGTTTTCCTAGAAATTTCCAACTGCATATAACCTGAGCAACAACTAAAGCTGGCGCCTCTAAAGCTACGGTCAGCATAGCGCCCCTCAACGTGGCAGTGACACCATGGTCAGCATAGCTCCCACAACGTGGCAGTGACACCACGGTCAGCATAGCTCACCTCAACGTGGCAGTGACACCACGGTCAGCATAGCTCACCTCAACGTGGCAGTGACACCACGGTCAGCATAGCTCCCACAACGTGGCAGTGACACCACGGTCAGCATAGCTCCCCTCAACGTGGCAGTGACACCACGGTCAGCATAGCTCACCTCAACGTGGCAGTGACACCACGGTCAGCATAGCTCCCCACAACGTGGCAGTGACACCACGGTCAGCATAGCTCCCCACAACGTGGCAGTGACACCACGGTCAGCATAGCTCCCCTCAACGTGGCAGTGACACCACGGTCAGCATAGCTCCCCACAAAGTGGCAGTGACACCACGGTCAGCATAGCTCCCTCAACGTGGCAGTGACACCACGGTCAGCATAGCTCCCTCAACGTGGCAGTGACACCACGGTCAGCATAGCTCCCCACAACGTGGCAGTGACACCACGGTCAGCATAGCTCCCTCAACGTGGCAGTGACACCACGGTCAGCATAGCTCACCACAACGTGGCAGTGACACCACGGTCAGCATAGCTCACCACAACGTGGCAGTGACACCACGGTCAGCATAGCTCACCTCAACGTGGCAGTGACACCACGGTCAGCATAGCTCACCTCAACGTGGCAGTGACACCACGGTCAGCATAGCTCCCCTCAACGTGGCAGTGATACCACGGTCAGCATAGCTCCCCTCAACGTGGCAGTGACACCACGGTCAGCATAGCTCACCACAACGTGGCAGTGACACCACGGTCAGCATAGCTCCCTCAACGTGGCAGTGACACCACGGTCAGCATAGCTCCCTCAACGTGGCAGTGACACCACGGTCAGCATAGCTCCCCTCAACGTGGCAGTGACACCACGGTCAGCATAGCTCCCACAACGTGGCAGTGACACCACGGTCAGCATAGCTCCCTCAACGTGGCAGTGACACCATGAGGAGGGTGTGGCTTGTTTCATTCAAGTCGATCCTGACTCAGCAGACGAAGACTCCAGCAAGAGTCTCCCAGCTTCTGAGTCAACAAAGACTGCCAACCCCCACACCCATTTCTCCCCCTCCCTAATTCTGATCACATCAAAGCCAAATGGTCCCTCAGATTATGACCATGGGGTGGGGAGGGAGACATTTCTCCCTCACTTCTCGTGTTTCACAGACAAGAGGGAATTCTACTTCAGCCCAGGAAGAAAAGCTTGAGAAGAGGGACCCTTCTCATTTTTCTCTGTCCTCCTTTCAGGCCAGGAGGGAGCATCTAGTAATTTTAGGGGAAAAAATTGAGCATCGCCAGAGATGCCTCTTGGGGCTCGCACACTACCGTCATCAGAATCGAGGTCCTTGTGGGCAGGCTCGGGTGTGGTGGGGGAGGGCCAGCCGGGGTGGTGATGAACTCACAGACCCACCCACAAACAATGCTGGGCAGCCACACTGCAGGTGCAACAGCTTCTTGGCACACTTAGGTCACCTGCTGCTTTTCTGTAGCATCACAGATTTAGGGCTCTCACTGAGAGACACAGCCATCACAATGACCACCATTACTGGTTTTCTGATGTCAAATTTCCCTTGACCTGGCCAGCCTGAGAAGTGGACCCCTCCTCCAGGTTGGCTCCCTGGGCTGTAACCTGCTTCCCTCCCACCTCTGAAAGCACCTCTGCTTCTGACAAGGTGATCCGGGCTCCATTTCTGCCCTCCACCTTAGCATTCTGCACATTTTTGGGAGAAGCCACAAAGACACAACGGACAGACGCGCTTCCAGCCTGTTACCCACCTGCACTTCTCTGGGTGCTCATCCCGCTTGTTGTTGAAGTCCAGGGATATCTTCGCATCCAGGCCGATGCCAAAATAGTTGTTCATGACACACTTCTCTGTATAGTACTCTCTGCCAAAGGAAGTTTTAAGTCAGTTACACGGCCCTGCTTACTGGTCTTATTTCAGACTCCCAACCTCTCCGAATTTCTCTTCCTTAGGGCAAATATGATACTTTTTTCTTTTTTTTCTGATAAGAGGTTTATTAAGATATAATTCATATACCAGATAAATCTACCAATTTAAAATACACAATTTGATTATGTTTAGTATATTCAGAAAGTCATTTAACCATCACTAGATAATCGATTTTAGAGCATTTCAGCCCCTGAGGAGGAAGCCTGTGCCCCTGCCACCAGCTACCGCCCTCCCCATCCCTGGCAGCCACTCATCTACTTTCCACCTCCACGGAGGTGTCTCTTCTGGGCAGTTCACAGAAATGGGCTCTGTGTCTGGCTCCTTTCTCTTCCTCAGGATGATGTCCTCAAAGCTCATCCATGTTGTGACATATGTCAGTACTTCATTTTTATTACCAAATAATATTCCATCGCATGGCTAACCCACATGTATTGACCTGTTCATCTGCAGCTGGCCATAGGGATGTTCACGTTTTGGTTATCATTTAGGAACATTTGTATACAGCTTCTACTGTGGACATGTTCTCAGTTCAATCCTGCACGGCCCGGCAGTTCTGCATTTGCTGGTCACATGGCAGCTCTAGGCTGAACCATGGGTGGAGGCTGCTGGACTGCTCCTCACAGCAGCTGCCCTTTTGACACTCCACCAGCAGCACCAAACCTGAAGTATGTTTATGGCACAGAAACTCACGCATTTCAACTCTGGATCTCAAAACATTTCTCGAACATCCCTAATCACAATCAAAGCAGTCGCCAAATTAAAAAGAAAAACAACTTGAAACCATCCATCCCAGCTCCACGGGAACAAGGCTTGTCTTTCCCTGTGTGCCACAGACGAGAACTCATCTCATTCAAGTTTCTTGTCCTCCCCCAGCTGGAAGTCCTACCCCTGTAGCTCCCTCAGCTGCTGGGAAAGCCCTGCCTGGCCTTCACCCTCCCCAGCCCCAGGGCCACGCTGGGGTTCTCTCCCCCAGGGCAGGTGGTTGAAGGAAGCCCATGCTTCTCCACCCAGAGCCTGCAGCCAGGAGAAGAGAATGTTCTGGAAGTTCCCAAAGAGACTCAATAGGTGGATGGGCTTGGGAACACTGCTTGGGCCAGAATTCTGACACACTTCAGCTTACTGAGCCAGTGCCACCGGATTTGAGAACCACCAGCCCGTGTCAGTGTATTTATGATCCATCTAATTCAAATGCTCGACAGCTGACAGCAAAGCTCTGGGACAAAACTGTTTACCAGGTGGAAGACCACGTGCCTGGCCAGCATTTACAGGTCCTGGGAAAAGAGAGAGATCCAACGGAGAGAAACAGGGCACAGAGATTAGGGAAGGTAGTTGAGAGACTGGGCTCGGGGGACTGGAGCAGGATGGTGGCAGTGGCTGGGGCAGTGGGAGACGACGGGCTGCAGAGGCCTGCTCAGGCCTATCTGCAATGGGGCCCACACAATACGGCCCGGCACACACCACGGCAGAAAGACAGCTTTGTCTCCCCAGGTGAAGAAATGAGACCACCCACCTTAGCAACAGAAGTGAAGCTCCATAATCTCAGATGAAGGAGGCAAAAGAGATACCTAGTTAAGGGGCCCTAGGGGCAGTGCTCACTAAAAGACTGCAGCTCTGATCTCCCGGAGGAAAACATCCTCAGGAAGGCTGAGGACTGGAGCCCCAGGCAAGCCCATGGGAGGAGCAGACCAGGCCAGCAGCAGGGACACTCAAGTGTCGCACCAGGCCAGCACCTGGAGTTTAGGGGTCTACTTTCCCAAACTCAGAGCCTCTGAGAACCACACACTTCTTGCTGTCACTGTCCCTGACCATGCCAGAAAAATGGCTTGCCACGTTTAACCAACTGCCACCAGCCACCCAGAACCTGTAATCAGCCAGCAGAATGATGACTCTAGAGAAACAGTTTTCAAAACCCCACTTATCTCCACAATGGTCCCTAACACCTAGGAAGACTCCATTATGCTGCTGTAACAGTGTCCTCACTGCCTCACAGGCCAGCAGAGGAAGAAGGCCTCGTCCCCAAAGCAGTAGCAGTGTCAGCACGCCGGTACACAGCAGTCCTTACAAGCCTCAGCACTAGCCCATGTCTCCCTAGGGTGCTCTAAGACACGAGGGGGCACACAGAGGACCCTCCAGCCTGGAGTCTATGGTTCTGCGTCACGAACAAGGAGAGCAGGCAGGAGAGGAAAGCAGGGTAAGAGATGGCAAGAGGAAGACGGCAAGCTGTAAGCAGAGGTCAGCGAGGTCCGGCCAAGGTCATGGGAGAGTGACCACGAAGATCGGCACAAGGACAACTCCCGGCAGGAGCAGCCGAGCCTGTGAAAAGCCTCGGAAGAGCATGCAGGTTCAAGGGACGCAGAGCAAATGCTGTGGGACCTGGGAAGGAGCCGGGAGGTGTGCGCTCTGCGCTGCAGCAGACGTGCGGTAGTGGTTTCCAGCTCCACTCCTGAAGCAGAATCTCCACAACTTCTCAGCCTTCCTTATCAGCTAACACCAGCTAGGCAACTGCTCACCCATTTCTCTAGTTAATTCTGAGACCTGTTTTCTATGCACTAGCATCCATGTAACAATACGCCCACTTGGTTTATCTCTCATACTCACAGGGTTTCCGGTTCGGAGTTAAAGGGATCGGCATTAATTAACAGGCGACTGATGACTGAGCCACCAGGTAAGGAACCAGACATTCCAGCCCGGACATCTGTAAAGGACGCACGACAAAGAGGTAGTGCCAGTCAGGAGCCACAGACTCGGAGGAACTCGTGTCTCTGAAGCTGGTGGACTGGTACTCTGCAGAACGTTATTCTAATTAAATGTCTCTAAAATTATGTATAACCATGTTCAAATTTGGCAAGTCTTAAGTCAAAAGTCACTGGAACAAAAAAACCATAGCGGGTGGCGAAACACCTACGAAATATCTTAAAAAACGGCTTATGAAGCCAGATGTGGTGGTATGTGCCTGTGGTCCCAGCGATTTGGGAGGCTGAGGGGGGAGGATCACTTGAGCCCAGGAGGTCAGGGCTGCAGTGTGCCATGACCACACCATCGCACTCCAGGCTGGGCAACAGAGAGAGAGACCCTCTTAAAAAAAAAAATTTTTTTAAAAAGGCTTATAAAGTAAGTTTTCATGTTCTCATTAAATATAAGCCACTCCAACAAAAATGATCCTTGGGAGTTGAGGCTTACGGCTTTCTAAGGAGTGAACATCGAGGAACGCGCCAGGCAGCCGGGCCCTCACCCTCCCTGCGCCTCCTATGACCACATTAGAAGGAGGGGACGGTCCCTCGGGTGCCCTCATCAGGCCGGCCACACCCTTTCCACTCAAATAACTCCTCATTCTTCAAAACCAGACTCAAGCATCGCCTTCTCCGTGATGTGTTCCTGGGCTCCTCAGGTGGTTATCTGGGTAATACCTGGCTTTTGCTAAAAAAAAAAGCACCTTGCATACAGTCGTGTAAATGCTTAAATTCCGTCCAGCTTTCTCAGCATCTGTAAACTCTCCAAAGGCAGCAACCCCATCTCTTTCAGTTTGAGGGGCCCAGCACCCAGCACAGTAACAGGCCTGGCATTGCACTAGGCCCCCACTGGTCCCTCCTGCTGGCCACCACTCACTTGGGTACAGGATCTTGGTGTTGAGGGCAGGCAGGCTGTCCCGGCTTCCCGGCTGGGGTGGAAGGGAAGCTGAACTGCCCAGAGGCAGACTTCCTTTGCTGATCAGCTTCTCACACGGGGATTTCAACACTGTAAGAACAGAGCAGAAAACCTCAGAGCTGTCTGAAATGCTAGGGGGTCCTGAGTGACAGAAGCAGGTGGGAGGGCTGAGGAGGGAGGGCTATAAACCACAGGCAGCTGCGTGAAGTGTGTGGTACAAAGAAGGGGATGGAAGACTGAGTGGGTGCACAGGATGCTCGGGGGGCTTGGGCTCATGGAGAAGGTGACACAGGCCACAGGTGGCAGCACTGGAGGGAGGGGTGACACCAGTCAGGGCTATGGGAGGCAGAACACACATACAGCAGAGCTCTGAGTGGTGGCCATGGGTCAGTTCAGAGGACCATGGGCCTCCAAGCAGCCCACACAGGCTTAGGGGGCACCTTCCACCAGGTCCTGCATTGTGGGCTGTTCCAGGAGGGGCAAGGACAAAGAAGGCCCACCCTCACCCACCCACCTTCCCCGTGCCAGACACAGCCCTTCCGAACAGTTCTGGGGCCCAGTGTGGTTCTGGGGAAGCCAAGCAAGATGCCAAGTGCTCCTCGGGGGGGGGGGGGGGGTGGTTCTTGCCCTGACAAAGGGGGTCTCATGAATTCTACCGGTGCCCACCACAGCAGACCGCACACACCTCAAGGGCACACACAGGAGATCCACAGAAACAGGCCTCGGGCTGTGAATTTTTATGCAACCAAGTGGCCAAAGCAGCTATGAGAAAATGCCCTCAACCTCCCGTCAAGCCCACTGCGTTTCACCAAAACCAAGCACACCGTGGTGCACAGAGGGAGGCGGAGCCACGGGTACCTTTGCGCTGGCTCCTCCCCCTGGGGACCCCGAAGCTCTCGCTGTGCGACAGTGGTGGGCACACTTGGTGGTCCATCTTCTCCTCTGACTCAGAGAGGCCCAGGACAAAGCCCTCCTGCTCCTGGGTCTGGGCATTCTGCTCATCGACAGCTGTGCAAGGAGAGTGTGTGTGGCTGAGCAAGTGGGTGCAAAGCCAACGGCGCTGTCAGGCTGGGTGGAGGTCTCCTCCTCGCCCACCACCTGATCTTCCTCAAACATCCTCTGGCTAAAGGTTTAGACCCCGAACCCCACCCCCACCCACCTTCCCCTGGTCCTGGCACCAGGACAGGGCATCCCTGCTAACAGGCTGGGAGGACCGGAACCCTCGGAAGGCAAGGGATGCAGAGGAGCCTGGCACAGGCTGGAGGGCAGCAGGTGGGAGGAGTAGCCACATGGACACACAGGTGTGCAGGTGCGAGGCCATGACCTCAGGGCTCTCAGAGCAGTGACACACTCATAGTGAAGTCAGCGAGGGCCAGAAAAGAGGTCGAGGGGAAGCAGCATGAAGGCATCTGATGGTGTGAGAGGAGGGGTAGAGGGAGGGCAAGTGAACTGGCTGGGGGCCTGGCGCCTGGGCACGGGTGGAGAGGGCCACGGTGGAGGTTTTTTCAACATGCACCCTTTCGTCATCACCATGTTCAGAGGACGCTCAGCACGCCCAGTGCTGGCCTGAGGAAAGCTGCCTCCTCTTCAAAACACCAGTCACCTTTTTCTGTGTGTTCTATGATCTGACGAATCGCCTTCTTCAGGCTGTTTGCTCTCAGCATGAGCTGTTCTCGAGGCCGGAATATCTGCGGCCGGGCTGGGCAGGCCGATGCCACCAGGCGGTCCCCGGTGGAGCCACAGATGCTGCCTGACCCATCTCCATCTTCAGCCTCCTCAGCAATGGTTGGGGGTGGGTTGGGCAGAGAGGACGAGGCCTGGGACTCATCATCCAAGGTCTTGAGAAGGGAATCCAGCTTCTCTTTCAGGACAGAGCACTAGACAGGTAAAGGAAGTGGTACGCAGAGCTGAGGCAGGAGAACAGGGTCTGGAGGCAGGGAACCTGAGGCCATTTCACCCAGACTTCCTAGAACTCAACCGAAAGGAAAATCCTAACTCCCCATGCCTAAGTTAACAAAAGGACCAGAGGCTATTCCCTTCGCAAACCCCGCCCTCCTTCTCCACGTAGCAGGTGGGAAACTGGCTATCCGCAACCCGCCAGACTGATAGCGGCTGAGTCTCAGCCTGCATAGAAGTGCAACTCTGTAGGAGTGTGACCTCTGTAACGTCACCTCAGCCTCTGGTTGGCTGCTTTCTGCAACCACTCAGACTGTGGGCAATGACTTCAATTACATGAGGTGAGCACAACGTGGCTGATGGGAAACTTCTGGGGGACTCTGGATCAGAGAAGATTCTGTATCTGGGTCCTTGAGCTGCTACTCAGGTCTGTTCCCACACTGTGAAGTGTACTTTCGTTTTCAATAAACCCCCGCTTTCGTTCTTCTGTTGCTTCACTCTTTCCTTGCTTTGCTGTGTGTTTTGTCTAATTCTTTATTTAAAAGACCAAGAACCTGGACAAGCTAAAGTCAGGACCCTCTCCCAGTGACAAAGCAAGCTTCTCGCTGCCTCAGTGCCCCTCCCACCCAGGGCCCGGGGACAGACCTTCTTGGCCATGACCTCTGACTCCTCCGAGCTCTCAGTCGTCTTCTCATAGGCCTTCCCCACCCGGGCCACAAAGTCCTTCACCGTCTCACAGAGCACTCTGTGGGGAGAGAAACAGAAGGACTCTTCTAGAGAGGCAGCTCCAGGCTGGCGCCAGGGCCCCACGCCTCTTCCAGGGCCGCCGGGCACTCACTTAGCCGAGGAGATGACCACCGAGTGCTGGTCCGAGGTGAGGATTTTAGAAAGGTGGGCTGCAACCGAGTCTTCATAGAAGAGAATCTGCTGCACCTGTAATCAGACCAAATGGCCGGGGCTGTTGGTCTCTGTGACAGCAAGCTCCACGGCAGTCCCAGGGTCTCTGTCACCCAGTCCCTTGCCAGCACAGGCTGGGAAAGACGAGTCTCTCCTAACAGACACTGTCTAACCCAGCCAAGCCTCGACTCACTTCAAACACTAATCTGGGACTCACCTAGTGCTAGGTGAGAGATTTTAAAGCTTCGTCAAGCTGCAGACAAACTAAAGATGAATCTTCTTGAGTCTGCGATCCCAGCACAGCCTCTGCAAGGGGCTTGTGCCCTGACCCCTGCTCATCCTGACAGCCGCGCGCTGGCGGGCCAGCTTCAGGTGTGGGTTCCTTCACAGCAGAGGCTGCTTCCACCTGGCTGTGAACCCCATCTGGACACTCTTCCCCCAACCATCTGCTCTGCCTGTCCGAAGGGAAGTCTTGTCCCTGTGGGATCCCTGCTGTTTTTAGGATCCAGCCCCAGGGTCAGCAAACTTCACTACTGGCCAGACAGCGAGTATTTTGGGCTTCCCCCAAACACTTTTCCTCTCAAAAGTAAAAAAAGAAGGAAAAATAAAAAATGTACAAACCATTCTTGGCTGGCAAGGCCGTAGGCCCAGGCACATCTGGTCTGCAGGCCTTGCTCACTGGCCATTGCCTTAGGCCCTGATAAAGTTCACCTCTTCCTACTACCCCACCCAGCACCGCACAAGTGCAAAATACTAACTGAAGAAGACCAAGTCCATTCTCTGAGGGAACTTGTAGGAGCCTTAAACAAATCAGAAACAATCACCCAATAAAAAGAACTCCCAGCTGGACTAGAGGAGGCTGAGCGAAGGGCAGCTATGGACACCACAGAGGGGTGAGAGCGGGCAGGAGCCAGGGCTGTAGGAAAGCCCTGGCAGAGTAGGCTGGGGCATTCCAGGTATGTGGGCACCGCGGCAGGGAAGGGAATGGGCAAACACCATGTGGGGCTCACTGAGCAGCTGAGGAGATGCACAGACAGGCGGGAAGGCCATTAGAAGGACCGTCGGCCTCTCTGCTGCAGAGCCTGTGATAACCCTAGAAAGCCCCTAGAGGGTCACAAAAGCCCAAGAGGCTCCTGCCAAGGGGAGTGAGAATCCTCTCGGCCTTGGGTTCACCCTGCACCTCCGCAGACCTGACTGTGACATCCCGTCACCAAGGGGGAGGCGGCTCTGCAAGGGAGGCGATGCAAACTGCTGACAGGACAGGTCAGATCACATCAGCACATGAGCGGGGTGTGACGAACGGGCCAGTTAATACCTCGGAATCCTCGCTGAAGTCTTCGGTGACGGTGGAGGAGGAGGCCTGCCGGGGGAGCTTGGCCTCATACGCCATGACGCTCCACCTGCACATACAAGGTCAGCTGCATAGGCGGCAAGATGTGCAGGCCCCCAAGGTAGACCCTGCGTCCTCCCCTGTCACGGCTGGCAGCCTTGATCTTTATACAGTTTCTGACTTCATTTGTAAGCCCTTGGTCTTGACTCTGTCCTGCAACTTGGCTGAGAACAAATGTCTGCGCTCCATAACTAAAAGCAATACAGCTCCGTGAAAGAGGGGAGGGTACCCGTAAATGGCTGCCCTTGAGATAAGATGCTGCTTCTGAGAGAAATGGATTTACCCTCCCCAAGAGACCTGGAAATGGCTCCACCAGCAGCCTGCTGGCCCAGTGAGATGAGCACTTCACATGGTGGGGGCACTGCAAAACCACACCTGTCATCAGGATCCCAGGCTTCTGGGAGCACCTAGGAAGGCTAGGAGGCATCTCATCAGAACCCCATGTACCACAGGTGCCACGTGTGTCACTCAGAACAGCAGTACCTCACACAGGGAAGGTGTCACAGTGGCTTTAGGTACTAGAGGATTTCCCAAAACAACTTCTGGGAACAGAATATGGGAAAATGCAACTGTTCAAACAAGCAACAAGGAGACTCTTCTGATGGGTACCAGACCCTGGGCTGAAGCAGTCAGACACTGTGCAGCCACCTACTCCTGGGAAGACCTGATCGTTCTAGGGCATGGCTGGTTCTTAACCTGTTTTGTTTCTGTCCTTGTCATAATCTGACCAAATATCAAAGACTATCAGAATATATGCTCAGGTCCTATCTTTACAAATGATTTCAGAGGGCCCCTGTTTTCCACAGACCCTAGGTTGACACCCATCTCTCAAAGTCCCCTCACACAGCACTGGAGCACATCCCCACTCACCTGTCCAGCATCTTGGTGCTGGCTCTCTCTAACTTCTCCAAGATCTGGGGGAGCTGGGTGTCATCATCGCAGGCCGAGCCCCAGCCCAGCACTCGGGCCAGGTCGTTCCCCGTGCCAAGCGGCAGCACTCCCAGCTGACACTAAGAAAACATGGGGAAGATGTGCAGGCAGACACTGGGGGAGGGGCCGCCTCCCAGCCCACCGCCCTCCCTGAGGGTTACATCAGCAATGTGGAGATGTGTCCTAAACCCATGCAGCTTGCACATTATAGGCAGAGCCCACTGGAGGGACAGATGACATGTTCCTTGGCAATGTGACAGGAATGTGGCTGCCCTTGAGGTAAGATGCTGCTTCTGGGAGAAACGGATGAGCCACAGGCCCATCTCTCAGCTGTCATCACATCCTGATGGTCAGTCCCTCACATCCTCTCTGATCTGTCTCCCAAATCCCCACTTCCCTTTGTCACCACCATGACCACAGCCCCAAGGACTCACTCTAATGCCTCACCACCATCCCTCCATCCACTACAGTATCTCACTCACTAATGACAAACTCTTCTTCCAAAAACACCACTAGTGTCACTTCTCCAAATCCTGTCAAAAAAAAGTGCCAGGATCATCTTCAGTCTGGAGGCCTCCCTGGAGCCTCGCCAGAGCCAGAGCTCAGCCTCCGCCCACCTGCCTGTCGTGCCCAGAGCTCACCCAGCCTTTGACTCTGACAGTGCACCACCATGAAGGCCTGTAGTGCAGTTTGTGGGAAGCATTACCGTCCTTAAGGCAGGAACCCTGCCCTGGTTCAGCCTACAGCACTGTACAGCCCTCTGCTCACCAGATGCAAATGACCACGCTTAAGGCCCTGCTGCCTATGGGGACAGCAAATGCCAGGGAAGGTCCTGCCTCACCAAGGGAACATCTGGCAGAGGAGAGGCAGGAGCGAGCAGGCAAGGATGGAGAGAACCCAGTGCTGAACGGCACCCAGAGGAGCTGAGGCCTCTGCAAGGGCCTCCTGGAGCCTTACAGGAAAAGGAGGACAAAATGGAATACGCATGGGTGGTGCCCCAGGCAGGGAGGCAGGACACTGGGAAGGCAAGGCAGACCTCAGCGAAGAGGCAGCAGCAAGGACACAGGAGGCAGACAGGCAGAAGAGCAAGCAGGAGGCAAAGCAGGGACAAACTCTCTCAAAGGTCTGGACTTTTCCAAGAAGTGTTGGGCTTGGGGAGTGCACAGGCAGAACTGCCCCAGGAAAGGTCACCTAGGTGAGCTGCTGACAGACAAACGCCAGGGTACCGTGGGTGGCAAGACTGAGCCTACAATGAGTGAGAAACAGGCAGGAGGAAGAGACGGAGGAACCAAGAACAACTGTCCAATTTCCTGGCTCAGACATCTAGATGGATGTTTTCAGACTCCAAAGAAAGGAATGCAAGGCGGGGGCTGAGCGTGTGCAGTGTTGGAAGCTTGAGGCGCTAGCAGACCAGAGGCACAGGGCTCAGCTATCAACTGAGGCACCCCCAGGAGAGAGATGACAGCCCAGCAAGTCACTGGGCATTCCAAGAGTGAAGGAAGAGAGGCCCCGGCAAAGCTCTGAGGACACAGCATTAAAGGAAAGGTAAGGAGGGAGAGGCCACCACAGAACGGTAGCAGCCAAGAAGACAAGACACCCCCAGGCGGCAGGGCCCCAGTGAGGGCATGGCCACCGCATCAGGTGTCCAAGAGAAGCAAAGGGAGAAAAATGTGTGCTGACCTGAATGCATGAAAATCAGCCACAAGGTTTCACTGTCTTCCTAACTAGCGACAGTGAACTTGCAAATAATCCATAAAATGAAATTTTAGAGTAATCTGCGCTAATCCACCACCAGGGGGCACCACTTCTCCTCCTGAGCTGCTGGCCACAAGGCCCTGGCTGTCAAAGTCCACCCACCTGGAAATACTACCAAGTGGGCAGGGCTGTAGGGACCCCAGAATCACTGAAAAATACCTCCATGTCACACAGAAGACTAAATTTTTTTTTAAATGGGACCACAATAAACATAAAATACAGGTGCAAATCTTCCTAATCTTGGGGTGGAGGCAGCTGCAAATGTGACAGAAGTGCAAAAATCACAAAAGAAAAGACCACCACCCGCAAAAAGGATGTTGAACTGACAAATGGCAAACAGGGAAAAACCTGCAATGACAGCTAAGAAGTTAACATAACAACAACCCTCAGACATCCATGTTCAAAGGAAAAAACGATGACTACTCAGAGAGAAAATGAGGCAAAAAAAATAATATGAACGGGTGATTTATTTAAAACTTCCTAACCAACTGAGGAGACATTTGACTTCCCCAGGAATTAAAGAAATAAAGATCAGGAATTTTTTGGTCTACTTAGTTGGACAAAAACTAAAAAGATGAACACCTTGGATGGTGCCCAGGAAAAGACAGCTTTAAGCAGCATTTTCAGGCATGGAAGCTGGCGCAGTCTTGAGGAAAGGCAGCTTGTCAGCACAGTTCAACATTAAGCCTGAGTGCGCTCTGAGACAACAACACTGGGAAGTGACTTCAGCGCTCACACACGAGGGAGGTGAGCGGGCCCAGGGCTCCTGGCTCTGTCCAGTGGAAAACGACACAAGGTTGCCTACTTACACACACAGGCACCAGGTGCCCGTGACATCTTAATTAGTGATTTTTAAAATGCAGTAACAGAAGAGCCGTTTAAATTATAACTGCACTGTGCATTATATATACTGTGATCAAGAGACGTCAGAGACAGCAAAATGTTGACAGTGGCTGACCACCTGGGGAGGCCACAGCTGGGTGTAGAAATTAAATGAACATACGGACATTTTTATATACAAGCAGGAAAATCTATTTTTATTTTAATACAAAAAACTAAGTCCAATAACCCATGACTCTAACTTGAGAAATTCAGGTATACTGCTGTCCCCTCCTCACAAGCCAAAAACTGCCCAGTAAAGCAACAGCCCCACCCAGCCCCTGCTCCCCACCGTGGGTCCTTTATGGGCAATTCTTTTTGTAGCTCCCTTCAGGTTCCCCTCATACATCATGGCCAGAGCCCCCGGGCCTCCCCAACGCCGGGGGTGGCCCACGCTCACCCCTCTCTGCACTGGCCACCAAAGCGCACACTCTCCAAAACCACCCATGGTCTCTGCCTGAATATAAGTGCTCCAAAACGAACAGAAGCTGAGACTGCAGGACCTGCCTCCAACCTCAGCACCCTCTCTGCTCCTGGCTGGCTCCCTCACATCCAGATACCTGTTTATGAAGGTTGAGGCTGTCAATTTCGGACAGGACCCAGCCAACACTTCCGTCCCCGCCACAAACCAGAATCCGGAATGTGTCAAACTTCTGGAACAACCGTAAGCTGCAGAGAAAAGAGAAAGGCCGTGAAATGATGTCCATTCCACAGTACAAATGACAGGCTTGTCAGTATGGGGCCGAGGTGGCCCACCTGTGCTCCTCACAGCTGACCTATACCAGAGGCGAGCATGCACAGACCCTGCAACAAGACACCAGTTGCCTGCACGCCCCTCCAGTCAGGGTCCACTTTGTCAAGGGGACAACAGCAGCTCTGGGGTCTAGCCAACTGCTCCAACCAGGGCCACCGCCCACCCAACGACGAGACCACTCAGCTGTGACGAGCCACTGCACCCTCTGTAGACACTGCAGGCTCAGTGGTGGGCCAATGCACCATCCCCTGCCAGGCACAGCCTTCCATGGCCCCTGCCCACGGGAGCCCACCCTGCGTCACTGTCCTTCACCTGCCACGCCCACAAGTGGCCCCTGCCGGCCTTCCCAGCATGCCCTCTGGGCTGCCTGCATCACCCTGCACCCTCAGCCTTGGCACTCCCCAGCCCTGCAGCCTGGCTTCCACCCTGGCCCTTGTTCTGGTCACCCTGGAGCCCCGGGCTGCGTGTCCTCGCTGCAGCACATATGCCTGCATCCACTCAGTCCTCCAGTGAAGTGACCCATGACCCCTCCTCCTAACTCCTCGGTTTCCTTCCTGGGCTCCTCGTCACCCTGCCCCTGCCCAGCAGCATCCCCAATCAGGACACCACTGCCACTTCTGCTCACTCCTCACCCTCTTCCTGTGTGACCACATCCACAGTTTGCATCAAGGACCACACAGGTAACTCTGGATCGACACCAACAGTTGCACCTGTCCTCCTGAACATACCACTCTGGTGGTATCCTAAGGCACTGCCAACCGGAAACATCCTTCCTCGGAGAATGGCAGCACCACCACTGACCCAGTCCAGAGGCCAGACCTGCCTCCTCTTACTCTGTGGCCGGCCCAGCCCCTCCTGGCAGCCTCTCCTCCACTCCCACCAAGCCATCCAGCTCAGGTCACCACTGCACTCTCACAGAGTCCCACAGAAGCCTTGCAGTCACCTCAGTACCCTTCTGGAAAGCTTCCCACATGAGTTCCTGGAAGATCTTTCTAAAACACAAGCCTGATCATGAGCCTTGCTTTATGAGGTTGCCCCTCGTTTGCAGTGAGCCAGGATTACACCAGTACACTCAGCCTGGGCAACCTAGAAAGATCCTGTCTCAAGAAATAATAAAATTAAATAATTTCTTCATCAGCCTACTTGTGAATGCAATCCCCCACCATTCAGATAAGAAGTCTTTCTGCAGAAAACATGGGAGTGCTGCCTTTGTGGAAGCAAGCTGGAGTGCTGCCATCTGTGACTGCTCTCCGACGGTGCCTGGCTCTGAGGGGGGACCAGCAACACAAGACACCCAGAGAACCAGCGATGAGAAGCTTGTTTCTCCTACCCTCACGCATACGCCAAGGAAACCCAGGGAGCTGGCCACGGTTCACATCAGAGCAGCCCCTGCCTCCTAAATACCCAGCTCCCCACCGACTCTCCCAGAAAAATACAGGCCAGACCACAGGTCCTGCAGGCACTTCCCACGAGGGGTGACCTGGACAATCTCCCGGAAGTGCTAGTAAGCCCTCTTAGAGCCCCAACCTGGAACTGATGCTTTCAAAGGAAGAAGGAATTCATTCAAACGGCAACATTTATGGAAGCAAATGTTTTCTACAAACTTATGAAAAGTACAAAACTACAAAGAACACACATTGGCTCTCCAGCAAGCAGAGGAACGGTCTAATCCCGCGCTGCCGAGGACAGTGGAATCACTCTGCCCCAACAACGCCCGTGCATGTTCCTGCTTTACGGCACCTGCATGCCGAGCAGACTCCTATGCCTCCCAACATGCAAACACTCCCTCCTGGCCTTGCTGGAGGGCAGTTTTTTCCTCAACACCAGGCAGCCGTTAGAACGAGGCATGCCAGAAACATACACCCATAGACAGGTAGGTAGGTAGGTAGGTAGGTAGGTAGGTAGGTAGAATATTTAAAAAAAAGAAAACACACTCACAATGTCATCAGCAGACACATACAGAAGGCATTTGTGCAACAGCAGGTAAAGAAAAATCCTGACTGGCTCAAAAGATGCATGTGCATGGGTGTGTGCACATGGGCATATGTATGTGTGTGCATGCACAAACTGTGTTCAAAGTTGGAAGGCCATGCACCTCTATTAAGAGTGGGCACCTCTGCTAGTACAGTTTGGGGAGAAAACAGTTCAACTTTTCTTTCCTATTTAAAACTTTGTGTCTTTGATTTTTTTTTTAACAAGCACACACCATTTACACAATTTTTAAAACTCCAAGAAAGATATCTTTTATAAGCTTCCTACCCGAGGTGTGGGCCTCCATTCATGAGGTCGAAGACCTGGGCAGGGTTCAGCAGCTGTTTGAATCTTCTGAGGAACTTCACACCCTGGTTGTCCCCACTTTTTGAATTGACGAAGACCAGTAGTGGGCTTGTGCAAGACGGAGGACAGCTGGCCTTCCAGAACCCTGGATGCAAGAACGAACAGGACAGAAGAAAATCTATAGGCCCCGGGAGACGCTGGGGGCACCACTGATGGAATCAGCAGCAGCAGACCCCCCAAAAGACATACACCTGACACATGCAAACCTGTAAGTCAGCAAGAGGTCAGCAAACAGTTCCCCACAGCTGCTCCCCACGTGTGAGCCGGGAGCCCCATCCATCTGATCTCACATTCACAAGGTGTCCGAGTGCCACCTTGCTGCTGTCTTCTTCTCTTGATCTCCTCTGAGCCATGTACCCCACATCCCCTCTTCCACCAGTACTTGTCAATAGATGGCACCATGTCCCAGCCAGACATGAGAGCAACTGCAAGCCAGTGTGCCAGTGTGTGCTGGGCAGAGATGGAATGCAGCTTCAATGGCTCACATGGAGAAGGCCCCAGACCTGGGTTCCACTCAACAGCATCACCTCCATGTGAAGCGCCAGGCTCGGGTCTCAGGCCCATCTAATGGCAATGCCGTAGAATCAGGGCACTGTGTACCAATAATCTCCACGCCCCCATTCTGTAAACCTGAGGCACTTCCTTTATACCAAGGCACATTTAATGATCCCCGCACCCCCATTCTGTAAACCTGAGGCCCATTTTATAGGTGGGGAGCCTGGGGCTTGGCAGGTGTGAGGATTTGCTCAGGTTCACATGGCAAGCACAAATTGGACTCAGGTTTGACTCTAGAGACATTTTATCATGTTCTCTGGACACAGAAATAGCCAGAACCTGGATTCTGCAGTCTGCTGGTGTGCTGGGCCATCAAAGACCCTAAGCCCAGGAGCTTCTGTGAGCTGGAAAGGGGCTTTCCTTTAAGCTCATAACTTACAATTACTGCCACTTAAAAACAGGAATATGTCTTGAGAAAAGGCCTCGTGAGATGACTGCATTGCCGTGCAAACACCATGTAGAGTATCTGCACTTACACGAACCTCGGTGGTGTAGCCGGCTGCACACCCGGCTAGCTGGTGTACTCTGCTGCTCCCAGGCTACAACCCTGTATGACATGTTACTATACCAAACAGGTTCCACTCAACAACATCACATCCATGTCAAGCACCAGGCTTGGGTCTCAGGCCCATCTAATGGCAATGCCGTAGAATCAGGGCACTGTGTGCCACTCTGTGCAACTCCTCCAGCGCCCCCCACGGTTGTGTCTGACCTCTTGCTGACATCTCACCAAGATAACCAACTCTAGAGCTGGAGAGGAGAAAGTGCATGGAGCAGGAAGCAGAGGAGAAAGTGCGTGGAGCAGGAAGCGTGTGGAAGTACATGAAAAGGATGAGCATGTGTGGTACCCACCGTCAGAGTCGATGCTGTTGAGAGCCGTGGGTGGGATGACTGACACTTTGCACAGGCCAAGTGGGCACTTGGTCAGCAAGGATTCTTTACATGATGTGTGAACCTGAAACGAGTCCCCACATCACCAAGGGTCATTGGCATCCTCTACACACACCACAAATCCTGCTGCCCTGTACTTGATAAGCTGGCCACGGCAGAGGCGGGTGATTTCAGAGCTGGGCTGGCCTGCTCCCATCATGGGCCCCGTGCCCTGGCTTTGCACTCGAGAAGGCATAGCACAGAAACACCAGGCGGGAGCCAGTCATGGTGCACACCTTGTGAGCGACAGTCCTGCCCCCGAGCCTCTGGCCCTTCGACCACAGCTATCTCAAACTTTCAAGACGAGGGTGAGGGCTCCTGGGGCAATGTGTCTCCACGCACCCCTGTATCTTGGCTTCCTCCTGGTGGCCAGATGTGCTAGGCAAGTGACTGCAGCAGCCACTTCACAATGACCATCCCAAAAGCGAGTACATGGAGGCTCCGTGCATCTCTCCCTGGAAGCACATCTCAGCACCCAGAGCAATGATGAGACCCAGAACCTGGCAGGGGGGCCACATGGGCTATGCCCCTTCCACCTGGCTGTGCTCACTGTAAACACCACCCAGAGCCGACACTGCTCCGAAGGGCCTCTCCAGCTTTCCTGCTTCCACACCACCCAGGTGACCCCTCACAACCCAGCAGCTACAGGGCCACACAATGCAGGGTACATCCATCCCAACACACCTACATGTGTCGAAAAGGCAGGACTAAATTCAAAAGGAAGAAACAAACACCCCCCCCCCCACCAAAAAAAAACAACTAAAAAGGAAAATGACCAAACAGGTCAAAACACCAACTCTCAGAGCCAGAGGGGCCTCTGGGACGAGTTTACCAGGACCCAGCAGGTCACGTGGAGGCACGAGGCCTGCATGGCGCTGTAGGGCGCAGGCCCTCCCCTCCAGCACAGCGCAGGGCACACTCACCATGGCCTTGCACCAGAGGCAGCGCCAGTCCTGCAGGCGCAGCACGCTGCCACACGTCTTGTCGCACACGGTACACTTGGCACTCACAGGCAGGTTTCCTTCCAACCACTGGTGAGGCATCGCGATCTGAGACCAAACAGAGGCATGCACTAGGGGTGCTCCCAAGGCCCCACGTCAAGGGCAGCCAGGAGTCCTTAGACAGAAACGCTCTTTGTAACTCAGCCACGGCATTCTTCCCAGCACAAGCTCTTTCCCTGACGCCGGTGAGGGGAGGGATGGCAGGGCCTGTGAAGGTCCATCTACCCACAGCACCTGTAAGAGGTGCAAACAAGACTCACAGGGACAGGATGGAGCTCAGGGGTGCGGCAACTACACGGAGACTGCATATACTTTCCACTGTGACACCCAAAGCCAGTGTGACCGTCTCCAATGAAACAGTGCCGGGGAGGGCAGGGAGGAGGCTTGCAAGGGACAATGCAGGTGGGCCGCCGTCGCTCAGGGCCCCACAGGTGCATCTGCATCCTTAACGTACCCCATCTGCATCCTCAATGATGTCCCTCCCAATCGAGGCGAGCGTGGTCCACTTGCAGTTATTGGTTGCACGCACAGCACAGCGCTTGTGGGCCTTAAATTTGCACACTGTGAGAGAAGGGACACATGAGCCTACAAGCTGTGTCTGTGCCAGGAACTTCCCATGCTGAGCAGTGCTGTGAGAACTGTCCAGCTCCAGAAAAGTCAAGGGAGGTACCAATGGCACTCTTATTTTATAACTGAACTACTGTGGTACACTTAGAGGCTGGGGGCGGTGGGACTGGCGGCAGATGTGACGCCACACATCAGGGAGAGCTGGGGATCGGTGAGCTTTCTGTCGCAGGCCAGAGAGCGAGCAGTGGAGGCCTTGCAGGTGGCATCCAGCCTCCGTCACAACTACTCAACTTGCCGTGTAGCACAAAAGCAGCCAGAGACAATACTTTTTTAAGGACAAAAATCTGAATTTCATGTAATTTTCATGTGTCACAAAATAGGATTCTTCTTTTGATGTTTTCCAATCATTTAAAAATGTAAAAGCCAGTCTGAAGCATGAGAGCTGTACAAAAACAGGCAGAGGCAGGGTGTGGTCCAGGCTACAGCTAACAGGCCTGCTCCAGCCCACTCCTCTTGCCACCAGACTGGACACCTTTGCCCAAACCCTGCAGCCCTGGTCTGTAATGCACTTTCAGCCCCATTCACCCGGCTGTGGATGTGAAACACTGGGGCCGGCAGCTGTTCCTGCAGTGCCCTTCCCTCTGTGTGCTCTAGAGGCTTCCTCTGTTTCTCCTTTTGCCACCCACCGCTTCCCTGCTTTTCACTCTGTTTGAGCACTATAAAAAATGATTGATGAAGGACTCTTCAGCAGGAAAAATAAACAAGAATGGCATCATAGGAACTACCGTGTCCTTGGACCGCATGGGTGGCAATGGCTTCTTCACGGTGACTGGGTTTGGATTTCCAAGCCTTTATCAAGTAAAACACCAGACCACCTTTCCTGACAGAATAACAAATGCACATTCATACCCTCACAGGACAGCCCATGCGATGTGACCCCAGACAGAGCCTCACGACACACGTTGCAGTAAGTCGGCCTCGCGTGGGAACAGGCGTACCAATTGTGCATCCCTGAGAAATGGTCCATGCTGTACTGGGTGGGCTGGAAGAATGAAACCAAGACGCAAAGATAAGACTTCTCTTTTAAATCGTAACTTGGACAAGATTAAACAAAGTATCCAAGAGAGAAGAGGTGGAAAGTTTATAAAGGACAGGTCTTCCCAGAGGACAAGCAACAAGCCTTAATTGTACAAGGAACATGCTGAGGATGTGAGCTCCAGACTGACAGACAGCAGACACGGGTGAGGGAGGCAACAAGAGGCGTGCGGAGAAGGGTATTTTCTTTAACCTCAAACTGCTCCCTGTTCTGCACAGTCTTTAACGCTGCAATCCAATCTTCCATTTCTTTTCTGTTGTCGGCACACAGGATGAGCTTCCTGCATGGAGTTATGACCTGGGGAAAGAAACATGTCAACAGAACCATGAGCAAGAGGCAAGTGCCGGCGGCTATGAACACTTTCTGAAGACCTACCTCACAGATATATAATAAATTACTACTTCATTCAGGCATTCACACTGAGCAGAAAGCAAAAATGGTTATCATGGATCACTAAAAATTAAGAACAATCTCAAACTAAAAAGACAGTGAAATTTAGTTTTTTTAATGTTCATCAGCAATTAACTTGAGTAGACAGTTACAACTGCTTACTACTTAGACACAGTAGTAAGCCCTAGGAAATTTTTCAAAAAGTAGCAACTTTGTTTTCCACTGTTTGGAAAACAAAGTTGCTACTGCTTCAGGAAGCCACAGTGATGTCCGGCATTTGAACAGTTTAGGGAAATCTAGTCCACTGTAACTCTAGAATACCATAAGCATGTGTCACATATCAATATGCATCACATATAAATGTTCTTGTAGAAAACCTCAACATCAGACTAGGCAGGACCTGAACAACTTGACAAGACATAAAGTTGTGCCCTGGTAACAATTAACAAATGAAAATGATACCCATAATAGACAGTTTCTGTAAATCAGTGGAAAAAACTTCCTGACATAAAAAAGGCTATGAACTTGCATTTCACAAAAGAAATACATCAACATTCTTTTTTTTTATTTTCTGTGGGTACATGGTAGGTATATGTGTTTATGGGGCATACGGGCACAGAATAATCACAGAGTAAATGGGGTCTCTATTACCTCAAGCATTTATCCTTTCTCTGTGTTACAAACAATCCAAATATATTCTTAGTATATATTTTTAAATGCACAGCAAATTAAGTTGCCACCCCGTTCTGCTATCAAATACTACTCCATCTTGTCTATTCTAACTATAGTTTTGTACCTATTAACCATCCCCCTAGCCCCACATAACCATCCATCTACTGCCTATCTCTATGAGTTCAACTGTTTCCTTTTTTTCCAGCATCCACAAGTAAGTGAGCGCATGTGAAGTCTGTCTTTCTGTGCTTGGCTTATTTCACATAACATAAATGCCCTCCAGTTCCATCTATGTTGTTGCAAATGACAGGATCTCATTATTTTTTATGGCTGAAGAGTACTCCATCGTGTACATGTACCACATTTTCCTTATCCATTTGTCTGCTGATGGACACTTAGGCTGCTTCCGAATCTCGGCTGTTGTGAACAGCGCTGCAGTAAACCCAGGAGTGCAGACATCTCCTCGACACACTGATTTCCTTTCTTGTTGGTGTGTACCTAGCAGTGGGATTTCTGGATCACATGGTAGTTATAGTTTTAGTTTCCTGAGGAACTTCCAAACTGTTCTCCGTAGTGACAGTACTAATTTACACTCCCATCAATGGCGTACGAGGGTTCCCTTTTCTCCACATCCTCACCAGCATTTGTTACTGCCTGTCTTTTGGATGAAAGTCATTGTAACTGGGGTAAGGCAGTATCTCATTGTAGTTTTTATTTGCATTTCTCTGATGATCAGTGGTATTGAGTACTTTTTCATATACCTACTTGCCGTATATATGTCTTTTTTTGAGAAATGTCTATTCAGATCTTTTGCCTATTTTTTAATTGGATGATTAGATTTTTCCCTTTTTGGATTTGAGCTCCCAATTTCTTCTGGTTATAATCACTCATCAGAGGAATAGTTTGCAAATATTTTCTCACATTCTGTAAGCCTTCTCCTCACTCTGTGGTTTCCGTTGCTGTGCAGGAGCTTTCTAACTATCTGTCCACTTTTTGCTTTCGTTGCCTGTGCTTTGGGGAATTACTCAAGAAACCTTTGCCCAGTCCAACGTCCTGGAAAGTTTCCCCAGTGTTTTCTTTTAGTAGTTTCATACTTTGAGGTCTTAGATTTAAGTTTTTAATCCATTTTGATTTCATGTTTGTACATGGCAAGAGGCAGGAGTCTAGTTTCATTCTTTTGCATATGGATAACAAGTTTTCCCAGCACCATAGTGAAGAGACTGTCCTTTCCTCATATATGTTCCTGGTAGCTTTGTCGAAAATGTGTTCACTGTGGATGCATGAATTTATTTCTGGGATCTCTATTCTGTTCCATTGGTCTGTGTCTGTTTTTATGCCAGTACTATGCTGTTTGGGTTAGCATAGCTCTGTAGTATAATTTGAAGTCAGAAAATGTGATTCCTCTAGTTTTTCATAAGGATAATTTTGTCTATTCTGGGTCTTGTGGCTATTTTGGTTCCATATAAATTTTAGAATTATTTTTTCCATTTCTGTCAAGAGTGGCATTGGTATTTTAATAGGAATTGCATTGAATCTGTAGATTGCTTTGGGTAATACACACATTTTCACAATGTTGACTCTTCCAGTCCATGAACATGCAGTATCTTTCCATTTTTTGTGTGTTCTCTTCTATTTCTTGTAGAAATCTCTCACTTCTTAATTCCTAGGTATTTTAATTTGTAACTACTATAAATGGGATCGCTTTCTTGATTTCTTTTTTCAGACTGTGCACTATTGGTACATATAGAAATGCTACTGAGTTTTGCATATTGATTTTGAATCCTGCAACTCTACTGAATTTGTTTATCAGTTTTAATAGTGTGGTTTTTTTTGGTGGGGGTCTTTAGGTTTTTCCAAATATAAGATCACGTCATCTGCAAACAAGAATTTTACTTCTTTCTTTCCAATTTGGATGTCTTTTCTTTTCTTTTTGTTTGATTGCTCTAGCTAGGACATCCTCACAGAAGAAATACAAAATGGATAATGAGCAAGTAAAAAGCTGCTTCATCACTCTAGTCATCAGAGAATGCAAATGAAAAGAGCAATCTATTTTTCGCCCATGGGATTGGCAAAATTTTAAAAGATGACTATCCAGTACTGACAAATGTGTGGGGGAAAAGAGTTCTCCTCAAGCACTGATAAGAGGTAAACAGGATAGAAACTTTTTAGAGAAAAAAGTTAATAGTGTGTATCAAAATTCTGAAGGGTTTTAATCTTTTTTTATTTAATTTTGTTTTATAATGATCATATCAATGGAGTTCCAAAGTCAAATCTACAAACAAGGTAGATTCCGAAATCTAGCTTGTATATCTCTCCCCTCTATCCCGGTTCCCGTAAGTTGCTTTACCGAGAGAGAGAGAGAGAGAGAGAGAGAGAGAGAGAGAGAGAGAGAGAGAGAGAGAGAGAGAGAGAGAGAGAGAGAATGGTTTCTCCCTCCATTTTTAAGATACATGCAAACATGTGTATCATACTGTCCCCTATGTAAACAGTAGCATGGACACTTGTTTTCCAGCTGTGCCTTTCCATTTAATTACGTATCCCAGCCATCACTCCTTAGCAGTACCCAGAGCTTCTTCATTCTTTCCGTCAAGTGGCACAGTACTCCACTGAATAGAACTGAGCCAGTGCCCTATGAATGATAATTTTGTGCATTTAAAACTCTTTGCTATTTCTTATAATGATGTCACGAATTATCTTTAGAAGGATCCTTTCCTCTTTTTACCAGTGTAACTGGGTAAACTCCTAGAAGTAGAGCTACTCTGACAAAGAGTAAATGTACATGTAATTCTGCAGCTATTGCCAAATTACCCCCACAGGGGCTGTACCACTTTGCATTCTCACCAACAGTGTTAGGAAAATGCTTGCTTCCCCAATTCACCAACAGAATATGTTATTTAACTTTTAGATTTTGGCACATCTCATAGCTTTAATTTACATTAAGACGACCCAATTTAGGAATACCTAATTTAAATTATTCAATGACCACGTTTCTGGCTCAGAAAACATAGAAACTGTGTTTTACGGAGATTCTCCAGAGACCAAATTTCATGGCAGAAGGGATAAATGAAATTGGGTTGATGGTGCATGTTTGCTTATCCTTCCACATATTCTGAACTGGTGGGAGAAGAACACCCGGGGCCAGGCTGGGTGTGAGAAGCAGCAGAGCTGGGAGAGACTGAGGGAGGAGGAGAGACAGCAAAGGCAGTCCTGGAGAGGCCGTCTGCCTTCTGCCCTATTGTTCAAGATTGGAGAGTGCCATGAACAGCCCCTCTCCCTCCAGAGGACACCCCCTGGCTCAGCAGATGCTTGTAGGTGTCTCTTCTAAGTCCTGGGATTCTAAGCACATGGTGGGCAAAGTTCCCCCCCTCACAGAACTCAGTGGGGAGAGGCAGGCAGGCAACCATTTCCCACACTAAGTCAGCCGTGAAGACAACAAAGTGGGCCCTGAGAGTGGGACTGGGGGGTCACTGGACATCCACTCGGGGATGGCCATGGGAGACTGGGAGCTGCCAAGGCTGGGCAGGTGCATCAGTCATGGGCATCATCCCTATCTACCTATCAAGTCTAAGCACGAGTCCCTAATTGTTTACTCTGGGTGAGTTTTAATATTTGAATACTTTCGTCAGTATAATAATACAATAAGAGAAAGATAACATGCCTTGCTTTGCATAATTCAGGGATTCTATTAGGAGTCATGCAGCAGAATATTTATAGAAGACATCTATGAAATGCTTTAGGTCCTGAGTCTACGACTCCCACAGCAGCTTTTACGAGCTGAAGCACCACCTGTGCTCCAGAACTCAGCCGCAGCATTCAAGAAAATGGATCCTTGGACCCACCTGCCCCACACACTGAAGGAGAGGGTTTATTAGAATTGCTTCGTGGGTATTGGGCACTACTAGGCAGCAAATTACAGACAAAAGCATTAGGTTTAAAGACAGTGAGTTAATGATACAAGTGGTCAATGGCATCCTTGCCTTCATCTGTGCTATTGTCTGTGGATGATAAACACTGAGCAACAGATAAATGTCAAAGAATCTGGGTTTTGGCTTCTAAGGAAAAAACAAAACTCTTATTTGTGTCTGTTGTGTTGTGAAGAAGCCTGAGACAGACCCAGATCTGAATCCCATCTGGCCGCTGATAAATTTGGGAAATGGGGGCAGACCCTCTTTGCTTCTCACTGAGAAAGGTGATGATAGAAGCAACCTGCAGGGCTGTGGTGAAACTGATCAGAG